CACAGGTATAAAGTATCTATTATAATAATTATTATAAATATGCAATAAAATCATACTATATATATAATATCCGCAATTACATAGTTATGTATTATATTTATAGTTACTGTAGTAAACATATAGTAAAACTCATGTATACTATAGATAGTATTAAAGACACTATTCAATATGTATAATAACCAGTTAAACTCAGAATAAATTACGTACTTAAGGTATACGTACTATATTACATACTATAGACATACAAGAATCAAGTAAAGATCAATCGATATTACATACGCTACAATCAACAATAGATAATTTCGAAGTTTCATCGCCTGTTAATAATATCGAATCTAGTTCTATCGATATCATATCAGATAAAGTTTCAATTTATTCTGATGGATTATTACAAACGATTACACAAAACGTCATGTATACACCGGAAGCATCGATACAAACAGAGAGCGATATAATAGCAGATATAACAAGTCAAGACGAAAATTTAAAAGAAACACGAAGTACAATACTATTATCTGACGTCGATATAGAACTAAGTAGTACAATTGGAAACGAAGAAGAAGATAAAGAATCGACTAATATCGACAACATTATATCTGCAACAGGTAATAAAGTATCTATTATAATAATTATTATAAATACGCAATAAAATCATACTATATATATAATATCCGCAATTACATAGTTATCTATTATATTTATAGTTACTGTAGTAGACATATAGTAAAACTCATGTATACTATAGATAGTATTAAAGACACTATTCAATATGTATAATAACCAGTTAAACTCAGAATAAATTACGTACTTAAGGTATACGTACTATATTACATACTATAGACATACAAGAATCAAGTAAAGATCAATCGATATTACATACTCTACAATCAACAATAGATAATTTCGAAGTTTCATCGCCTGTTAATAATATCGAATCTAGTTCTATCGATATCATATCAGATAAAGTTTCAATTTATTCTGATGGATTATTACAAACGATTACACAAAACGTCATGTATACACCGGAAGCATCGATACAAACAGAGAGCGATATAATAGCAGATATAACAAGTCAAGACGAAAATTTAAAAGAAACACGAAGTACAATACTAATATCTGACGTCGATATAGAACTAAGTAGTACCATTGGAAACGAAGAGGAAGAAAAAGAATCGACTAATATCGACAACATTATATCTGCAACAGGTAATAAAGTATCTACTATAATAATAAACACATAATAAGATCATACTACTGTATATAAAGTACTCGTAATCACATAACTATTATACTTATAATTATTTTAGTAGACATATAGTAAAATTTGTACATAGTGTATATATAGTATTAAAGACATTATTCAATATTCGTAATAACTAATTAAACTCAAAATAGATTACATACTTAAGATATATGCACTATATTACATACTATAGATATACAAGAATCAAGTAAAGATCAATCGATATTATATACTCTACAATCAACAATAGATAATTTCGAAGTTTCATCGCCTGTTAATAATATCGAATCTAATTCTATCGATATTATATCAGATAAAATTTCAATTTATTCTGATGGATTATCACAAACGAATACACAAAACATCATGTATACACCGGAAGCATCGATACAAACAGAGAGCGATATAATAGCAGATATAACAAGTCAAGACGAACACTTACAAGAAACGCAAAGTACTACACTAATATCTGATGTCAGTATAGAATTAAGCAATACTATTCAAAGCGAAGAAGAAAAATCGACTAATATCGATAACAGCATATTGACAACTGGTAATTTACCCATCAACTGCAGTTCACTTAATACACCGTTTGTCAGATATATTACGCTATATAGTCAATCACTCGATTATCAACCATGTTATAGAAGAATACTGTATAATACCATCTACATGTAGAATTAAGCTATTCTTTGTATATATATATATATATATATATACTAATAAGTTAAACGCAAAATAGATTAAGAATTTTAGAAATTTTATAATTAATACGTATATGTTATTAAATATTGTGTAGATATACAAGAATCAAGTGAAGATCAACCGATATTACATACTCTACAATCAACAATAGATAATTTCAAAATTTCATCATCTGTTGATAATATCGAATCTAATTCTATCGATATCATATCAGATAAAGTTTCAATTTATTCTGATGGATTATTACAAACGATTACACAAAACATCATGTATACACCGGAAGCATCGATACAAACAGGGAGCGATATAATAGCAGATATAACAAGTCAAGACGAAAATTTACAAGAAACACGAAGCACTACGCTAATATCTGACGTCGATATAGAACTAAGTAGTACAATTGGAAACGAAGAAGAAGAAAAAGAATCGACTAACATCGACAACATTATATCTCCAACAGGTAATTAAGTATCACCTACGTTAATCAAATAAATAAAAATCATTTTGTTGTTTAATCACAAATGTAAGCTATGTTATAGCGGATATAGTAGCTAACTAAGTTCAGATTAAAAATATATATCAATAACTATCGTTTGAGATTGATCTCTTATTGTACTTTTCTAACTCAATAGGTGGTAACGAAATCGTAGTAACAAAAAGTATCGGATTTATGTACCATAGTTCTGATCAATCGGCCGTAACTGATGAATTTTCTTCAGTCGAAATATTTAACAATGCACTTAGTATCTCTGTAAACCATTCTAATTTTCAAACGATACAAGAAAACTCTGATTTTGAACTAAGCAATATAATATCGACAAATGGCTATGCATCTCTTCCACCTATTGAACTTTCAACTCGTACGTAATTTTGTTTTTTGTCTTACTGTAAGCCAATTGCTTTAGTCCAGAGGATAAAATTTTTAGCCGTTACTATACTTTTTTTCAAAATTGACACTTTGTTCTACTAAAATTTTAATTTAAATAGAAGAATATGCAAGTCGTAGCAATCATGAAACTTACTTACTACAAGCTTCATCTGACAGTATTAATGGCTTTACGATGTTCAATAGCTTATCTTCCCTGGTAGATAGTGTGTCATCGAATGGGAATTTCGAGCAGATAGCCTCTGTACCAGAGAGTGGTATATCTTCGATGGAATCTGTAAACGACGCTGTTACATTCACTAATGCTGTCGGACCCTTTCAATCTATCTTTAATTCTCGTAATGATATTTCTCTATCGCAATGGAATAATATTGCGGGGGCCTCATACGCAGTAACTACTTCCGATCCACTCATCGCTTTTGTGGGATCAGTAAGTTCAGATCATTATTCACATACAATAAATCACGAGACGCAGTCTATTCTGATTATGGCATCGACTGGTAAGTAGTTAGAATTAAAAGAGAGTAATCTGCTATTCTGCACTACATCAGATAACATTTCGAGATGTAATAAATCGATTGCAAAATTATATAGAAACCAGTATAGTGCTACGAAGTCCTACTTCGTTATCGTTTCATCTATAGAATGGTAAATTTTGTTTTAATCTGGATGAGCTAATTTCATGCAACTGTTATTTCTAGATTCCTCATCTGAAAGTAATAGTAGCGCACCAGATGACATCTATTCTGAAATTCGAGGTATTTAGCCCATGTGTGAAAGTTTCTGATACGCTTGCTGGATAAAGTGTGCCTTTACTTATAAAATGTTTTATTGCTACATCGCAATATTTTTATAAGGTTCCATTTCAAGCTCTGCTGTAGATACCTTAACTATCAGCATGAACAACTATTCAATGCTATCAAGCTCTACGTATCCGTTCCCGTTAGATCCCCATGAAACGCAATCAAGTACTCATACACATTATGGCGAAAGCTATCGCGAATCTCCAGCCTCAATATTATTGGATCATAAATCTAACGTTACATCTTTCGTTCAAAGTTCTAATTTAGCACAGATAGTAAACGTAACAGGTTCTGACGGGCTGGATAATGTTGAAACCTCTTCTTCAATTGTGGCTTTTTCTCCAACTTTCTTTAGTAGCTTTTATAGTGGTGATGGTAATATCTATGATCAAAGTTCTACCAATTCAATGATTGACGATAATATTGCCCCAGAGCCTTCTTCCGTCCTAGAGAGTAAGATGTTATGGCGTCATACTTTACATACAACGATTTGAAACTTAATTAATAACCTTAGTTATCCTGCATTATTCCTTAGACACTGAAACAATTTCGAAACAACAGACAATCGAAGATTGTTCTACGAATATGAACTTATGTGATACAAATGCGATATGTACTAACACTCTTGGGTCATTTATATGCTCTTGTGTTACAGGATTCACAGGCAATGGAACATTTTGTGAAGGTAAGGAATTTCAATCTTTATATTTACACTTTCTCTAATACCAATATCTGGAATAAGAATATTTCTTAGAAGCACAGTATTATTTTTATGATAAATAAATTATGTAAAGAAAGGATTCTTCATTAACTAACATTAATTTTCTGAAATTGACTTCTTGTAAAAGCTGACAGTAGCGTATAAAATTGTCGCAGTTTTACTATATAAATACCGTACTAATTATAAATCGTAACATTTTGTTATGGCCAATGTACCATTAACCTGCAAAATCGCAGATATAAACGAATGCACTGGAAACGGTAGTCTTTGTGATTTAAATGCAAATTGTGTGAACTTTAATGGTTCATATAATTGTTCCTGCAAAACTGGTTATCAAGGAAACGGAGTAGACTGCTTTGGTATGATCTGCATTTAATTAATCAATAAATTGTGTGCTATATAGCGATAAAAGTAAGGACAAGACTGATATGAAAATATATTTAACCTATATCAATAAGACATTAATGAATGTCAAGAAAGTCAAGATAATTGTCATCCAGATGCCCATTGCAACAATACGGATGGTTCGTTTGTCTGTTCGTGTAAAGTTGGCTTTTTTGGCAATGGAACTAACTGCTTAGGTGCGCATAACTTAGTTACCATAATACTATTGCGTATAGGCGGTTTCAAGGCCGACGCAACCAAATATGTTTTAATCACTTTCCTCTCAACCCTTACCGTGCAGATATAGATGAATGCTCTTTCAAGCAGGATCAATGTCATTCGCAAGCTATTTGCACTAATACGAAAGGATCTTATTCATGTCTCTGTAAAATGGGATATACTGGTAACGGTTTTGTGTGCGAAGGTACAATTTCAGTGAATAGTAGAAATTATTACAAAAACCTAAATTATCTCTGCCAAGATTGCACTGCGCTACAATAAAAGCGTTAATATCGGCTTGTGAGTTTTCTAAATATAGCCCTTATTTCGAAACAGATATTAACGAATGTCGCGAGGGTAGTCATGCATGCGATCGAAATGCTGTCTGTATCAATACCAACGGCTCATATTTTTGCTCATGCAAGGATGGCTATACTGGCAATGGAACTGCATGCTACGGTTTGCCTGATATTTTATAGCTAATTAAATATGAGTAATTCATTATGTTATTGAAAATATAGACAAACCACAATAGTGTTGAATCAATTCTTATTTGATTCTAAATTGCATTTAGGTAGCTTATGTGCACGTTTGCACAATTTTACTAAAACTACATTAAAAATTTATGCTTATCCTATTTAGATATCGATGAGTGTTCACTTGGTTTGCACGATTGTAACATTTACTCCATATGCATTGATACTGTTGGCTCCTATGAATGTTCCTGCAAACATGGGTTCGTTGGTAATGGCAGTTACTGTCAAGGTATTATACAATTTTATTAAAATTTAAAGTTTATATTTCTAATAAGAATTGTACGCTTAATAAATATAGATATTGATGAATGCTTGGAAAATAAGCATAACTGCGATGCAAATGCAGCATGCCATAATACCATTGGTTCTTATACCTGTTCTTGTAATACAGGATTTACGGGCAACGGCACATTCTGCAACGGTTTGTATTGCTTATCTAATAGTTACAAGTACATCAGTCTGTTTTGATAGATTTTTTTGGGTAATTTATTATGATATCTAGATATAAACGAATGTACGGAAACAAAAAATGATTGCTCTAGCAATGCTGCTTGTAATAATACCATTGGTTCCTATTTTTGTGCTTGTAAAGTTGGATTCATTGGCGATGGCGTTACATGCCAAGGTGACGAGAAGAGCTTTCTAACTCGTTGCTATATACAACCATTAGTAAATCAAGCTAATTTTACTAATATTACTAGGATTGTTGTCTATATTTGTTGCTTAGATTTGAATGAATGTGCAGCTATGGAACTCTACTGCCATAATAATAGCGTATGCTATAATACCTTTGGTTCGTATCACTGCACCTGTAAAACTGGATTTACAGGAAATGGTAAAGTTTGCGAAGGTACTATACTTTTAATAGCTTTTCTGAAATCTTAATACTATGTTGAGTTCTATAGCAATTATTACGCCTTAAAACTGACTAAATTGAAATTGAATTTAAATTAGATTTAAATGAATGTTCACAAAACCAGCACAACTGCGGTATTAATAGCATTTGTAATAACACCATTGGTTCATACTCGTGTACTTGCAAACCTGGCTTTAGTGGTGATGGTAAAATATGTTTAGGTAATACCGATAATATATTTAGATATTCTTTTTTTCGCATTGCCACAATCGCCTATATAGCTGAGAATTATTTGTAATAATAAACATAATCTTGAGTAACTAGAATAATTTATATGATCTTCATAGATAATTTATCTATGCCTTTAACTCAATATTTTTTTAGATGTTAATGAATGTCTGAATAATCTGAATAACTGCCACAGTGATGGAATCTGCAGTAATACGATCGGTTCATATATTTGTACATGTAAATCAGGGTTTACAGGCAATGGATTTCAATGTCAAGGTCATAATTCGTTATTATTCTAGCTAGAATTTGCTTCGTGTACTATTTTTATATCTAAGACTCTGATTTTAAACAGATATCAATGAGTGTACAGCTAGCAACTTTGTATGCCATAGTAAAGCATTTTGTTCTAATACGATTGGTTCTTATAAGTGTACCTGTAAGACCGGCTTTACTGGTAGCGGAAAATACTGTACCGGTTCGTTATATGATAATATTAGGATGTTGTGATTAAATCATTATATCAACAAAGGCTTCACGTTAACAATTAATGTTTTTATTAGATATAAATGAATGCCGTATTTCAAATAAGTGTAGTAAATTAGCTAACTGCTACAACACATATGGTTCGTATGACTGCGTTTGTAAGTACGGGCTGCAAGGCGATGGGCATTGGTGTGGCCAGACAGGTACTTATTATTCAGCTTGTTTCAAGTAATCATATATTAAATTAAATAATCAATTGGCATAATGTTACCCATTTTCAAATGGGTTAAATAGGCACTCGCTTATATCCTTATGGTACGCAATTTGGACATAATTGGTTTGGTAGAACTGATCAGGGTTACGCATACCTTTACATACCCGAAGGCATATACTTCGTGCGATCATTGTATAGACGATTATATGTATGTAAAATTTTGCATTTTTCGCCACACATGCGATCTGACCTAATTTAAAGAATAGCCCACAAAAAGGAAGTGTAAACTATGCCTATTGTAATTAATCAGTTAAAATTATTACAGATATCAATTGACGGATATGTTTCACTGAAGTGGCCTTATGTGGGATATTGGCCAAAGCCCTTTCCCGAACCTCTTCGCCGTTCGATTATAGCTCCTTACTATGCTGACTGTGACGTTCGATACCAGAGTACCTCAAAAGTTTATTATAAACAATACTATAGTCATCAAAACGATCCGTTAGCACAAGAAATAATAAAGAATGCAACCAATGATGTTAATCGCTTTCAACATCGAATGAGATTTGATAATCAAAAAGCAAAGTATGGACGATTTCGACAAGTTGTCGCAAATTTTGAGGCTGCTCATGTGATCATAATCACTTGGCACAAAATGACTCCATACCCTGCTTGGTACTACTGGTACTACCCGTATTATCGCCAAGTTAGTAATTTGAACTTGCAATAAATTTTTTATTGTGGAAATGTTTATTTTACTTTAATTAATGATGCTAAATTAGAAACTAATTTAGCTGCTTTTATTTACCCTATTTAATCTTATCATCAATTAACACAAAATGCTCATAAATTGTGTCAACTATTAAAATTTAAAATTTTCCCTAGTAAAATCTTTATCACGTTTTACTTTCGTCCCTACCGAAAATCGATCTGTTTTAAATTGATCGTGTAATTGTTAGTAAAATTAGTTCATCTTTCATGGCTGCAAAGAAATATATTTTAGGAATATTTTACAGTTAGCGTATATTGCAGCTGCGAACATTTAATTTCTCGAATCAAATTTTGTCGATTGTAGTATAACACCTTCCAACTCGTCTTAGTGTCAAACGGAGAAAATCTGTTTGCTCTTTATAATTACGAAGAAAATGGCATAAATTGGTGGAAAAGATTTTGGTGGATAAGGCCACGTGTCGGTTATTCCTACGGCGTAAAGCCTTATTTTTATGAAATACCGATATCGCGGCGAAGGCACCAAAGAGTCAGTATGATTGATCGTTATCGTGGTAACACTGGTGAACTCGGTAAATGGGCATTCCGTCTTGATGATCCCAATAGCCGACATGTAAATCATGCTTATCAATGCTATCGATGGTATTATGGTCAGAGCTATTCCTATTGGTACCAAATATTTTTACAGCCTTGTCCTTGTAGAAGCTGGCAAGCTATTTGGGATCCAAGATTTAGATTCGATTGGAGAACTCAATGTGCTACATCTAGGATCTCAGTTCCTGGTTGGGGATGGTGGTGGTATTGGTGGTATTGGATCTATACGGGACGTTGGACTTCGCCATCTCCGGTATGACGTTGCAGTATTACCATAAATATAGAAGTAGAGTAGTAAACTGCAGTAATTTTAAAGTTTTCATAGAGGAAACTATCTGTTGCAAGAGATTCAATAAACTTTTATTATGGATGTAATTTATGATTGAAGGTTGGATTACTCTCGTTAAGATTAATATTAGAATTCTACTTCTGTTACTATACCTGAATAAATTACAGGATAATTGAGGTCAAATTTATACTGTAAAAATTATAATGTATCCTTCGAACGATAGGTACGGCAGCGATGTTGCTATTCAACACAAAAATATTCTTGGGGAGCCTTATTGCGCAATTATCCTGACGGTAGCTCTTTTAGATACAATTCTTGGTATTTAAGGCGACTTGATGAGAAAGCATACGACTCATGCTGTCGTCAAACTGACCTGTGCCACTTATATATAACAAGACGACCAATCAATTCTTGTGCAGGCTACTGGCCTCCCTGGTGGTGTAAGTCGCTTAAATCAGCTTTTAACATGTTTTAGATACAATAGTCTTTATCAGTTGAGCTTAATTCTCTTCTCAACTGTACACAGATAGTAAGAATGTTTTGATTCTGTAGCATTTATACGTCAACCTCTGTTATTATATTTAGCTTGGTTCTGGGGTGATCCGCATGTTCAAACTCTCGATGGCAAAAGGTATACATTTAATGGGCTTGGAGAATATACGTTGGTAGATGCTAGCAATAAATACTTTGTCCTTCAAGGGCGTACTATGAGATCTGTGGTAGCTAATAGCACTGAAAGAGCCAAAGCAACCGTATTTTCTGCTTTTGCGGCGACACAAAATGATTCCGATATTGTTCAATTGACTCTTAACGACACTTCGGATACTGTTTCATTGTTAATTAATAGAACTATTTCTATTAATGATGATAATCTTACCAATGTCACATTATCCTATAATAACGTCGATATATCAAAATCGAACGGATCTTACCTTGTTGTCTTCTCATCTGGGATATCGTTGGAAATTAGTCACTTAACTAAAATGCTGACAATAGCTTTTGCAGCTCCTCAGTCTTTCCGTGAGACCACTAAAGGACTGCTTGGTACATGGAACGGTAATGTTTCAGATGACTTCCTACGACCTGATGGGACATATCTTGATGTAAATGCCACCGAAGAAGATATATATTACAGTTTTGGTGAAGAATGTATGTTATATAGCTGCAATACTAATGTTGTTTTTTGTAATATTTGATATTATGACTTTTTCCTATATTCTATTTACTATATATATCTATAGGGAGAATAACTGATGAAGAATCACTATTTACATATCCAACTGGCATTAGTACAGACAATTTTACGGATCCGAATTATGTGCCTAATTTCTCTAAGGATCCAGAAGTTCTATTCAAAAATGATACTGAATTAAAAGAAAAAGCTCTAAAAATTTGTGGTAGTGACAGGACATGTTTATATGATGTCGCTGAAACTGCCAACTTGCAGTTAGCTGCTCGGAGCAAAGATATAGATCAACAATACGAAAGGGTACAGAAAGACATTGGTAATGCGGACTTTTCATAATATCGAATAATCTTTTAATAACTCTGATAGCTATTCGGTTTTACGTTAGATTATTTTTGTCTACTTTTATATGATTTTGTTTCTTTTTATGCGCTCAGAAAATTTTCCACCGAATATAACCGGTCAAAAGATCTATAATGTAACTTATGGCCAGCAATTTACTACGAAGTTAAACATCACTGATCAAAACGTCAACGACAACTTAACAATACAAATCAGTAATTTACCCTCTGATGCTTCGTTTAACAGAGACACTTCCAGATTTACATGGAATGTTACTACCTATAGTAATATCTCTTTCGAATTTATTGCTACTGATTCAAAGAACTTAACAACTGTTTTTAAACCGACGATTGTTATGTGCTATTGTGCTAATGGTGGTACCTGCCAATACGAGTTAGTTAATATTTTAATTTTGTAACATGTCGAAAGATAGAGTTGAAGATAGTAAATACTAGTATTTCATGTTTCAGTAATCAATTTGCTTTTATTCAGGCACCGCTATATTTCTCATTTTAAACGGTGTTGGATAGCTGTATGCTATATAGTAGAGAAAAATTTCATATCATGATTGTGAAATCATTGCAATAGATGACAATTGAATTCTTGATAACTAGGCTCTAAAAAGAATTCATAGTTATTCTTGCGCAACATAAAATTAAAGATTGTGTGCTTGAAAATATTTCATTACTAATTTGTCTATTAAACAGTTGGGAAACTAGTGATGTATCGAACAGCTACAGGCGAAATTGAAAACATTTAATATGTACTCTTGAAATTATTTGGTAGGTTTGAGATTACGACTGTTAATGGCGAAGAATATGCTGGGTGTCGGTGTACTACTGCTTGGACTGGACGTTTTTGTAACGAAGATTTTGATGAATGTGCTGGAAACCCTTGTTACGAAGGCGTCAATTGCACCGGAAAGATTGCCCCAGAGAGTGGATACAGCTGTGGATCATGTCCTAACGGCCTGGAAGGAGATGGCGAGAAATGCTATGGTAATAACGATTTACGGAAATTGTTAGCAGTTTACGTTGTAATTAGATAGAGTAAAACGATGCGTTTATTACGAAGCTACACGCAAACATTTAGTAAGGCAGTTATAGTAAATGTTTCATGTTTAGGTATTAAAGTATCATCGATATCATCCATTTAATACTGTATATATATGATAACTAGGATTTTGGTATGCATTTTTATCAAGTCTATTCTTACACATAACTTTTACCCTTATTTAGATGTTGATGAATGCCTTATGGGAGTACACAGTTGTAATCAAACCTGCATTAATTCGATTGGTAGCTATACATGTCAGTGCAATATCGGCTTCAAAATAGCTACAAATCAACGTGACTGCGAGGGTAAGAGTTAGCAAATTTATTTTAAATACCGCCAAATACATTTTAATTTACCTGTAAAACTCCATTCAGCAATAACAAAGTTGTTGTTATATTTATGCGCATTATAATTTAAATGCAATGATCAGATATTGATGAATGCGTACAATCTGAACCTTGCCATCAAATTTGTAACAACGAATATGGACATTATCGCTGTGCTTGCAATCCTGGATTTGAATTAGATGATAATAATTCAACCTGCTTACGTGAGTATTATGAAGAATACGCACACGTATAATTAATATAGAATTCATTAATTTTGTATCTAATAAAATGCACAATCATTATTAATCATTTTTCGATATACAATAGCTTACTGACGTATTAGGCCGTAAAATTATGATTATACAAATTCACTCATAGTACGCCATAATGTTTAATCTTAGCGTAAAGAAATAATTTTTTGGTCATGTTTAAATTTATTTTACGATTTGTTATTATCACAGACCTTGTATCCATACTCATAGCGCAAATTAAGTTCGTTGATTATTTAATTGATTCGTTTGAAAATGAATTTAATAGCGCTTATTATTATCGAGGCTTCTTTTAAAATTGTTCATATGTTTTAGCCCTGATTTCATGCGACCCGGGTTTAAGCAACTGCACTCAAATTTGTGCGGTGATCAATGATTCAGCAATCTGTAGCTGCAATAAAGGATATCATCTAGCTGAGGATAATACTACATGTGATGGTAACTATTGCTTGGTTTTTCGTTTAGATAAATGACCTAGTACCTACAGTATTTCCACTTTATATTATTACCTTGAGGATAATTATTTTACGAGTAATACTGACATATTGCAATTTAACTATCAAGACCACAACGAATGTGCTAATCCTTCGATATGTGCCCACTTGTGTACTAATACTATTGGAAGTTACTTATGTAGCTGTAAAAATGGCTACCAGCTTAGCAGTGATGGTAGAAATTGTCAAGGTAGGACTGAAAATCATTGTATTATATAATGAAATACTCTTTCGTAACCTTAAATTCGCTGTACTTTTCTGCTTACTAAAATAGCAAAAATTTTTCACATTTAATAACAATTTGACCCCACTACATAGTTGTAATTTAATTATAAGGTATAATATATATGATATGTAACAATCCTTTTCGCTCGATACTTAGCCATCGTAACGAACTAACTGCATAGAATTACGTATGCTGTCTTGCATACTTTAAATACTTGAAAGCATCGCCTAAGCCAATGATACTCGATAGTAGGGGTTTCACAACTAGTATTTGAGAAAACATTTTTACTGAAATTTAAATGCTTTCGTTTTTCATATAGATATAGATGAATGTGAGACGGAGAATTCAACTTTATGTCACGAAAATTCTCTTTGCACGAACCTACCTGGATCATACTTTTGTGAATGTGATGAAGGCTTTAAGCTATCAGGAAAACTTTGCGAAGGTATACACTGGCAGCCTCAATTCCTTTTTTATGTAATTTAAAATCGACATGATGCGTTAATTAATGAAGCAATCTAATCCAATCAGTCCCAGCCTGTATTTCTAACACTGTGTCTATGATTTCGCTGCGATAGATATCGATGAATGCTCTACTTCAAATTTAAATGAATGTGACCGTAATGCTAATTGTATTAACATGGAAGGAACCTACAACTGTATCTGTAAAGAAGGATTTAATGGAAATGGAATTGAGTGTATGGGTAAGTTTAAGAGTATTGTGGTGATTTCTCTGAGATCAAAAACACAAAGGAGTACCTTAAACAATCTTAAAGTTTAATAGCATATTATCCAATATTGGCGAAGAATATTATATTTTTTTGTATTTTTATAACTGCATACAAAACGAATTAACGTAATAAAAAGATCAGTGGCAATATTGTCTCTGACAGTCAAATTTTTCGGAGTATATATAGCATATATATAGCATATAATGTTTGATTTTACTAATAGATATAAACGAATGTGGAAATGCAAATAATTGTTCGAAGGATGCTGTATGTTCTAATCTTCCTGGGAGCTACAACTGTAGTTGTAAGGCAGGATTTACTGGCAATGGATTAGTTTGTCAAGGTCAAGAGCGCTGCTATAACAATTATGATTCTAGATATCTTTTCCTTCTATGTTAGAATTTTCTATTGACTAAAGTATCAAACACTCATAGTTATGATTTTACGATGATTCATTATTTGGAGATACTATAAAAGGTCTATCATATCACATTGCTCATCAGTTTACTAGTATAATTACTACAGTTCAAAAATCTACTACAATCGAAAAATTGTTAAAATTAATTGGATTTCATTGGCTAATTTAGCTTAATTACATGCCGTTATTATTACTAAGCAGATAATGTTCATAATGTAAACTTTAATAGCAAACCTTATTACTTTAAAATTATATTACTTATTGCTAAATCCTATGTTTCCGTCATCTGTACAACTAGCAATCGTTTTTGCAAGTCAGAACTCTAAAGTTGAGATAAGTTTGTTTAAACTACGCTATCGTTTGATTACAGATGTCGATGAATGCCAAAATGCATTTAGTTGCAATACAGAAAGCATTTGCCATAATACAATTGGAGGGTATTATTGTTCATGTAAAAAAGGATTTTATTTATATCGAAATGTAACGACGGGCATAAGTCAGTGCCAAGGTATTTTAACAAATATATAGTCCTTATTATGTACTAAATACTTCATACTGTTGTGTCATTGTCGTTATCGTAAAAGGAGCGATCTAGAACCATTTAGTGGTTTATGCTATTCTAATCGATTCATCATATCGTTACAAGACGGCCTGCTGTATACAGGATTGATTAGACTGAACGGCACTTACACAGTTGCGTTGGATAACCCAGAAAGCCAAGCTTATGTCTTACTCAAAACGGAAGTCGTAACTAAAGTAAGATAGAAATATTGAAGTAGTAGATTCTTATACGATATTAATTGTTGTTAAGAAAATATAATTTTTTTTTTTTTTTACATCGATGATAAAAACTAGTTGACGGTCGTCTTCTCCAATGATAGCAGAACACAAGATCGCGTTCAGCAGATCTCAATATTAAGTATTAGGTATATACTGTATTCATTTTTTGTCTCATATCTTCTAGTGTTCCGTGTTTAAGCAGATTTTAACTTAAAATTTTAGCTTGATCGCGAAGACACACAATATAACAAGTTATGCTTGCCTCATTTTGCTCAATAACGATTATAATAGAATTAAATATTTAATACTGGCGTTTGATTGTCAAGTAAATATAATTTTGAAATTGTAATTCAACAGACCTGGGAGTATTTTAGTCAATTTTACTTTGACGTTACTCCAAAATGCTACTTCAGTTACTACGGATATTATTAGAGAAATAGCTGAAAATGGTATTACGAGAATCGGTGACTACCCTGTGACGTCTTTTCACATTAAAGGTATGAAGAACTTGTAGCCAATGTAATGTTACTTTACTACTCAATTAAAAGTATTATAAATTATCAATCTTAATCCGTTATCGACGATTTGAAAACAAAATTACTGCTGATTAAGTTTACAGTCATCTTCTTTCTTATCAAGATTACAATGACTGTGTTGACCCTCAAGCTAATACTTGTTCCAGCTTGCAATCATGTACTAATACGATGGGAACATTTAGCTGCCAGTGCATTTCTGGTTATAGTTGGAATTCAGAGAGTAACCAATGCGAAGGTAAATAGATATTTACTCAAAAGGAATGCAGATTGTAAAGTATCAAGTATTAATATACAAAATGAACTGTACAAAATCGATTTATTAATTCCTTAATACCCCTTTTAATTTTTAATTATAGATATAAACGAATGTTTACTCAATGCAACATGCGCATCTAACGCTATTTGCGTTAACATTTTCGGAGGATTTAAATGCCAATGTGAGAAAGGTTACACTGGTAATGGTTTGCGTAACTGCTCCTGTAAGTTCTAAATGATGTTTAAACTACTAGTACAATCTAAGTCTATCAATACCTAGTTTTGAATTCATGATGTACCAATATATACGTTAAGTCTATTTCTAAGACTTTTTAAGCGTAATCGTACTTTACCTAATAATTCTTGTCAATGCGAAAAATAGCAGAGTAAAGCTATATAGCATTAGTGGATGAAATGCATGATGCAGTTAACAATATAACTGATCTTAGCTCCTTTCGATCACCTACACTACTAAATACTGTACTCAATCCACAATTTCTTAAATCATATAGATCTATGTTAGATGATACTGTTTTGTCGCTTTATTTTACTTTTGTAAGAAAGCACTAATTATACAAACTTGTTAAGTATTGATTTTCAGTAAATCACTTGACAATAGCAACTCCAAATCAAAAACATAATAGTAAAATTAACGGGATTAATTTAATATCTTCTTAGCCTTATGTCCGTTGCATTTCTGTCAAAATGATGGACAATGTCTTTACTTGAACGACAGTTTTATCTGCAAGTAAGTTATATTCATATCTTTAATATATATATATGACCTTGATCCTACGGTAATATCAGTTGCATAGTTATTTAACAATAATAAACTACAGGGTCGACATTAATAGAATAGTTATTAACATACCTTACGACTAATACTAGTTGTACAAGTGAATTTTATGGTCCAAGCTGTGAAAATGCTGTATCAACAGGTAAAGTCTAAAATTATATATACTTCACTAAGATATTACAATAATGGCTAAATTATTTCTCTCGTAGAAATATCTTAAAATATGTAAAATATTTAGATAATTATTTTCTACGATAGTTAATACAGTCGCAGTGATCGGAATTGCTCTCGGGTCAGTGGTAGCGGCTCTAGTTATAATTCTATTGGCCATTTATTTGTGGAAGAAATTTTATTCAACGTACGTATAAACTGTATGCATATATCGTAGTACAAACAGAACATTCTTACCATTAATGACATTGCTTTTCAATTAAGCCTTTTATCGATCTTTATAACAGATACAAAGTTAGTGATGTAGTAAACCTAAGTAGCAGCGATGCTGACGACAGAAATGATGCCGACAATCAAGATAATAGTGATCATGGCTCGAGTCGTTCTAGCTCCCGTAGCACTGCTCAACAAGCACGTCCAAATCGGCGAAGTTGCTTTTGGCTTTCCAAAACATCTGATTACGATAGTTACACAAGTTTTGATGCCAACACTACAGAGAATCAATAGTTGTATAATTATCATGATTCATATAAAATATTTGCGATCTCTATGTATAAGAGTAATATGACTTATAAAGTTATATATCATCGCAATTTAATAGTTTATAATCAATGATCTCGAATGTCGAAGTTTATATAGACCACTAGTTCCTTTTATTACATACTGGTATTAATCTTTATAGCCCATTTCAGATTTTGCATTTAATTATTTTGTTTTTTACAGCATCTAAACTTGAAGGTCAAGTGACTCTGAAGAACAGATAATATCAAATGTATTTTATATACTTATAAATTATATACAGTTGGCATCTGAAGAAGCAGTTTATATTTTCAGCTTCTTGGCTTTAATACGTATATATAATATTTTTTAAGCATTAATCATTTTGTCTTAACTGATTGGAAGACAATGGATATTAGTATTTATCCGCTGTACTGTATCTTAATATATCGACAACGCGATACCCTAGTACGTATGCGATATGCGCAATAATTTAATAGAATAAATAATATAAAAATTACTGGAAGCAGATCAATGAATTAGTTATCGGTATAAATTTTCTATTAGAAGATTATAATAACAGGTATGACATTTTCATAAAATCTCTATTTTGTACTGTATCTCATACACTAATTAATAAGTTACTTACTGCAAGATCGCTGTACTAGTGTAATTATAGCTTAAACTCTATGCAAGTAATAATATTTAATGCACTGTATATATACATTATACCCGTAGTGCTACTCTAATTTTGCCATGATATAGAAATATACAGGTGGACCATTTTGGTTTCCTTAATATTACTACAAGACATCAGTAGTCGCACTTCTCGTATAACCATTACCAATATACTTTAAATTAATTATAAGGTGTACATAACTATTTCTATGACATACGCGTATATAGCTGATTCATCTACTGATTGTCTTAAGTAGTAATTATCAAAGGAAGATATTAGATCTAATCAATTATTATGGGCAAATCAGATTATTTGGTAGTAAATAAAAAAATTGTCATCTTTATAACGTGCAGAGTCGATTTTGCCGTCTTGATCGTTTTTATTATTCTTAACTTGAAAAAGAATATCAGCGGTAGTACCAAGTAACTAATAAATACTGATCTAAGTTGAATTATAAATGGTAATTAGAAAATTGCTGTAACATTTACACGTTTTACCGATCCATCCATCCATGTCTTAAAATATTCTTGAAAAGGGAATTTAAAATATTTATCGTTACTTTTTACTCAAATATCACGTCGTGATGACACGATTTTAAAGTGGTAACATCTATCTCCATCGATTGGCTATATAAGGATAATAGCGGACTCCAATGATTTTAATTATACAGCGCAGCCATAAGGTTAATTTTAATTTAATAGCCAGTAATAAGCAGCGTCTGTAATTCACTTAATTCAATTATAACCACTCCTAAGATTACGTCAACTGTATTCGCCTAAACCTACGATAATACGATAATAATTATAAGAATTTCAAACTGAATTCACTTAAACTAATAATAATTAATTCAGACGGTATTATCGTTAGCAACTGTATCATTTCTATTGGGCTTCATAAAGGCAAAATCGTTCTTAAATCTTTACTCAAAATTCAAGCAGATACCCCAAATTGGATAAAGGGATAGAATATTCCTTATTTTCAAAAGGGAAAAAAAGAATTGAATAGATTTACAACAGTTAGCTTGCCTGCGCCGGTAATATCAATGTAAGATAGGAATCTTATTATTACCACATACGGTAACTTATCACTTTTTTCAGTTCACATCATCAGATGATAGTTTTAGTAACTCTTTCGTATGCTGAGTCAATCAGTATGCAATACGATATAATAAATTAAATTGATAAATGAAATAGAATTCAATTGAAATCTAGCTCAGGTAGTGAATGTTAAAAAATTATATTATCTGATATTGAAACTCTATTACACCAAGAACCTAACTGCTCTATTTTAAATCGACTTAGAATCTCACAAAATAAGTGATAGTTTAAATTTATCGTCATTGTAATGTTACTCTTTACTGTTATGTCCAATTGCTATTAAGAGCTCTTTAGCCAGTGATATAGTTACAGATTTATGCTTAGTTAGTCAACGAACCCCTTATTGGGTTGGCTTTACCTATTTATACAAGCGCAACTGTAGGTACTTCCTTTGCAGAGACTGTATTGAATGTATTCTACTCGGTGCTATATTTATTATATTTATTATTTATGTATCGTGTGCATATCAGTATCATGAATGTGCAAATTCGAGCTACAATACCATGCTATATAGAACACGAACTTACCCTATCAGTATTTCAGTCATCAATATTGTCTAGCGAACATTTTATACTCTTTCGTGATATTTTCGCCATCACGTTGATCCTAAAGACTAGGCATTCATCTAATTGAAATAAGTCTAAGTTCTCTTTTTATCCTAGATCAAATAGACGAATATGACGATTGACATGATAAATCTAGAATACATATATATGTGCTTGTATGTTATATAACATAACTGATTGGATTTTTTAAGTAGCGACAAGGAATTAGAATGCATATTATCGGAAGAGTTACTAGATATTCATATCGAAATATTTATTTCCATTAATACTATTAATATCCGTTGACTCATTTAAATTACAATCTAGCATCACAAATTGGCTCTTTATGTCTAAACATAATCTAAGCAAATATATATGTGTAAGTCTGCTAAACTATCATTTCAATGAAGTTAAAGTAGCTAATATGCGCATATTAGTCAGAAACTATGGCTGTCCCTATAGTAAAATAGACCCATTTTACTCTCTACGTCTATTGCATCGTACGCGATAGTCCGATCGATGTGGTAAAGAAGCTATTAGGAACATAAAATAATTGTAATTGCTCCAATTATGCCAATATCATTGATACAACCTAAAATAGTAATATGCTGTCCATTACAGTATCGTTTTTTGTTATTATGATTAGCTAATATCATCACCTACTAGGCCATAAATGGCAAAACGAAAAGTGATTTTGATATTGTTATCGAATCAACAATTGATTTTAATTCCTTATAATGGATTGATTAATTCAGCTCTAACTGTATAATAAACTTTTAGACTGAATTTTAGTTGAAGAAAAGACGGATTTAACCTCTGGGATTTAGAATTTGATCATGGTAAAATATGATACTCACAAGTATTTTTTAATTTCAGAGTATATCTAACTTGAATATATCTTTAAATTTGTAACGGATAGCTTTGATAAAGTGCAAATCGATTATAAATTAACGATAGATTGATGTCATATCTAGACGTCATTATTTATCGAATTTTACTATACAGGAAAGGTAGTATCATATTAGATCATGAACAGACTCGTAACACTTTCAATTTTGTTATATTTTTTAAAATTAGATAATTATTCGAGATAGTAGTTAAAATTTCAGCAATCTTTCGAAGAGTCTCTACAAGTAACTTATACTAGAAAAATAAATAACTATATAAGATATTTAGCCCGTGTATTAAATGATAGATAAAGCAGATTCTCAAAGCACAAGTAGATCAAGAAGATATCTTTGATATATCAGCTAATGTTAGGCTACATTGTTTTGCCAAAAGACGACCATCTAAATCCCAAATATTTGTAACAGCAGTTCGATTTACTTGACATCTATATATTGTCTCGCATCAGAGATTGATCATTTTTTTGGCTGCTTTATTTTCTATTCAGGTTTATCTATCCTATGTTTCCAATTACTTGACTATAATACTTTGGATAACCGGTAAACTTTTAAATTTACGCCTATACAAATCTGATCCATTTTGTGAATCTATCACGTAATTGACAAAGTTGCATTAGTAACAGCTTATCGAATTAATCGTGATATTATTACCATATATCAACACTAAGATTAAGAAATTTAGTAGGAATAAATAATTTTACTGCAGTAACTATTCTGTGTTGAGGATTTATTTTTTAAGAGGATAATCAACTTAGAAATATTTATTTGAAAGTTAATTTTTCTTCATGCTAGTAATTCAGTCTACCCTGTATTGGCAAACTGTTACTCCTGAAACATCTCTCGTGCTGGAAGAACTTGAATCTGTCGAAGCAACAGGTACATCGGAAATTTCTTCAAGCGGTAAGAAGGTATAGCAAGTTAGCATTTAATTTAATAAACTTATTCGCTAGTTCATGTTGTTCTTCTCTAGAAATAAATCTGCTTTCATACTTTACCCTAATGTATAATTTAATATTCTAATGTGATATATGAGTATACCAAGCCCGTTATCTGATTAAAGATTTGCAGTATATCGTAAATTCATAATATCTCAAAGAGTTACTGTATTGATTATAAACAGACTTATTCTGATATTCAACTGATTTAGCTATTCTTATATCTAAATGCATCCTTACTCATATAAAATTTGCTTTTACTTACGGATACCGTCGAATTTCAATTGAAATGATTAACTAATAACATCCAACCTAATCAACCACACTTAAAATTGTTAAAATAGTAAATGATAGTGTCTTATAAGTATACTGAACTATTCTTACACTTTTTTTAGTACTTTCCCTATTATGTTTAAGCTAAACTAATTTTATCATGAAAATACGGAGTCCTTAGCAGGGGCTAAATTTTCGCTACTACAACTACCGTAAAGCCTTAAACCACTTCAAATTTCATGATATAGAGCAGACATAATACCTATATATCAATTTATAATTCGATACTATTTCTATACTTTTAAACTTTCCTCATTATCACATTAAAGTTAAACTAATTCCTTGTCTAAATACCTTCAGCATACTAGTGTAAATTTTTATATGACTGAGCACAGTGATTAGTTTACGATTAGTAAGATATTCATATAATATCTATCTACCTAATCTATAACTAGGGCTTAAAAGTTGTCATGAACCTAAATTAAAGCAGGAGCTGACTGAGTCTGTATATTACATAACTGAAAATAATTTAGCGTTGTTTGATCTTAAAACTAACTATCATCGTATATTTCATAGCAAATTAGACGTTCACCATTTCTATCCCAATCTGAGTATAGTGATTAGTTCGCAGTTAGGTAATCTATATCTAGCTAATGTACAACTAGGGCTTAAAAGTTGACATAGAGTCTGTGCATTACATGACTGAAAATAATTTGGCCTTGTTTGACCTTAAAAAATTATCATCTTGCACTGTGATTCACAGTAAATTAATTGTTTACCATTTTCTATCTCAATCTATACTGAAATTTCTACTATTAATGCATGCAGTAGATTCTTCTTTGACAAATTAAATAGCAGATCAATTTTTCGATTTACCTTTGTCTTCGTCTGTGGCTGATCTTTTGCAATATTATTGAGTAATAAAATAAAGTTGTACCATAACTTATAAGTAACAAATGTTTATTGACTTTCTTTTTCCAATATCTTTGCATGTGGTTACTAACATTTATATAATTATCTCGACAGATGATACTACCAAGTTTACGTTAATCGAGAGCTTTCAAGCATCCAGAGTACTCATGTCATCTACTTCAGAATTGATAAATGTTCTGATGAAAACCTCTGTATCCACTGATGATCTACTAATAGGTCATTTAAAATTAAATAGTGGCTTATTTTGTTTCGAGTGTAAAAGAGTTACGGGCATTTACCTTTCCATCTGATTATAATAATATTTTAATATATAGGTAATACTCCTGCAACTCAGAGCGCAAGCAAGTTATCAACTATGGTACCTGGCTCTATAATGGCTACTGATTCTTCTCTAGGAACTATGGCACCTAGTTCTCCATTGGCTATTGATTCTTCTTTAGGAACTATGGTATCTGGCTTCACAATGGCTACTAATTCTTCTGTAGGAACTATAGTACCTGGCTCTACAATGGCTACTAATTCTTCTTTAGGTTACTTAATGTTGATATTAAGGTATACTATATTGTAAAGCAGCAGTCGATCTCTAAATTTTTATTTATTATAGTCTTGAACAGCTCACAAGAAACAGTCTTGTCGTCGACAGTGACAAAAATACCAACCCCTGTACAAGCTACAAATCCTCCTTCAGGTTCTCTAATATTCAAGAAATCTTATGGATGTTAGAATATCTATGTATTCTATGTGATGTATTACTGTTAAGATGATTTATCATATTTAAACTGATATAATCACTATACTATGGTATACTATATTGTAAAGCAGCAGTCGATCTCTAAATTTATATTTATTATAGTCTTGACCAGCTCACAAGAAACAGTCTTGTCGTCGACAGTGACAGAAATACCAACCCCTGTACAAGCTACAAATCCTCCTTCAGGTTCTCTAATATTCAAGAAATCTTATGGACGTTAGAAAATCTATGTATTCTATGTTTTGTATTACTGTTTAGATGATTTATCATATTTAAACTAATATAATCACTAATCATTCTAACTACGATAATTCTACTATACTATAGTAACAACTAGTATGCCAATTTCGACCACTACCATGCCTCCTTCAGGTTATTTATGCATTGACTATATAACTATGATGTTCGGATCTTGTTTGGATAAAGTTGAATATATCGGTGTTCGAAAAGTAGAAATAGAGTGGATATCCTTCATTATAGTACATCGAATTACATTTAAAGTGACGCCGTCACTATTAGGAATAGCAACAATAGAGGATACATCGATTAATTATTTTACTATAAAATTAATGGCAATTTAACGTATACTCGTATAACCTAAATGACTTGTTACTAAAATCAATATCTTCCGAAATATTAGGCGATCTTTGCGTTTCCCGAGCTGATTGTAATGATCGAGGGCCATGCATAAATATTACTGACATCAATCATAAAATCTGCAGGTCATTAAGATAAATAGCGAACAAATAGCGTTAGATGCATGAAAATTATAACTGTAAAAGTAACACATATTGAATTAATTCATGACTGTTATGAAATGTATTTTTACAGAAGACTTCTAATGATTAGTCGATAAGAAAATTTCTAGTTTTACCTTTATTAACTGAATGCAATATTAAGTTCATTACTCAGGTAACTAAAAGATTGAACTGTAATGATTCTTTTACTACATTTATAGATGTGAGATTGGTTATTTTGGAAATAACTGTCAATTTCGTGACGAGCTTGCACTTCGAAAGTATTTTGAAGATAATAGTAAGCTATGGAAAGATTCATTTGTCTAATTAATTAGCAAGAAAATACTGTGGTCGATTAAAGTCTTAGAATCACTGCCAATAATGACGCCTATTTTTACTGCTGTTGTTAGACTGGAGGGCAGTGGCCTGCATTTTTATTGCAATTAGTTGCATTCTGGCTGTTATTCTTGCGGGCTTGTTAATTCACAGTTGCAGAGCTAAGCCGTAAGTTTTTGATATAACTGTTGCTCAATAAACTGACGAAATTTTATAAATAGAAATTAAATAATCCTTTATAAAACTTTCGAATAGATAGTTTATATACTGTACATAAGCTTATACCTACAGCACATCGAACTAAAATAGAAGAAAGTTTTAAATTAAAAGATATATCAATATTCTTTCTATATAGCAAAATACTCCGTAAAAAAACACTATTGCAGAAAGAATTTTAGTCGTTATCTGTTGAATGATAAGATGTAACATTTACATAATCATGACTGTCGTATATTTAGGCAATCTGCCTCAGCAGAAATAGAATTATTAACGAAGAAATATAGACGAGAAGCAGGATTAAATGATTCTCACAGTAATACACATTCTCGAGTCCGTCAAAGCGGTACCAGACAACCCAATCTACATGACGAACATGTAAGATTTTCATCGTATTCTGGCAATCACCCATTTTAAATTTACTTACAATCATGAAAATAAATAGTAATTGAAGAAAGTTGACCTCGGGAAGATTTATCGGAATGATTTATTATGTTGTATTATTTTTATTCTCTTGCATCGTCTTTATAAGATACATTCATGATTTACTTGGTATTCTCGTATATTATTAGGATCTCGGCGTTTCCAATCCAACTTATTCCGGGACTGCCGGTCACCATCATGGAAATGGAAATCAACATGCCTAACAGAAAGTGATCAACTTAAGTGAATTATTTTATTGCCAAGCGTGGCGTTGTATCTATAAGATTGATCGAATAATTTATTGAAATAGCGTTACACTAATTTGGATCGAATTATTTTCTCAAATTGCAATCCTATTATGATATGGGCAGTAGATAACGTTGAATCTTTTTATTGGAAGAATATTGTATATCAAGGACATGTCCTTGGGTACATTTCCACATGATTAGCACTAGAGTAATTCTAGTGAAAAGATTAAGTTAAATAGAGTCCACTGCACTGGTATCTTACTTTTTATATTAGCATTGATATTAATGGTCTTCTACTTCAGCTTTATCATATAAAATTACAGTGGAGTATAGTTCAATTAAAGCTAGTTGCATTCGATACGATATCTTGAATTATACTACTACTTTATAATCTTTTACAATAATTATTTTATCTGTATCCTTCATGTGATACCAGAAATTACTCAATATGAATAGAATTATCCCTTTGCTTGGGCAATTTGATCCGTCATAGCTGTTTGACCGTTAGAAATTTGAAGTCTTTAAAGTTTAAACAAGTCCCAGCGACTTATATTATCCATCTGCAATCGGCATTTTTTTATATTGTACTCGCATACTTTATGCGCCACCATAACTCCTGCTAAAAATATTTTTAAACTTAGTAAACTATATGGCAGGATATTTCTGTTTTAATTTTGAGTTTAAAAGCAATCGATTTCATTTTTCAACGTCAGTCATGATAATTTATCTGCTATTGAATAGTATGAAAAGATGATTCTATTTATCAGTCATTACATGCAAGGATAGCGATAATACCAATGTTTAAAAAATGTATTTCACGATATTTACGGATTAACTGTATTTTCAATAGTAGAAATTTCACTATTATAGATTCTTTTGGTATAGCAATTTCCTAGATGCTAATCTTGTTATTTATAGCTGATTGGACAAAATAATAGATGTTTTTGTTCGCCACTACCACATGAATTTATATCTGTCTGCTGTATTAATGTTGGAATAAATCAAATGTTCCTAAACGCCTTAAAAAAATGGAGCACATCCTATATCCTCTATGTATATACGCATATATTCAAATTGGAGTGTCCGCTTTTTGCCTAATACGTCTTCGCGATGGAAGAAATGGTTATGTAGGTTAAAATCCTGCATACACACACACACATACATGCGTATAATCTACCGTATGAAAATTTAAAGTTTTGATTAGTTAAAATAAGAACAATTTCTTCACCATACGTGTTCGCAAAGGGAATAAATACTCAACTGTACATGTCATTGACATTATCCAACCTAGCACAAGTACATTAGCTATGTTGGATAGTATCAATTACACAAAAAGTAAACAGTATTTCTCTCTCTCCTCATTTTCAACAATCAAGCTATTTTAGTTTACATAATACGGGTGAAAGTATCGTCTACCAGTGAATATTTAACCAACAAACTGAGAGATTGTTATTTATAGTTTGCAACGTAGGCACTGATAGGCGGCACAGCACACTTACCACCACTCTAACCTAATAATTCTAACACTTGGTTAGTGAGACCATTATTGCATCCATTTCAAATGCAATCATATAACGAATATTTACATCGATGATACTTACGATTGACTGCCTGTTCTACGTGATATCGACTGATACGAATATCTAGCGAATTATTGTTATAGAGAAGCAGATACTGTAATCCATTTGATTTATGATTTGTAATCACGTGAAGGAGTGATAGATTCTCATGTAAGATATTCCTGTGGAGAAATAGCAATTCCTTGCGAGTAACTTTTGTACATCCTCATAATTGGCAAACAAAATCACATTGGCTAACACGTATGTTAACTACAGCATAGAACTGCTCCAATGTCTACGAGAATGATTGACCATATTTCTAATTTACCAGCATGATAGTAATGATTCGCTATTGCATAGATCCAGTCAGCGGGCATAATACAACTGCAATTACTTTTGCGATGTTATTAGAGTAAGGAAATGTCTAATCTACTTACAATTTAGACGTATCGCCTGTGCAAGTGTGCATGTACTGTAAGTTGGAGGTAAATAATCTTTTGCCTAGATGACAACTTGATTACATCGTCGATAGGAAAGTTCATCCATATATCTGCAATTTTTGGCCTCCTTTTATTATAATACAGTATCTACCTAAGATATTACAATGCTGTCCATTTGGAAAGGTTACCAGTAGCATATCGACCAGATAATAACAAATCATAAAGCTTACGCATATTGACTAAACTCTATCGTATTCCACACACAGTACAGTAGTATAAATCTCTCTCTATCCCTACTGTACATGCGTCCAAAAAGACGAAATATTATTATGTACATCCATGAAGAAAGGTCTACTACGTCTTATAATGCATATCATTACTGCTACCTGTAGTAAATATTTTAACAACCATTCAAAGTAATAAGCAAAAAATAGAATGAAAAGGCATTACTTGCGATCGGTACCATAGCAAAAGTGCTTGGGCAAAGTTAGAGTCATGGTTTGCATGCCCAATTGCCCATGTCTAGTATGCCAAATGTAAACATTCATTTGCTTATGATAGGAACAAGGTCCTTCCTTTACTTCCAAATGTGATACGTTGGCCTTTTTTGGATGCCATCGCACGGACTCTAGCAGGAGACTTGTAACACTATGGTATGCCAGCAGATGCTTCTAGCCTATCGACACGTTGGGATAGCAAAAGCAGTAGATGTTTCATCTTAAATAGATCGGAGCTGATCTTTTCCATGTTGGTATCACTGGCTGTACTGACTGCAGAGACACTATTATCCGTGACATCGGTCTCTTGCTTGGATATAAACTGGCCTAAATGATAAATTTTCAATTTATTGAGTTTGAAAGCATATCTTGATTGAATTGGCGATTTTGACTGAAATGGTGATTGATATTTTCGACCTAAAACAGTGTTGCAATGATAGCAAGCTAAACGTTGATAGGAGCAACCTTTGCGAGAGCCTCTCTTTAATGTCACTAACTTGGTGCCAACATCGACAGCATCGGTGACTGAATCGAGAGTAATAAATTCGATGTCGTCGTTAGAATCGACAGCAGATAGAGTATCACCGACAATATTGAAGCAATTATTGCATTGGAGAACTGCTGGATTATCTTTCAATTCTTCCTCCATAATGTTAATTGACGATCTTGCACGAACCGGTGTAATATTGATTGCATCAACAAATTTGACAACAGGAAGATTGCACAGTCGAATAGAGACTTTTACAGACCGATCATTGCTATTGACGCTATCCTACACCAAAAGTAATAGTATTTCCCTACGATAGCGTGATCATTCTTGCTAATAAGGTGTTGATAAAGCTGAAATAATCAGCCTTTAACCAATTATTTTCTTGATTTAGAAGTTGAAAGTGCTGCTAGCAGTGGTGGAATAGTCGCAGTCAACTGATTTGGGCACCTTATTGTATACTTTAATATCAGTTTTTGACTACTACGGCACTTTGCCGGACGGACAGGATAGACTGAATACGATGCTGTATACTGTACGATACAGTGCATTTTATTATATACTTCTGTAGGCGTAGTCAAAAATGTCCAACGACTAGTAAGTAAAGACTTGATGTCCGCTGATTATTTATTTTTTTCCAGCTATTTATCCACTTGAATTTCTTCTACTACTACTGCAAGTGGATTTTCTTTCCTCTAGTAGTCATTAAGTTGTTGTGTAGTCCTGCTGCATGTAAGAATGATCCCTTCGAGGTCTTACTTGAGCAATGTAGAAGAATAATTGACACTCAAATTGAGTAGTGTTGGTGCATGAGAAGACTGTTGTTAGCCATGACTGCCTTCACCATGGCAGCGTAGTGTTACAAGATGGATAACTTACTTTGCAAGTTGCAACGCGTTAGTAGATGGCATTTTTTAATTACGTTTATAGCCCCTTGTACTATAAAGGCATGCAATACAGCTCCTTTTAGATATTTATAATTTGCTAGAACAATTGCAGCATTCCTATGATGTTGATGGTCTATGTTGCAGAGCTCATCAACGAATATTGCAACGCGCTAGCACAAGAATTGGCGAGAAACATAGAATTTGAACATTTTTTTATTGCGTTTATAGCCCCCTTCTAGTATTCTGACGTGTAATCGAGCTCATGTTTTTTAAACATCCATCATTGGCTACAACAATGTTAGTTAGCATTACTACTGTGTTGATGGACCATTTTGCTGCACAGCATAGCTCATGCAGGCGTTAATGCCTGCTAGCTGTTACAGGAATCCATCATAACACGTAATTTGTGAACTTTTGCGATTGCCTACATGATCCCTTTCTACGATGCAGGTATACAGCACAGTATTGTGGAGCTCATTGAAGATATTTATCCTTCAGTAGGACACAATTCTAGCATTGATATCATGTTGGGCGTCCATTCGCCTGTGCTAGATCTCTTTCTCGTAGTCCTTGCGTTGGTCCATGAGCTAGCATTGCAACGCGTTGATAGTAAAGAATTACACTGGAATAAATATGTAGGCATGGAGATAGCTCATTTTTATATAATTATTTATTATATAATTCATTATAACAATTTAGCCTTTTTTATTGGATTAATGGTCCACTCTTAATGGCTTAAGGCTTGCTCATGCAGCATAACGGATTGGGTTGCTGATAGCTTCTAGCAGATGTGAAGCCCTGTTTGCTGCAAAAGCACTATCGATAACCCTGGCCCCTAAAGTTTTGGACATGTTCAAAGGTTGTAGATGAAAGGTTTATTACCTTTAGGCTACAACTGACAGAGGGTAAATGCCAATCCAATAGCTCAGTACTTGAGTATTAAGGAAGAGTAATTAATCTATCAAAAAGAAGTCCAATGAATAATGTACGAACGGTAAAAGTTCGAAATTTGATGAAGTCATTACCTTCATGTACATCATCATCCTACAAAGTCTACGAAAGCCAATCCAATGATAAAAAGTTTGAATGAGTAAAAGTACTGTCCAAAGTAATACTCAAGATAGTCGCTAGCGCCACTAGTAAAATCCTAAATGACAGTACTGGATTATCAAGATGTCATTTAACTTGGGCTCCATTGGATGGACTACAAGTGTTATTTGTACCACAAAAAAAAACTTTTCGGTATAGGAGCTATCCCGTGGAATTGATGCATTTTGTCATGAGGAAGAATGTCGACTTTTATTACAGTAACGCACATTTTATAGACGAAAGTCACATCATGGCAGGTACCATTTCCACTACATAGAATAATGCACGTATCAATAAAGGCAATGAATGACTAACATTTAAAAAATAGGGGAAAATGATTTCCATTTTATGGAAGAAAATGATATCATGTCATAGCTCCATTTTCCATTGCATAAGATGATATCAATAAGGGTAATAATTACTCAGAATTCCAAAATAATTCAGGCATTGGCCAACTTTGACTATGTCTATAGTTCTACGCTGTAATTTATCGTCAAACTCTCATATTGGCCAGTAGCTGAATTCGACAGTACAGTAGCGATGAATTTTATCCATTTTATTGTAACAACCAATGTCCATTCTCATATTGCCTAGTGCCTGAATTCGATAGGAGTTCAGTAAAGATATAGTTTAGCTGATAGAAAGCGTTGTTTGAGTCATCAAAATTTGGCAGTTTGGCAACCATTCAATGAATTATATCCATTTCATCGTAACAACCAATGTCCGCTCCCATAAGAGCCAGTGCCTGAATTCGATGCTAGTTCAGTAAAGATATAATTGAACTGACAGGAAGCGTTGTTTAAGCCATTAAAGTTTGGCAGTCTAGCAGCCATTCCGTGAATATTATCCATTTCATTATGACAACAAATATTCATATTAACCAGTCATTCAAATTTTTAAAATGAAAGTTACACTCTAGACAGTAGTAACATTTTCCACTGCGTATCTTCTATACTCTGTGAATACAATATCGGCCATCTCAGAAGTTACTAATCCGCCGAAACAGATGTAATCTCGATCCATTTCTTTCAACTAGTCCTTCTTGCTTCATCATGTTCATTCTAACTACACTGTTGTAGCTGAAAGATTGTTCTATCCTTCCCTGTTTAACGTTGCATCTTGAATAACTACGTTGCTATCAAAGAGCAGAGGCAGCTTTCCCAAAACATCGTGGCCTTCTGTGGTTGGTTGGGTCAAATAATGACAGTAATTAATGAACTAATTAATTCATTCAAAAGTCTTTTTTATTTCCGCAAGCTTTTATACCAGCTTATATTGGCTTAACACAATTTCCACTGGTATACTAGATGGTGTATTGTACCCGTAGTCTATAGTAGTTCATATACCATCTTCTCCATATTTAACGGCATAACCAGTTAGCAATTTTTTGACTCTACTGTACACTGGCTCTCTTCAACTTTCACCATTAATTTTTAATCGTATTGTATGAGATGATCAATTACAACAACTAAACAAAAAGTATCCACAACTGTGCAGTATACTACATTGATATCAGAATCGGAAGAGTTTCTCTTTTACCTGCTAATTTTAAATTTGCAACTTTCCATCTTCATTTATCGTCCATAATTCAATCCATTCAAAAAGAAAAGCATGAATGCAATCCATTGGACTGCGTTAATCATCTTCATTTCATATCTGACATTTACTACAGCGTTTGGCCAACTAGAAGGTAACATGCTACGGATGCTTTCTACTGTCAGAGACCGTCAAAATGTTGTATCTATTATAGCTTTCATACGTACTATATCGGACAACATCGCAGGCAAACTGATAATCCTGACTAGTCTAGACCATTCCTTCTCCATACAGATCGTTGTTGCTGCATTTCGGAGAGAACGCATTTTTATAGCTGTGCATCGTTTCCTACAGTTGCTGCATTACTTTCTAGGGGTTCTTGTTTGTCATGAATAAATGCATTAAAGCATCCAACCCTGATCGTTACTGACATCCTATTATGCCTGCTTTCTACTTCGAATTACTTGGCTTACCATCGTTGTAAATCAATCATCTATAGTAACAGCACACCAAGAAAGTTAACTTGTCTAATCTTCAATATCTATTTATCACCTATTAGTAGGGGCTAGTCCATCATCATGATCATTTCATTCTGTACAATAACAAGAAAGTTGAAATATCTTTGCTGTATAAGTAGTATACAACAGTACAAAGAATGGAACTCAACGACTGTATTATTCTCTTTTCTAGGTACAAAATTATATTGTGATGGATGTAAAGCGACGGTTAAAGGTAAATGAATTTAAAAGACTAAATCTAAAAATAAGATCCTGTTACTGTAGCATTAATTACTAAAAAGATTTGAACTTGGTTATCGATCGTAGTACTCGTAGATAATTCAGATCAAATAAATAAGAAATGGTAATCTTTAAAAGACACCACAGATGCCCATCGAATGTACTTGAATAGTATTCAATTACTTTCTTGGATCCAGTACAGCCTATATAGTATACGTACTCATAGGAATGCATACTATACATTTATTTGCGATTCTTGCAACATGAAGGCAAATTTGTTTACCATGTTCTTACGAACACGGCTACCACATCATTTTAAAATAGGATTACATGCTGTCATACTTGTGTAAGTTATGGTTCTCAATACAAAATAGAGTGGCCCAATTTCATTGTTTCTCGTTGTCTGTAGTATTAATGCAGTTAGCTTTTTTCAATGTTGTTATATCGATTCATCGATATTGCATTATTTATTGTTTACTTTTCGTACGATTTAGAAATGATGGCGGTTATCCATAAAAGAAAAATGTCCGAACCACTGGATGTGGCTGTGGTAGAAGCCTTCGAAGTATGTTCATCTGTTGACCTATTTAGGAAATACGAGTATCCACCACCTGATAACTTAAAAGTCTGTAATCACCTTCTCGGTAAGTGGTTAGCATTTCCATTTATCAAATTTAAAGAGTATTAGCGATAGATGATAAAGGATAGGTTACGGATGAGGGAACAGAATGAGAACTGACTCTTACAGTAGGACGTTAGGAACAATACCTTACTTTCAAAAATACAGTAATCCTTTAAAATTTTAGTCATTCTTCTGCACTTCTTATATTCTTGTTTAGTATCATAAACTCAATGTTCTAGCATAGATTGTAGATTGGATTCTCAAAAATTAGTTTAGATCGTAATCTTGATTTTTATTGATAGATACATTATGTACGTACAGTACATGGCTGCTTAAACTTAAAATCCAATAATTAATTTCTATTAATTATTAGTTGGCTAGAAGGATAGGAAAGAATTAAATAACTAATACATGGATTTTTATTGCTGTCACCTTTATATCCTAGACAAATATGAGGAAGAAATCGAAATGCTATTAATGAAGAAAGTTGAGGATCCTGAACAAAAGATTTGCTTCGAACTTTCTAAAGCCTGCGGTGGAAATACTACTGGCAAGGACTCAAAATTAACCAGTGAAAAAAACAATGAAAATAAAGATGAATTATAATTTTCTAGGCCTTAAAACAAATTTTTAAGATATCGATGATTGTACAGCATTACTTTTAGTTTCTTGTCTAATGTTTACGGCCTGTGTTATAACTTATAAGCATAGTTAATCTCCATTTAATTTAATAATATTATCTTGGTTTAAAGCGTTTCCTTTTTCGATCTATTAAAGATAAAGTTATGCTTTACTGTAGTGAGATTATGTAGATGCATATGTGCCTGTGTTTATATCTCGATTCTTTTCTGCGTAGACTATTAGCGAAAATATTGCTATAATAGTACCTTGCTATTAGCAATCTACTTACGAAGAGTATAATGGATCCACTGGTAACAATAGCGACACAAATGCTACAAATTTATCAGATTAGCAAGAGGCTAACGTTCCTTACCTTAGTCTGATCATTAATCTTCTAAATTTATTTCCTAGGTTATCCTATCTATTTCTACTATCCACTACACTATATGAAGAGTTCTTTCAATACTATTTATTATTTAACATCGCATGTATTAATATTGAATAAATACACAACACATAATATTTAAGGTAGTAATTTACAGGATGTCATAAGACAATGTATGTTCTTAAACAATTTAAAGTTGCTAAATGTCATGTTGCTGTCAATAAGACATTAACTCAGTTGTAGTTAAGAAAGTCTTAACAATACTGTGCAACTGTGAGCTTAAATCAATGTTAAAGGGCAGCAAAACTGATAAACACTCCTAACATAGCTTCAACTAATTAACGATCTCATTTCACTTACGAATTAATTTCAAGATAAACCAGATCAATATTACAATGTTAGAAAAGTGCAGATACGGGATTACATGGCTATGCTTTACTAAAATGCGTATAGGAGAAATAGTTGATTCACAATCACAATAGCTAATGTTGTGGAGAGGGGGTACTAATAGTCACATAAAAATACGTACAAGGGCTTTTTGTTGCGTAAAAAGTATATCAGACTGTAAATAAATAATAAACTATAAAGATTAGTGCACTCCCGTAAGTCCAAGGTTTCTACGGTGAGATCGTTATTGAAACTTAAACTTATCCGGCAATGCATTATTAACAATGTCATAAAACTTACCTTATTTGTGCTGAACTGTACATGTAACTTATCACATCAGCCTCGAAACACTAATCTAAGCTAATCATCAATTTTACTCCGATCAATATACGTATCGTCACTGGACGTTTCGAAATCTATCATCTTTGAAGCGTACTAACAAATAAATAAGAGACGTGCCACTATCAGAAACAAGGCTGGTGCATAATTATCCTAACTAAACAACTTTGTACAATTTCAAAATTGATGTTCTTAAAACAACTTCAGTAACTCGGTTAAATCAATTCGAAGTCCAAATAAACAGTATTTTAGATCAAATTTTATTTTGCATCAGGTATTTACTTTTACAATTTCATCTACACTTAAGAAAATACCATAATAGTAAAATGTTCGTGTACATTATGATTCATTTGAAGAAGTCAAAAAAAATTTGTCATTTTTACCTTTTATAATATTAATAAAGGAAATTGATATAATAATAATAAAGAAATTAAACAAGACTATCGACCACATTTACGGTCAAACATCAAAAAAGAAATTGTTTATGCATAATTTTCTTCAATTACTCGAATATCATCGATCTTCAATATCATTCGTACCAGCTGAGTAGCCAAACTAATTTGTTTCTTTTTTGCAAGCAATGTTTCTATAACATGTTGCTTTTTCATATCTATAAAAAGATATATAAGTTATGCTGCATTAGATGGCTGTAACGTTTTTGCAGGATAATCAATTAAAGGAACTAACATACAAGCGGACATGTAGACGTAAAGGGAATAGGTGATAAAGTTACAAGAATAGCTTGTCCGACTTATGAAGAAAAGAAATGCTTTGTACAGTACTATACACCTAACGTACCGTTGGTGCTGTTTCGCATACAATCGATTCCAAGATAAGGATTTTTCTCAGACACCTGCCTCGATTTTACTTCAGCAAGATTCATAATCGGATGTAAACCGGAATTTTCAGCTAAAGCCATCGGAATGGCTTCTAAAGCATCGGCGAAACCTCTCATAGCATACTGTTCTATCGTTGATATCTACAAGTGTGTAACAAAGATAAAGTACAAGTTAAGTCATAATGCACTACCGCAAGAAATCCTTTCTGTAATTTATAATTATTATCACTAAAAGACTCTATAGCGCGAGTATATCTAATTGTAGCTCCTTCTTCAATATTACCTTTTCTGCTTCGTTACTAACGGCAATAGCACAAGATATTTCTGCAGCACCTCCACCATACACAATGTGACTATCTCGAACCAGGTTACGAATAACACATAAAGCATCGTGGATACTTCTTTTAGCTTCTTCAATAATCTAATAAGACATTTAAAAAGGTAGATAAATCTTGATTAGAATAATCAATTTCTTCAGAGAAATGGTTGAAATATTTTCATATACCATTTTATTGCCGCCTCGAATAAATATTGTCACAGCTTTACTGTTAAGACACTCTTCCACCACTAGCATTTTTTCCTTTGTGGTTCCAAACGATAGTTCCTTGATAACGCCTGCTTTTCCTAGTTTACTCTCGCTCAATTCGCTAAATCTTGGTACGATACGACCACCTGTAGCAATTGCAATCAGCTAGACAACAAGATTGAAGTCATTCTTTTAGGATAGCTATTCTTAACGGTATGAAATAGAATAGCGCAGTACGTTAATCAGGTTAGCTATTATCGCTACTATACCTCGATCTCAGGCCCACCAACCCATCTGACCGCAGGTAAATTATTTTGTAACAACAAATGATTAGCTTCATCATCAAATCCCCACTGACAAATAGCTACGTTAGCACCGGCTTTTTTGACATCAGCTATCATTTCTTCAAACTTTTCCATTTCATACTTTCGAAGATCTTTATAATCTTGTACTGAAGTTACATCTAAATGATGTTTTGTTTTCGGTTTTGGAGGCTCAAAAGGACAGGTTAAGATTGCAATCTTGGCGTCTCTTACAATCTATTAATTATAGTGAATTGATGTGAATATGATGCAAATAGGATCACTTGTACGATATACGAGGTTCATAATCATTACAATATTGAAAAGACGCTGGTAGTTATTACAATAGTTTATATTCATATATGACTGCATCAGTGCTGTAATCCGATAAATATTACAGATAGCAATCGTTTTCAGTCATTTATTGATATTGCATGATGTCTGGCCTCGATGATACGACAAAAGTTATCATAAAGGAATCCTGTTTCATGCATCTTTACCCTACTGCTATAACAGTAAACAATTCAATCAACGTATTGACGATTTCCATGCTTACCTTGGGCATTTGTGGATGGCTAAAATCTTTGTCAATTACGACGCCTTTCACAAGTCTACTATCGTCTAATTTACCACCAACTTTTCCGTCGACTTTGATCAATTCGAAATTGACATCTTTTGTTTTAAAATCTGCTACGTTCAGAACGGCATCAACTGCCATTTCAGCAAATTGGCGGAGACAACGATTGACTCTAAATAAAATGATTACAACATTGCCTGTCAGATGCTTTTATAAGCGCATAAGATAAAAATTGACCAACTCGATCGCTTGTAAAATCAATGTATTGTAGTTTGAATACTGATATGTATACGAGCAATACAACACTTGACAGAGCAAGGTATTTGAAAACAAATAATAGGATTCAACTCACATTTTCGATCCTAAAGATGTCATTGCTGTTTCTATTAGACGTTCACGATTATTGGCAGTAATGGGAAAGTCGTCACTGATTGCATCTAGATTCTTGAGTGCAATTTCAGATGCTATTTCAAAGCCATCAGCAACACGAATAGGATGAATTCCCTTCTCTAGTAATATTTCAGCTTGCTCTAACAATGCACCAGCTAAAACTGCAAAATCCGAATACAGAGAAGACAATTTAGGGATAGACTGGATGATACGAGTATTGCTTAGTTAGTAGTACACGTGTATTTCAATGGATCAAGACAAGACAGCGTTACCATGATGAAATAATCGATATCATCCATACCTACTACACCTGTGGTACCATCACCAATCTCTTCATCTTGTGATTTCGATAAATCAACCATTAATTTAGCAATTTGATGCTCTATAGTCATCATGGACAAAATGGTTGCACCATCGTTGGTAACCGTTACGTCACCATCAGGACTAACCATGATCTTGTCCATTCCTACAGATATCATACAACAGACCAAGATATTGACATGTTGAGTGATGATGACTTTAGATGGCATGTAGAAACAATTATAAATGGATCATTTTTACCTTTAGGGCCTAAAGATGATTTCAACGTGTTGGCTATAGTTCGAGCAGCAAGGATATGTGTCTAAAAAGGAACGACATAAATTCCATTAGTAATCCATGATGATTGACGCTTGATTGACCTCGTTGTCAAGGTGCAAAACTTGAGGGTACTTGTAGACTTCTTATTATACAGTAAGAATAAAACGTGAACTATGACATGAATTAAGATGTCAAGATGTTATTCCCTGACTGAAATAAAGCTCATTTTCTACTTGAATAACTCTAATCTGAGTTGATTGCTGGTGATTTACTTTGAATGATGGTACAAAAAGACAGTTTACTGCATTTACCTTTTGAGCAGCTAAACCACTCAATCTCTTACGCCGCTCTTGATCTTTCATAATAATGAAAGGTCGCCCATATTCATCAAATGCCAAGGAAGGCGCTGCCATAGACATGATTGATTAAATAGTGTTAATAATATCAATAGTAAAGTAAAATAGAATGTCGGATGGCTACAGATTGCTTCCGATCTAGATGATGACTTCAAATCGGTTGGAGAAACGCTAAGCCCCTGTCGTGACGATTCAATCTTGCCTGATACTACAGATTGAGGGCGCATCTACTGTACGCATACAGGACGTCAAGGCGTATGTGTAGACTAGTGTTACCCTGGTCGCGAGGACTCTGTCAGTCTGTCCACTGTCCTGGCGGAAGAGGGTTTCGTCCAGTACTCTACAATGTACAGTACGTGAAGTCGTTGCTACAGTACTCGGTACTGTAGTCGCCAGCACGGGAAGCACCGTTTTACTTGGTTTTGCAGTCCGACTGTCTAACTTCTACTGTACTGTACTGTACAGTGTACAGTACAGTACTGTACAGTAGAATAAGATCCGTCCACACGGCGAACTTTTTTCAGGACTACCATAAAGACTTCAGTCAAATCCTGTATTTTTGTCTTCGTCAAGGACACTGGAAGACAAGGGCTAAACGTGACGCCTAAAAGGTTACTACATTACTGTACAGTACTGTACAGTACAGTACTTGAAGCCCCTGCTACAGTACTCAGTACTGTACTCTCCAGCCCGGGAAAGCCATCTAGCCGCGCACCGTTTTACCTGGTTTTGCACTCCGACTTGTCTAAAAGGTGTTCCAATGGAGCATGGGCAAAGTCGGGTCAGCGGCTTACGCCACTATTGCATGAAGTGTATTCATGCAGTATTGCATCAGTAAGAAGCCAGGGACTTTAAAAGAGTTTCCTCTTTCTTTGAAAAGTCCATGCCCTGGCCCTGACTCGTATCAACTCACTTGTACAGTTATGGAAAATCCGCATGTGCGGGCAGTCAGGCTTTGAAAATAGCGTCCAGTAGCATGCAACTGTGAGAGTCTGTACTGTACAGACAGTACTGTAGAGTCGGGTACAGTACATTGTACTGTACCATGGACCCTAGTACAGTACTACAGTACAGTACAGTGCAGCACAGTACAGTACTGTACTGTAATGTCACAGTAGTAAGTACAGTAGACATGTACTGTAGCTCGCTTCTACTGTGTGGACAGTACAGTACAGTAGAGTACCGTATACTGAGTAGAGTACAGTAGAGTACTGTACAGTACAGTATAGTACACCGCTTGTCCTTGGCAGCAGCGCTGTGTCTTGATAGAGCGTTCCAAACATTGCTTCACCTGTCAATGGTTCACTTCCCCACGATCGACACCCATCGTATCATACCAAAGCATCTACTGTGTGCACAGTACAGTGCAGTTCAGTACTATACACTACACTAGTCCTTGGCAGCAGTGCAGTGTCTTGATAGAGCGCTCCAAACATTGCTTCACCTGTCAATGGTTTCACTTCCCCACGATCGACACCCATCGTATCATACCAAAGTGGTCATGCGCAAGAGTAGTGACTACAGCGAGCGACCCTATGGACTGTAACAGCCAACTGCACTGACGAAGGCTCTAACGGGGACGCTCGACAGAAAAGAAAAATGTCTACCCAACCTGAAAGGTAAGTTGACTATTGCCATCTGACGCTTATCGATAGTCATCGTATTGAATTTTATCCTCCTTGTGGATTGAATGCATTGATGGTGCTTTTGCACTTTCTTATGTCATCATTTTTTAAAGTCAACTTGCCATGACACTATCATAAATGCTATTATTATTTGTCAATTCTAGCGAAGACAAGGATTCCAAGAAGAAAGCTGACAAGGCAAAGAATTCGTCCAAAAGTAAACGTCGCAGTCATTCCACAGACAGTAGCAGCAGCAGTGGTAGCAGTAGCAGTGGTTCATACAGTACATCTGGCAGGTAACATCCTACTTTTACTACTTTTCCCTTCTTATTTTACCTCATTTTTTTGCCTAATTGGACGTGCTTGATCTTCATCTTGGTGCAGTTATTCATCTTCGTCTAGTCGTAGCAATTCCGCTAGCAGTAGCAGCTCCAGCTACTCAAGTAGTAGCGCCAGTCGGTCAAGCTATCGTCGGCGAAGAAATCGCTCTCCGGCTGATCGATACCGTGATCAGAAAGAGAAATCTCCCAAACGTCGTAGTCGGTCACCAAGGAAACGTAGTCCATCTCCACAACCTGAACAATGCAAAATTCACCTCGGTAGATTAACACGAAATGCAACCAAAGATCATGTACAAGAAATCTTTTCCAATTACGGTAAAGTTAAAAACGTCGACGTACCCACGGATCGCGCCAATGGGTTACCAAGAGGTTTTGCTTATATAGAATTTGAAAATGGTAAATCTGCAGAAAATGCTATAAAGTACATGAATGGTGGACAAATTGATGGACAGGCTGTCACTGTTGCTCTGGTATTACCAATGACTGTTAAAGAGCGAAAACCACGACGTTCTCCACCTCAACGTTTCCGCCCAGCAAGAAGGAATCACTCTCCACGTTATCGTAGAAGATCTAGGTCATATTCTCCTCGTCGGAGAGGATCACCTCGTCGATCTAGGTCCCGCTCTCCTCGGCGTCGAGCATCACCTCGTAAATCCAGATCGCATTCACCTCGTAGGAGAAGTCCAGTTGGCCGATCTCGGCGTTCTCGTAGTCGTAGTCCGCGGTATCGTAGACGCAACCGTGATCGCTCTAGAAGTCGTTAATTTGTTCTACAAGATTGTTTAACTTATCTGCCGAGAAATCTACCTATGTACAGTATTGCCTCCGGCGCGATCATGCGATTCATGTCTATGATAGCTTTATGAAAACATGAAAATGGAATGCTTTTTACTAGCTTTAGTATCACAACACTGTAGTCATCCCTGTCATCTGCTTCTTCATGTTTTGATGCAGAATTGATGGCAAAAGTAACAATATTTCTGTTATGAATTCCACAATTCCAAATAGTACAGTGATGCGAGATACATTTGTACTTCTTGTTTGTATTGTCAAATTTTCAAGCAGTCGTTTTATGACTGTGCCACTGTAAAGTTGCGTTCTTCCTGATGTATTAAAGTTGCCCTTCATTTGATTCTACACAATTTTTGTAGTCGTTTGATTGATTCTTATTAGCCTTGTCTGCTACAGTACAAAGTTACCTTTACTACTTTCATCCGCAAGATTTTAACTTTCAGCCAAACATGCCATATTATATGTGGTATGGCCAATTGAAAGCCACAGAAACTACATATATGCATTAAGATGAGATATTGCGGAGTCAATCGAAATTTCTACATACTGTCCAAAGTAACGGAAACTACTCGTTTTCTACACTTTTTGTATCGATTTGTTTGAAACTCAACGCATTACAGCCACAATTTTCAAAAAAGATACACTGTAATAGCCTTACAGTATCTTGCTTTTTATTATGACAACGAATGAAATAGCTACAATCATTCATTACAGGAAATGGCACCAAGCCACGACACCATCATATGCAAATTTAGAAGTGATCATTCATTCATTAATTGTACAACCCAACAATATTAGATCAGGCTATCACTTCAATCTTGTTGACCGTCTAGGTATAGCTATAGGAAGAGTGAATTATTATCTTAATGGCTTAGTAATGTATTTGTATCCTCCTAAAAATGCTACAGTATCTCTCTTTGCATTTTTGCTATTCGTAACACAGACCACAGAAGTAAACCATTTTCGCCAAAAACAGATCAAATGGTGTGTATCAAAGTACCAAATAAAAAGTGAGAAAAGTTGATTTTTTTAATTTATAATACACCGCGTTGCGGATAGCCCTTCAATCCAAACGTACCAAAGGTGAATACAGTACAGTGATTCGCATTAGTCGAGCACAGCATCATTACGTAAGATAATGTTTTAATTACCGTAGTCAAATTGATCACGCTGGGAAAAAAATTTACTGCAAAGTATAGAGCACTACAAGTATTACTGCACTGTCAACTCGAGCGAAAGGAACTAGAAATAGATTTCCAATCATAAAATACAATTTTCTAATAACTAGAGTATTTTCTAACACTTTTAACATAGGTCTAGCTAGTTTGCTAAAAGTAGGATGGTTTTAATCACATTTTCGCAATAAGAAACATCGGATAAATACTAGTAGTTATTACAACAGAAGAAGCTTAATTTTTTAGTCCACTTCCATTTGTTCCTGCATTGTAATAAGATCAAGGAAAACAATCAATTGAGGAAATCGCATTTTAAAATAAATAAATATCGTATCACTTACTCCTGATTTATATGCATCCAATTGCGCATCCAGATCCGTCGCTGAGACAGGCTTTTGTCTGCTTCCTCCTCTTCCTCTACCGCGGCCTCGGCCTCCACCTCGACCACGTCTAAAGACGCCACCGCGTCCTCGTCGGCCGGCATTACCTCCTCTACTATTAATTATAGAGCATCGAGTTGGATTGATGATCAATATGTTTCAGTTGATACACATTAAAACAACTTGGACTAGTGTGGAGCACTATATTGTAACTGTCATTAAAAGCCATACGAACTACGAACTGAAAGTGTTATCTGCAAGTGCGTAACACTATCATGATGGAATCACTCAAAAGGCACAATAGTATTTGGAAAGGTTTTTAGCTGAACAGATAAATTTACCTGTTAAAGTTGTTACTTCTGTTATTTCCCACGCGTCCAGTAGTTCCTCTAGTTGACACAGCCTCATTAACTAATTGAATTTTCATTGGCCTTCCTACATTGTTTTTCAATTGAAGCCCAGTTAGACGATATACGATACTTGATTCAAAGTATTTTCTACGAAACAAGTTATGACCGACCGTCCAATGGTATGTTGTTGTATTTTTTTAAGGCAGCAACAGCCCCTTCTTTCCGATCAAAAATGACCTCAGCAGTTCCTAGTGATCTCCCCGAGCGGTCGTAGTGAACGGAACCTTTTTTCAAGTTACCAAATTCACTAAAGAGTTCCTAATAATGAAGTAGAAATATTGAATTATACACCTAAGACCAGGGAAGAGCCGAACCATCCCTTCTAACGGCGAGCGGCGATAATGAGTAATCAGCCAGTGATTTGGCCAAAATATGATAAACGACTTTGTGCCATCAGCTAGTTATTCCTCTAGATATGCCTTTGTCTTAAGGCTTAATTTAGTACAACATTGTACAGTAGTAGCGTACATACGTAGTAAGAAGCACACGTTTATGCTTTTGAGTACTTCTACCGGCGTGAAGTAGAGCATGATTGTAAAAAAAACAACCTGCCATTCAGAGCGAATGCTCGAATATCTACTACGGAAATGCCGTATACAACATCATGTTTTGGTATACGGCAGACAGTGACGACGCTAGTTTTTTTTGTTAAGTACGCATTGCACGAGTATCATGATTGCCTATTAAGAAATTGAGTTAGGAAACGCCACTATCGTCCTGTCTCATCCTAACCTTAATATCATTATCAGAAACACCGTAATCCAAATTTGAAATCAATAACTTGCTGCTTGTGCTGATTCGATTTGGGCCAAGTCCACCGCCTTTATACATATCGTGGTCCCATTTATCGGGTAAAGTTCTTGACTACAGAGAATAACAGTTGTAGAAGAATTGCTTGCTCAGCGAAAAAAAGAAAAAAATGCTGCAAATTTGGTGTATGCGTTGTAAAAGCAAGTGGTGCTATAGAATGATTTTCATCGTGTCTAGTTGCATATGGATTGCCCGTCAATCATACAATTTGGGGCATATTTTAGTTAGATTAGTTTTAATTTGAAAGATTAATATCTTCAGCAATGATGTACTGAAGTAGTACGAAGATGTCTTTCTTTCCAATACGTACACGAGAGAACGGCGTCATTCGTTGTCGATTTCGCCCCGTCATGTTGCCACCACGTCCACGTCCTGACATGGTGCCTCGGCCTCTTCCGCCTCTGCCTCCTCTGCCTCTGCCTCGGCCACGTCCGCGACCACGGCCACCAGACTTCTTAATAATATCGTCTAAAGACATATCAATCTTCTCTGTTGCCATATTGAAATGATTTAATTTACTTTCGATGCGGTAATAAACGTTCAAGACAAGAAAGGGAGTCAAGGAAAAAAAAGGTGCAAATGCGAAAAAATGGCGGTCAAAGCAATGTTTTTAACCGTCTGAACTTGACGACCCAATTGTATATACACTTATTACTGAACTGCGGTAGTGGTACGGTACTGGTATGGCAGTTGAGCGGTCAAAAAAGGGCAAAAAAAAGCCAAAACACTTTTCTATTTCAAACCACTCAAACATGAGTTTACTTTATATACTGTGCCCTATAGAGATGCCGTCATTCTTGTTATAGTACTAGACAGTACCACAAGGACAACCAGCCGCGTCAATGTGGACTACAGTACAGACTGCTGTAAATTACGGTACTATACTGTAGGCAGGACTAAAACATTGCACTGCACTGTACAGTACTGTATACTGCACAGTACTGTATGGTAGTTTTTCTCTATTACAAGTATGTACTGTACACTACTGTACTGTACAGTGTACAGTACTCTACAGTACACTGACTGTACACTGTACACTGTACGGTCGATGAACGTTTAATTAACGTCATACCGTCTGCTCGACGTTTACTGTTGTTACTCATTGTCACCAGGGACCAACTTCGGAGACTAACAATACTGTACTAAGGCTTCGTCTTACAAGTCTTTAAAACAGTACTGTACTGTACTAAGGCTTCGTCTTACAAGTCTTTAAAATGGTACTGTACTACGGCTTCGTCTAACAAGTCTTTAAATCAGTACTGTGCTACGCCTTCGTCTTACAAGTCTTTAAAACAGTAATGTACTATGGCTTCGTCTTACAAGTCTTTAAAATAGTACTGTACTACGGCTTCGTCTAAGAAGACTTTAACTGAAGTAAAGACTGGATTGTGTATTTCTGCAGAATGCAGACTCTTTCTTCAGGAATGGGCTTCCCAAAATTAATATTAGCGTGCTAATGCAGTCTCGAAGGTAGAATGTAGTTATCAGATACATCACTGTACCCTTAAGAGCAAAGCTCATTCTACCCAGCATGGACCTTGAATTCTACTGTAGAAAGAAATGACTATATTAATAGCTAGCGGTTGTTTCAGTATTTCAAGGAATAAGGATAATTGAATTCTAGTGTAGAAAGAAATGACTACAGTATAGCTAGCCGTTGTTTCAGTATTTCAAAGAAGGGAAAATTATTAAAATAGAAGATCAAATTTTATCAATTGTTAAGATAAAAGACAAAATTAGCCCAAATTTATTAAAATAGAAGATTCGCACACGTGGTCCATCTACGCAGTCTCAGCCAGACTTTCCTCTATAATTTAGATAATTGAATTCTACTGTAGAAAGAAATGACTATATTAATAGCTAGCGGTTGTTTCAGTATTTCAAAGAATAAGGATAATTTCTTATGGGGAATCCCTGCAGCAGCGAGGGGAAAATGAATAGGCTACACCGAACCCCAAACTTCATAGGAGATGCATGAAAATATTCAATTCTACAAAGATATTACCATAGTAATAGCTAGGGATTATTTCTGTAATACTGTAATGATTTTATATACTCTACTAGAAGGGAAAGGAGAATGTTTTTCTTATTGGCGACCACTGCACGAGCTAGGGGAAATTAGTATTGAGGATACCGGATACCTGCAAGAGGTAGGAGAAGTTAAAAGGCCTACGCTATTATAGCCGAGCCCAGAACTTTCAATGAGATACATGGACCCATTATTTCTATAAAGATATTACTATATTAATAGCTAGTTGCTGTTTCAATAATAATTATGCTGTATATTGTAAGGGAAAGGAGAATTTCTTATTAGGGATCTCTACCGGAGCTAGGAAAATAAAAGGCTATGCTAGTAGAAACGGAAGAAAAATTTCAAAAATGAACATCATGTGCAAAGAGATCTCATTCTACAATATAGCCGAGCCCGGAACTTGAAGTGTGATACATCGACTCCTTGTAAAAATAAATTATCATCGTAATAAAGGAAAGGATGATTTCTTACTTGGGGTTACTGCGGGAACCAGGCAAAATTAAAAGACTGCGCTATTAGAAACGCAATGAAATTTCCAAGAATTAGTATCTACCATGTGGAAAGAATCTTTATTGTTTCATAAAGTACATAGCCAAAAGAAGGCTATGCAGTTCATTTACAGTATTTTGAACAACAGATTTAATTCTATAATAGGATACTCATTGAAGACTATAGCTATGTTAGCGATCGATATGTCATGACAGATACACAGCATAGTCACAAAGAAAAGTAATAACTTGATCAATTCTAAATTTAGACGGCGAAAGTTGCGGTCTAGGATACTTGAATCATAAACGTTGGTACGTTAGCGTCAGGCAACTAGGAATAGCTTTTGAATTGACATCATTTAAAACAAGCATCAAGCAATAATTTGCCTTGAGAGTAATAAATAAATCATCTGAAGTTTATAGAAGTATGAGTCAGAACATTCGATGAAATAGGTATGTGCCATGAACAATCGCCATAATAATAACTACAAATATTTGACTTAATCATCTTAAACAAATTTTAGGAATAAACTCTTCATATAGCGAGCTTCGAAAGCTACGGTCCTCGTACCAGGTTGGATTACCGTACTTTGTAGTGGTTGTTCAATGATACTTGGTATAGTTTTACCATAGGCTAGAACAACGAATAATATAAGCAAATTATATATCCATTCTGTCACTGAATAATTAGAAATACATTAGAGCTGGTAACTAGAAATACGAAAATCCCCTAACGTAGAAGACAGTGCAGCTTAATTATCAGATCATACAGTATAGGTACACTCTATCACTCAAAAATTACTAAATTAATTGGTACTGATAACTAGAAATAACAAAATTTCTGAATTCATTAAATTAAAGCTGATAACTAGAAATGACGAGATTTCTTAATTTAATACGTACTGTAGTACGACTTGATTCATTATTAGTCAATATACTACAGTAAAGAATGATTCTAGAATTAAATTTGAAAAAGAGAATCTTTTCCATGAATTTTTGTCACAAGTACCTTCACAATGTTCAAAAAACTGAATAATTTCTTGCAAGACACTATCTCTGACGAGGATCATATGTTTCGCCTTTCAGAAGAATCAAAATTAGTGCAAAGTACAGTACACGTAGAGTATAATTAAGTATGCTTGAGTACTCACCATATTTTCTAATAAAGAGCAAAAGCAACGTTTAGCATAAAACCAAGTGTCGGTACCGAGCTACAAAAAGAATTCTATGTTAATATAAATTGTCCGAAGCTGCTATTGAACGTGTCCTACTGTAGTATAGTATACGCTGCTTCTTAACACTTTGCACTACTTCCATGCAATGATGATAATAGCCTACCTTTTTATTATATGGCTCCAAGCTTTTCATAACGCGAGATATTCCAAATTCGTAATTCCCTTTTGCGCAGTATAATGTTCTAATGATCAATATATACACATGTACGTATTTAGTTAATAAGCCATAGCTAAAGTTGATTCAAGCTAGACATGGTGAAATAAGCTAGGAAGTAGCATTGCTACAAATTCTGATTGGTATTCAATTAGATTTACCCAATAACTAAATTAACAATACATAAGTGGAATATCTTCTTTTCTGGATCGGTGTAAGAAACTTGTTCCTATCATTTTGAACGATAATCATACAGTACGGACTGATTACATCGAAGCGAAATACTTGTTGTAAGTTAAAATAAGAAACACTAAAGGAATCTAAAGTATACCTCCTCTTTTTCAATTTTTCGCATTAATTCTTCAGCCTAAGAAATGCGAAGGAATGCTCAATACATAAATTGAATCAAATAGTATGCTATTGATCTATATTGCTGCTCAAAATACCTCTTCATTTTGACTGGTCATAATGTAAGACACACAAAGATTTGCCAGAACTATGGCACTTATATTCAATATCTAGTATAAAAAGATAATACATGAAATTAACATACAATCATAAGTATCATCAGTACACTTCAAGTAGCTTATTATACGTTGTATATATGATTTTATTACGAATAATGTCTAAATTTTTACAATATTCCCTCGTTTACTACTTACGTGTTGATAATTTTTCTTCACTATGGGTTCATAAAAACTGATGCCTTCTTTGTATTTGCTTTCCTAAATTTTAACAAAATAATTTTAAAGAGTTTCTATAAGTTCTCGATTAAGGCTATAATAAAGATGACCATGGTTCTGATAAATAGATTATTTTGGCAATAGTATCCCACATAATAACTATACTTTCACTGCTAATACCTTATCCTTAACAAATCTTATTGGCACAACACTAACAGCTATTTATAACGGTTTCATGGTTTTGCTAACAACTACGATGGACAACTACATATATGAATAAATTCGATCTAAGAAATAGATCTATATTATCAACCTGCATGAATAAAACATGGGCAACATTTAACTTCCAAGTATCATGTTCATTGCAAAATTCCACTGATTTTCGAAATATCTTTTCAACTTGAGCATAATTTTCTCTGTCCCAGTATATTTTGGCTTGCGCCATAAGCACTGGGATATACCTGTAAATCGAGAAGCAGATTATAACATGACTAAAATTGCTCAGTTATAGAACGATACTTTATTACAACTTCGTTCATTAAAGACTTAAGGAAAAACAATTAATTATTTATCAAACCTCTCTAATGCTTCATCATATTCATTAACAGCTCTTTTAACAGCTTCATCATCGTGATTTTGTCTGGACTCCTGTACCTATGGTATTTATAAAGCGGCAATAAGCGTAAATGTATACGTCTAAAGTATTTATACTTTATACTTTTTTCATTACCTGTTTTGTAAGCTTCCTTAACGCATCAGTATGCTTAGATGCTATATCATCAAATTTACGATATGCCTGCAATGATCAATATTTTGTCAATTAAAGATAACAGAAAGTTTATATTATAACTACTGCAATAGATAACCTCTTCAGGAGATGTCTGTTGTGTAATAAGAGCATCCAGAAATCCATAGAGGTACTGTAGATTCGAAGAAATATTTAAAAGAAATCAGAGGTGGAATTAAAGAGATAGAAAATATAATAGAAGGAAAAACTATAAAAAGAACCTTCATGCTATATTTCACAGTAATAAAGGAGAATTTACTAACTTGTGAAAGATATTTAAAGGTTAGGTGGGCATTTTCAGCAAGCACATCAGCAGCTAAATCAAAGTACTATAACATGAAAAATTGGTAGATTAAAAACTCCTATTAATACGCTATAACAACTTATAGTACCTTAGTATCATGATAACAAAAGTGAACTTTTGTCAAAATGTTTAATCTGTGATATCAATTTACCTCATATTTGCAATATAGTAGTAGTAGGTTTCCAAATGTCTCTGTTATTAATCAAGTATAATAGTAAATTTATTTGATAAAAAAGAATAATAGTAATAACAAGATAATGAATATTACCAGGTGGAAACGGATTTTGCTGGAGTAAAAATTGCAGTTTTTCGAATCCCTAATAACAGTTGATCAAGATTTATTAAATCATAAACAAGCAAGAAGATGAGGAATCTGTGTCAGTTAAATATATCATTAGATTACGGTACACGCTAGCGTATAATTCGATCAATGCATAACTTAAGGTTTCTTTATCCTTTTACCGATGTTGGATTGGCATCAAAATTAATTAAGGCTTGATTATGTAAAGTTACAGGATCTAATTCCTAATAAAAGATTCGAATGGGATCGTAAATTTTTACTCACTTTCCACAACAAAATTGGATGTACTGCTCATGTTATAGAAAGCTTAAAACGTACCTCTTCAGATCTTGGAGGCATATCAGTTAAGGCATCCATAGCAGCATCATCTTACGTACAATAGACAGCATCAATTACGTAATTATCACCTATCTAACATACACAAAGTAAAGTTATTATATACTTACAGTTCTTTAGTTGATGTTCAATTGCAGCCTTAAGATTAAAAGCTTCGATTAAAGCAGTTTCATGTAATACCTGGATATTAGAAATGCAACGTTATCGCTTTAAATTTTTTCAATTTCAGGGTCATATATCAGATAATTTATAAGAATGATCTTACCAGAGTATTTCCTACACTTCGTACTTCGATTCCTTCAGTTGTCATACCAACACTAAGTTCTGTAAAATTTTCACATACACGTATGTAAGTACATTTACCCTTAAAGCAATACTTCGAATAGCAAATACTTGATGATTCTAATCTAACCTGGATGTTCTCTAATACCACGTTCAATAATATCGGCAATGTTCTTAAGAGATGGGGCAAATTGTTTCATGTGGTAATAGCACAAAGCGATATTGTACGATAATCCTAAAGTTAATACCAATAATATTAATAATTTTCTAAGAAAAATGTTTTGCAGACATGTCATTTAAAAATTTACAAGATATAATAAGCTAAGACAAGACTATTAATCTATTTAATACTACATTACTATACGTTCTAACACATTTGTGACTTAAGCTACCTGCTTGGAAGCCAATCATTTGCTGCGCCGTTAGAAATCGCCGACAAGCTTCTTCGTAGCGGTCCTCCTAGTAAGTTAAAGAATATCAAGTAGTCTTGGTTAAGTTACTTTCGTATATTAGGCATATGTCATTTAGAAATCGCAAAACATACCATGAAAAGAAGACATCCATTGTTAATTTCAACGTCTACATCATCGCTCGTACACTGATCTATTAATGCCTGCATATAATATAAACTATCATGTAAGCTACCGTACTAGTTTAAAAGACGATATTCAAAAATATGTTTATGATCTCACTTTTGAACCAGAATAGTCTTGTTCACCGAATTTGATTGCAGATTGTAATTTCAAAATCTGTAGAAGCAATAAATACAACAAAAAATATATTATGATACACTAATTGCATGCTTTTATTGATTCATGTAAAATGATATCACATACAGTATGACAAAGTGAAGAAATGACTACAGCTCTGTGTACTTATATCTCATACCTTTGATTGGGTTTCAGTATTCGTAGGAATACTAAAAGTTGCCTTTGTTGCTTCAGCAAACATATTGGCTTTATATAATGACTATGGTGATAATGTTATTACTCAGCATTACTTTAAGTGTATCAATTTTATATGCTAAATGCAAGTGAATATATTTTACTCTAACCTGTGCATAATTTACTCTGTACTCCACGTTATCGGGTTGTATTTGCACCAATTGTTTATAACTATTATAATTAGACATGAATTAAACGAGAAATATTAGTGTTTATGGCTAGCGGAGTCTTGCATGAATCATTTGATTAGCCGATTAGATGATATTTTATTTGCAATTCTTACCAATCTGCTGCAGCAGCAAAATCTTGTAGGTAATAATGGCAGTATGCTAGAATTGAAAGTGCAGCACGAGATTTAGGATGATTTTCTAATTCACTTGATAGAATTTCGATCGCTTCATGATATTTTTGATCTCGTATCTAAGTTAGATATGATTTTTAATTGATATCATAAGTACAAAATAATTTTAGAATTACTTAATTCACTTAGCGTCTTTAGACGCAATTTAATCCATGAATGTAACAATAACTTTAAAGATTTCGTAATATATTATCATTAACCCTTATTTGTATTATGTTGGCGATATCGTTATAATTTCCTACAGAAATACATGCGAATAACAATCTGATATTTTATATGTTGACAGTAACGGTATCATTTTCATTTTAAGAGTTGGTTTCATCGCTCTTCATCTATGTATTTCATTAAATCTGCTTAATATTATAAGTCTATTGAATTATAGATAGTCGATAGGAAGGATAAGGTTTTTACTAAATTCTTTCCGTTAGGATCTAACAGTGGGCTGATTCAATTTGAAACATGAAAGTAAGTACTTCTCTTGTAAGGGCCTAATTGAGATACGCTTAATAAGGCATGGTTCATATAATAAATTATATCGAAAGGCGTAAGTTTCTATATCGTAGTTTAAGATTATTTGTACTATCAAAAAATTCCGAGTGGAAATCCCTTCTATCATGGGTAAGTAAAGGATAAGATTGACATCTCTAGAATTTATTCATTCAAAATTAAACCCTTTTTAGGGAAAATTTTTTATTAACTGAACTTTTGAATCGCTGATAAATTGGTAAATCACAATTACGGTCGTTAGTTCAAGAAATAACTTCTCATTAGCGTATATCTAATATGATTAATATATGATATACTTACCAAGCTATAGATTTTAACCGTGTATTCGCCTTCTTTAATTTGCGTTGGAGGATTCATATTTTCTAGATACCAGCTGAAGTGGATGACTCAATCGTGTGTAAGCGTGTATTATATATTACAAAGTATAATATGGTGTAGCAAATAACCAACTAATAATAAGCGACAAAGTACTCTACCAACTATTTTTGGAAGACTGCCAATTCCAAAATTTATGTTATATCACTCGCCTTATTAAACTAGAGTAAAACAAGTATACAGTCAGTCGTAAATCTGCCAATATATAGTACTTGATTTGAGACACGAATTAATATGCACACGTTATGGCGCTATACTGTTATCTCATCAAGATCTTCGTTTAATTCCTGGCTATAACGATCAATCTTAGCTACTCATAGTAATGCCTATTACCAGAAATATTAAGAAACAAGAATGTGCATTCGGTTTCCAGGAGTAACGAAGGCAAGACTGCGCCGGCCCATCACGCATGCGCAACCCGTCTTCGAGTTCAAATTCTATCCTTATTTACAATTTAGCTCTGACTTAAATATGATCGATTTCCAACTAGTCTATTAGGACTTATATTATTCTAATAAATTTTCCAATGTAAAAATTGATATTGCAACCTATCTGGCTATAGCTGTCTAGATAAACCATTTTATCGTTACTGATCGCTTTTCGACTAGTCGATTTGGACTTGTTTCACTTCAGTTTTTACGTATAAAAATTGGCTTTGCAACCTATTTGACTGTAGCTGCCTAGATGAATTATTTTGTCGCTATTGATTGTTTTTCGACTAGTAGATTTTGACTTATTTTAATTTCCGTTATAAAAATTGACATTGTAACCTATCTAGCTATAGCTGCCTACATAAATTATTTTATCGCTATTGATCGCTTTTCGACTAGTCCATTTTGACTTGCGTCATTTTAATTTTCCATTATGAAAGTTGACATTGCAACCTATCTGGCTATAGCTGTCTAAATAAATCATGCTGCCGTTATTGATCGCTTTTCCACTACTAATTTTGGACTTATTTTAATTTTCGGGTATGAAAATTGACATTACAACCTATTTGGCTATAACTGTCTAAATGAATCATTTTATCCTTCTTGATCGCTGTTCGACTAGTAGATTTTGATTGGCATCAACATTTTAATTTTCCAGTACGAAAATTGACATTGTAACCTACAGTATTTGGCTACAGGGGTCTAGATAAATCATTATGTCGTTATTGTACCACTACAGTATACTGTAGTACTATGGTTGCATTTGAATTTACGAAATAATGGAGATCGATAGAATTCATTAGCCACTCTATGTAGCGTCTAAATTTGATCATCGATTTGTACAGTATTTATGAAGATGAAATGGGTAAGTAGCACCATATGCTAAAATGAGCACAGTACAGTATTTGTACACTGTTCGATATGGAGTTTATTCTAGTACACGATTTAAATCATTTCATTCAATATAGATGTAATGAATAGTATAGAACAGTAGTCGGAAGTCTAGGTATGGCCGTGGGACCTTACAGAAAATGATCACAGAAAATTTTAATAAAGCCATTGTTAAAAACCCTTCCTCAATTTTATGCGGACGAAGATCGATCGATACCGAATAAAATCAAAACGATTTTCGTTGAATCAAAGCTGTCGAGAGTCATTTCTTGATTGAACGTGTAGTGTACGGGTTATTAGCCCTAAAAACTACTGCAATTAGCTGAAATCACTACAGAATGATTTTTTATCTCTCTTTAATTTAAAGAGTTAAGTTAAGAGGCCTAACGCCTAGGGGCTTCTATATACAGCATGCGCACATTTTACTCATTAAGTCATCTGGATAGATACACGAGTATAAGAAATCAATTCAATATTTGACCATATTTATTTTCATATCCGATTGCTACTAGACTATAAAAGATCTTTTATCTTTGTTTCAATGTAATTATTTATTATTTTTCATTGAAACTCTACCCAAGATATTTTTATAATCACGTACAGTACTGCACGTAGGCAAGGAGTAAATTTCCGATGCTTGTTGTATTTTCTAAGTTAAATCTATATAATAGAAATTCAAGATAGAAACATTTTGACTGCAGTAGACTGTAATGTGTTAAAATGTCTTTATGTGTCATCTATTGAGCTGTAGAAAAATTAACGTACAAAATAAAGTTAGGGGTTAAACGATGGCCAGTGAAAACTAAGTTCACAGAGACTTACAAATTCTATTCCTAATCAATTTCAAGCATATCGTATACGTACGCTTCCAATCATACCATACAACTCATTATGCGCTGCCATGAGAAGGTTTATATTTATTATTTTTTATTCTTTTGGGGGAATTAAATAAGTAAATTAATCAGTTCTGTTGTATTCCGTTATTCAGTTCAAGTTTTATATTGGAAACCTATACTGGGCAGGCAAAACTAGCGATGCACCCATACGAATATCAAAACAGTGGACAATAATAATTATTATAATTAAGGAGATTTTTACTTGTTGGCCCTACCTACGCAATATAGGTCGCTATTACGTCACATAGCGAGGTAGAAGATTCGATTCCACTCTAGAATTTTCAAAGTTTTATATCCAGTCTAACCAATCCTAGTTGCAAGCATCAACCAGCACGTAGGCCATTGTCCGCCATGATGGAAAGGACAATACTGCAAAAGAGGAGCGTGCCCTTCTATCCAATCTATAACCTACAATCTAATTGTCTGATAGATCAGTACACGCCCCAAAAATCATACAATCAACGCTAAATAAAAACATGCAAATCTGTCAATTGCTAGTTAATACATTAATACGCTCTGACCCCTGGAATATAAATATAAAACAACACTGGTCAGATGTTTACTCATTCTAATTACATTCATCGCACCGATCAGACAGTAGAATGTTCTAAGTTGTCATCATCACTCGAAACGATCAAATCAGATATTCCAATTTTCTCCATCGACCTTAAGCTAAGCAGCGTTCTAACTGTCGATGAGCGAAAGGTAATTGCCACCTGCGAACAACTCGATCATCAATATTATTTTATCATCATCATCTTTTAGCGATCGTAAAAGAAAAGAAGAAAAATCAAAATTAACTGTAAAATGGGTGAAATAGACAAAAGTATCGAAATGCTACAACGGGAATACTTTTCCATGATTCCACTACGATTTGTTTTTGGATCGATCAAGGTAGGAGACACATGATAGATTCTACTAAGACAGTATGACTGGATAACCTCTAAATTTGCCCTTGATTGGCACAATCAAGAATGCCTTAGTATCTATTTGATCTTGCTATGTATCAACGAGCATTCTGACATCCTTCCATTGTAACGGTTGAGATTGAATCTTTTGAGTTGTGAATTACTTTTTTCATGACTTTCTTACCATTTTTAGCTCTGTCAAGGTAGTCATGGAGGCCAAATGATAGATTGTACGATAATGTAGTATGATTGGATACCGGAATTTACAGTTGATCGGCGCAATCGAAAAATTGTATAATATCTATTTGTTCTTGGCCTGTATCTTTGAGCATCTTCACATCCCTCTGAAGGTCAAGATTGAATCAATCTTTGAGTAGTGAACAGCTTTTTCTACTTTCTTACTGCTATTTGATGTCTTGCTGATGGGATTGTGTATACATAGACGCCGTAAAATGCAATGAGGATATCCAAAGTTCGAAGTTGATCGCATATCGATCGATACGATTCATTCAGGGTCTATTTTGTTCTACGTAGGCATGGATTATCCTTTCGTACTCATGCCCTTCGGTCATCACGGTAGAGATTGAATCAGCATCATAGAAAGAATCTTTGAATTGCAAATAATTCTTTCAATACGGTAGACATTAAACCCACGTCACAGAAAATTCTTGTATTTGCCAACAGTTCTCGACTGTTATCTGACCATCATTTATATGTTCCAGAGAAATTGATGTATGTAGAAATAACGTAAAAAGAAACTAGATAGCGCTTGAACTTAGCATTTTGAACGAGATCAACGGTCATTTTTGACTATTACCCTATACACTTATACAGTAGTATGGTTATTAACGTAAATACATACGGATTGTCTCATATAGACGATAATGATATACAGTACAATATACCACTTGAAAAATGGTGACACAAGTGAATGGTCGCCGTTTTATTTCCTCAATTAATTATCCAACGTAGTATCAATCGTCTTTCTAACTTAATCATAGTTCAATGTTCTATCATATACCTTACAATCTTTGAACATGTTTATTTATTAGCCGATATGACCTGTGAGATGGCAATATTTACAAGTGCAGACATACAGTACTTTGACCCAATGACCTATTGCGAGCCTGCTCATTCTAACGCATGTGTAGGAGGGAGCATAGACTAAAATGGCAGCAATTTTTTTTCAAATTTTAATGATTATATGATATAATCACACAATGCTGACAGCAGTCAAAATAGTAGTTGTAGAGCATTGCGATCGATAAACATAGTTAAAACCCTAAAACCAACTTGTACTGTGTGTTGGTAGTTACATGGAGTACAAAATCACTACGATTGTCAACTAATCTGCAACGAGTTTATTTTACTCTGAACGGATTGTTGATCAAAGTGAATTACCAATAAATATCAATGTCAGCATACAAATACATAGAAAAAACCTACGGACAGTTAAGTTACGACTGAAATAACAACATCTTCCAATATAGCTACAGACATTGCAAAATCTATGTTGTTGAAACGATCAAATCGAATAAGAGTAATCTTCAATCTCTGCTGTGATCGTTGATATCCGATTTTCACATGATGCTACAAATTGATTGATATAATGTTAAATTATACAATATCTGACTACTATATTTCGACACTGCCAAATTAAATTGCCGTAATCAATTTACGCACAAGGTAATGATAATGTAAATTAATTACGTGAATAATTTTTATTACATAATCAAGTTGAGTGATTTATTCCATTCCGTATCCTATATTTTGTACAGATGACTAATCACAGTTCAAAACGAGGTGAAAATACTTTGTTTGATTTAACTCGATATTTTTATTTCCCTTACCATTTCTATTCTTTAGGACATAACTCTGGATGTTGATATCCAAACAAAAATTCTATACAAGGTTAGTTTATCAATCAATTTGAATACAGTAGAACAATCCTAACCGATTGCATTGAGAATGACCGATAAATATACTTTAACACATGAGTATTATCCATAATGTTGATGTAAATGCCATCACATCCATTTATATATATGTATGTATCCATTTTAACAGACTATCAAATTCAAGCTTCACGACAATTATCCTGTTTCTAAGCGCTATACAATAGCATTTCTAAACGAGTTTATCAGTAAGGTAGGTCCTTTTTCTTCAGTAAGATTTTCATAAATTATTAGACAAAAAATATTGAGTGATAATATTTACTTTATACTCTGCAGCGGTAGATTCCTTGCTGTTTAGAACAAGATAACTTATAACTTTTTAATGAATTTCTACCGTAATCTTTCTTTAAATTTGTTGATCAAAATTACAACGCTATACGTACGCTATCAGCGATATAGCGCAATTGATAAATGATGATTTCCCTTAACGTAAACGATTACTTTGTTCTGATCATGCACTAATTGACGCTGATTGATTGGCACTAGTGTGAGAAGGCAGGATGTGAAATAATTGACGAATTATACGAAATCTATACTGGATACATCAGCGTGAAATTAAAACCAGAACAATACTTTTATAAGTCCTATCTACTGGTAAATAATGAGTTAAGCAAGAACTCAATATTAGTGTAATGTCAGATTGATGCACATATATCAATAGAACAACTAAATAGCCTATTACAATCTGCCAATTCTAATTTTTTTTTACCTCCAATAACTACAACTAACTTTCCTAAAAGCCGTCTGGAAAAACGATATCAATTTCTACCGCTCCGCAATTCGTTGCCCATGGTACGACTGGTCTTAACATTTGGCCCGTGAGTATAGCATCTACTTGAAGTCATAGTCAATTTTTTAAACAAATTTACCAGTAAATTAATAGGTAATATTTTATTATTATCACATTAACGACAACTTAAAGTGATATTACTGTAATTTGCTAATATAGGCCTCATTTGCTCTCAACGAATGGATTTATCAAAACAAGAGCATTTTCGATAATCGGTAATGTTAATTGAAAATGAAGAACCACTGAATAAGTTTATACGATAATTAAGGATGGATAATTAAACGCATCATTTAGTAATTTATGATTAAAGAGTTTAGTGCGAAAATCATGAAAATCTTAGCTATATAAAGCAATATCATGTTTTTTGTAATGATTGATAGAAATCGCACAACTGATTATCTTGATTAACTATTAATCTTTTAGATCAGTTTTAGAACTTGGATCTGGTGTTGGCTTAACCGGTATCTTTACTTGCTTAGAATGTAAACCTCGTCGTTATACTCTCTCCGATTGCCATTGCATGGTTTTACAACGCTTGGAAAAAAATCTTACCATCAATTTGAAGGATTTGGATAACTATAACCTTGATATCAAGTATTCCTCTGATGATATTATCCAAAATGGCATACATAAAACAGCTAAAAGCACCGTTGAATTGATCGGTTTGAACTGCGAAACTGCAAGCGAACACGATCTTTCTAAGCTTCAATCCGACATTATTTTAGCATCTGGTTAGATTCATTTATTAATCTAGCATAGTGAGATAGAAAGTACTATTTTTTTATATTACCAGCATTGTCAATTTTTAATTTCGTAAATTTACAGATTTAATCTTCGACATGAGGCTAATTAGCTCATTGGTAAGAACTTTGCAGTGCTTGCTAAGGTATGATTCATATGAAATTTCATTAAAAAAGATTGTATAGTTAATACGCCTACTGCACCGCGTATCATCAGATCTTGAAACACTTCAGCATTACTAATGATAGACAAACTGCCAAATTATAATTTCCCTTAAAGAGTTACCTATTTTAAGTAAAGACGTATTAAGAGAAAATACATTAAATATCTTCATCAAATATATGCATACCCCTATATATTGCGTTCTCTAGATCTGTAATTATTGAAAATTATTTTGGATGCGCAAGTAGAATAAAGTAACCGATCAATAAATGATTAATTAATAACCTTCTTGTCTTATACCAATTGTATATTTGTAGAAATACAGATACAAATAAATCGGAGACGAAGCCAGTTGCCTATATATGTTCCACCGTTAGGAGCGAAAATACATACAATTTCTTTATGTCAGAGCTGGGTATGTTACACATCATGTAAACGAAAGTAAAACTTAGTATTAGAAGTTTACTTTCCACTTGTGCTACTGCAACATTGCTATATAGTCTTGCCGAATTTTGAAGTCTTCATTCCACATCTGTTTCTCATTAAATTACAGCAAAACACGAATTACATAACTGACTGTAGACTAATTTTTTATATTTTTTTATAGATGCTGCGGGTATTCATTATGAACACATAGATTTCAATCCTAAGAATGTATGTTTTATCAACTTAGAATCTGAAAGAACGAAACTACTCAAGCTATGGTCGTCATAGTTTCTATATAGCGAAAAATTTTTGTACTCCATTTTCTTCTATTTTATATATCCATTGTGATAACTGTTATACGTATTGTATACGTAAGATGTTCTTAACTATTCTGGAACGCAGTTTGAATGTAAATATGAAGCAGATGATGAATCGAATAATTTTATGCCAGCTTGACTGGTTTACAGTGTATAAGAGATCTCAGTGTAGCAACATAGCTCAAAGTATATGCTACGAACAGCGAAACTTCTTAAGATAGCATTAAAATCTATAAAAAAATTGCTATAATTAAGTTTATATATCGGTGTTCATAGTTATTTGCAACCGTATCAAATGGGGACTTTATGACAGTTATGATTCAATTATTTAATTAAATTTTTACGGATAAATTATATTTGACGATAGATACTAAGCAAGTATCTGTTGATGCAACAAAAACAATTTAGTGAAAACTAATAAATTTTTCTTTGAAGCGATCTTAGATAGCATTTCGAAGTGGCTATAGCAGATATTGAAATAGCATCCAGTCGTTACTAGAGTTTTATATTTACTTTTATATCAATTATTAAGAAAAGGCAAAGAGGACTTTTAAAAAATTTTTTCCTTCAATATGATACATTTAATGTTTACGATATTTCATTGTACCTTAGCCCACATCACAAAGAATGTAAAAGATGATCTTTTTAGTATCAGTTAAGCCTAACTTACGGCATAAAGAGATAGAAGGAAACTGTGCAAACTATTTGCCTTACTACATATGCAAGATAATGACAACATCTGCAGTAGTAGATGAAAAATAATTTGGTTTTATTATCGCGCTTAAAATGAACTGAATATGGTATTAGTTAAACAGTACCCGTGTAAGTAAGACCCATGCAGTACAGTAATAACTCAATCCGATTTGTTTTAGTTTAACAATGATCATGTAAAATCTGTCATTAGCTTCAAGATTCTGCCACCCATACAGCCAGCATTCGTAGAAAAGAGTATATACGAAATTACAGATTGTAGATTGCAAATTCCATCAAAACAGACGGTATCTATTAGCACTAAACAAAGGAAATATTTTCATCACAAATTATCAAAATTTACTGTATTTGAAACTTTGAACACAGCAAGGATACCGAAATCTTATTGAAAATAGAAGATTTACAGCATCTGTAAAATTTACCTGAGAGCTGAAAGCCAATTAATTACAAAGTGAGTTAAACGTTTAAGTGACAGCATTTTTGTAGCTGTAGGAATATCACCAATATAAACAATAGCATGAGTACATGCATGTCTCCGATTTTATTAAAATTAAACGATCTGCTCTGCATATGAGTGGACATTCTCAACGTAATTTGATGCTGAGTAGAAGGATACGATAAAAAATGGTAGTCGGTATCACAAAATTTATACAGGTTTTGTAAATAGTAAAAACGAGAATGACTACATACACAATGCTAAGCTGATATTACAGTCTTTACAAGGTGCATACGGCAAGATCAATCTTCAGTAATAACAGAAAGCCGCAGCATTATACGTACCGTATAAAATTAGTGCATGATAGCATAATCGAATTAGTATCAATTTATCTACTCTATATTTAGGCTATTTATTAAAACCTTACTCCTAGCAAATCCTATGCCTGAGCTTCCATATTAGTCGATTACTTATTTTGTTACAAATAAGCAAATTGTTTTATTACTTGAGTACGACACCGTTTTATCGTACATCATCACATATGCTAATTAGAAAATATCATTAAACTATGATAATCCAGAGATCGTTATAATAAATAAAATATAGCAATTTTCATTTTCGTGGTTGAGATCGTAATGACAGATTAATATTTATAAGTATAATATTTCGCACAGAGTGGGTATCATAAAAAATTAAATTTACATAACTGTATACACAAATTTAGTTCAAGAAAACTTGTGCTACCTTCCGTAATACTGCTTGAAGGTACTTTCATTGGATAAAATCGACATCGTAGCAAAACAATGAATCAGCAAGCGTGGAAATTTAGATGTAAAATACTGTACAAAACTATCAGGTAGATCGCCAAGTTCTTCACGTAAAGGTATTGATAATTCGTAATAGTGATGTTTCTACATAATAAAGTTTAGAACTTAGTTAAGCATTATTTTTACGTTACGCCGTCTATCCGCAGTAAGTGAATAAATTTTTACTTCAAAGTCGAAGCAGTCTTTCTTTAATAAAATAAAACGCTAGCGCTACGGTATTACCTTGTTTCTTAAAGCTCGCAGAAGATCTTTAACGGAATCACCTTTGTAACTCCTGAATTTTCTAAGATCTATCATTATGATTTTTTTATGATCGATCATGAAATGGTATTAGTAGTCTGTAATGCTTAAAGTAGTTAAGTTAATATATCTTATTCTATTGTAATATGTGATGATACAAACCTTCTTCAAGGACGTTGCCTATGTATTTCTTCCAGTCACCACGAGTGACTGTTATGCTCTTTGACTCTAATAGTTCTACTAACTTACTATTCGATGGTTCCTTCTCAATACGGTCACTAATATCCTATCATGATCGAAGTTTAAGTCAGTAATTGTTCGTATAAATCAAAAACAGTCACATATACGGTAGTAGCAATGACTAACTGTTATTCAGAGTACTCGCGTACAAACGATATTTTTACTAACCAAAAAGAAGGATAACTGCTTGCCATTACTCCAATACACAGGGTGTTGCATAGCAACTAATGCTGTTGGTCTTCAAAGAAATATTTGTCATTATTTTAGTTGAAATCCTACGATTGATAAGGTTATAGTACACAATGCTAACATTACCTTTGTTTTGGATTGGCAGTAATCATTTTTTTGATTAAATCTATTTCCGTATATGACCCTAAAGATAACATTTAAGAGGAATAAACGATTTTGTCAATGAAATGAAAAACGACGCTAAAATTTAAATTATCAAAATATAGCATAATAAATGAGGGAGTTGTAAAGGTATATCTGATAATGCACCTTCAAGTTCGTCATCAAACTTTATAGAATAGCCCATCCTGATATTGGATTGTCGATATGCAGCTTGACCAAATGGATGCTTTCCTTTCGAAAATGTATAATATATGACACAACCAGCAGAAAATATGTCTGCTGAAAAAGCCTATAAAAAGTACACGAAAAGGTAATCAGAATTTTTGTCAAAATTGGTGTGCTAAATTGCTTTGTTTTGGTAGAATTTTGAACTATGATCTTTAAACGAAATAAAGCACCATACGAGTATGTCCATGAAAATGATGAAGTATACTCACATATTTAGCATCATCTTGGAATAATTCTGGAGCCATCCATCCTTCGGTACCAACTACCAAGCCAGTAGACTTACTGGCATAGTAACCATATGATCCTTGAAGTGTTATTTGCTTACATAATCCAAAATCTGATAATATCACCTTTCCGCGTTTTGATGAATTTAGCATTTTTACTAATATATTCTGAGGTTTAACATCTCGATGGACTAAATAACGTTATAGTAAAAAAATAAATTAAGAGTAATATATATTTAACGGTGATAATTGGTTTGCAAAAATGTACTTATTTCTAAGGAATGCAAGTGCGACAATCCATCCAAGAATTGATATAACGCTTCAACTGGCTGAAGATTGTACTCGGAGAATCGATCCTCTTTGATACACTAATAATTGCAAAAGTTCTTGTTATGTTGCAATATAAAAGACAAGGAAACACTAGTACCAGATGATAAATTTACCTCAGATAACGTTGTAGAACATAATTCCAAAGCAATATATTGAAATTGATCATCGTTTTCCTGATAGTATAAGAAAGTTCTGTCACTCTCCGGCATTCATTTTAAGCAATATTTATTAACTTACCGTGCAATAATATCTAATAACATGATCGTGTTGATCCGATTTCCTTAATAGCGCCACCTATATATTCAAAATCTCCACCTTTCAGATGTACCGTCAAATATAATACTATAATAATTTTTTATATATGCAGATATGATAAGAACCTCTCGCTCAGCAAACCGTTGATAATCTAGCAGAACACGCTTTACAGCTACATCACGATTGTCAAATCTTCCCCTATTATGACAAGGACGTATTTAAACATGCTGCAATTAATAAGTAGTAAGGCATTTTCATAGTTTTACCTGTATACCGAAGTACCGAAGGATCCTTTGCCAATAACACTCGCTAGGTCAATAGTGATTTTGCCAATAGTGAATAGCTTCGAATCTAGTACATTAAATTGATTATAGTAAACGTTAATCCAACAAGAAAAAATCAGTAAAAGACTTTAAATCTTTAAACCTGTCGAAGTAGACGAGGAATTGAGAATGCTGTTGCTTAAACCAGAATTACTAGTAGAACTTTCAGATGAATCTTGGACAGAGTCTGTTACACTTGTTATCTTATTCTACGAAATTAATATCAGTATATTCAATTTAGAAACATCATATCCAAATTTGAATATACATTTACAAAACATGCAATATGGTGCATAATATAATCGCAAAGACATAAAGCTGACCTTGCTTCGATTACGGTTATAAAAATACACTGCTACAGCAGTAACAATTCCAATTGAAATCGCGATCAAAACTTTTAATGTCATATCTAACGTGCGGGCTAATGCCAGAATGTCTAATATATATTATTAAAGAGAAATTTATAAGCAACACAATAATATCCTCTCGTACCTAATACGCGAGCTAATGTCAGGACGTCTACACATTAATTATCAAAGAAACTAATTATAACATATCAGTATCCGTTCTAATGTCAAAGTAATATAATTTCTATTATGTTATCGCTAGCATAATCCGGTAAAGAAAACTTATATCAAGCTACGAGTATTATTTCATGACCCTTACCATCTCTAGAATAATCAAAGTTTTCTGATAAAATTCCAGAAGTGTCATTTTGCTTAGTAATCTCGTTGTGTAATGCATGAGGTCTCTTTGTCGGAGTATTTGGTAATCGATCTGGTTCTTCATGATATCCAATCATATTAGTAATGATGTCATTACTGAAATCATAATTAGGATAGGGTGATAATTCATGACTATCACTTTTAGAGGCCGAAGGTGAATAGGACTGGACAGGATTCGGCATTAATCTATTTGGCTGAGAATGAAATACAGTGAACTGAGTTAATCATTACGATCATAATAACAAGCAATGACTTTCATAGCTAAAGTGTTACCCTGAGAATCATAGAACCTTCTTCAACGAACGAAGGCATAGCGTATAATCCGTCGTCATTTTTTCCAATATAGAGAGTCCGGCTACGTCAATTAGCGTTGATAATATTCGTGCGCAATAACAACGATCACAACATAAATATAATTTAAATATACATCAATAAACTTAATACTCAAAGTATTAAAATTACCGTAGCCTTAATTCATTTAATCGATAGTTGGCCTTTTTATTTTCTCCTTTCATGATTTTTATTACAGTTTCCTCAGCAACAGAAATTACAGGTAATTTTCTTACTACACCTTTAATAGGTAAATAGACAGCAACTATTGGTGATCCAAAGTCCCTTTCGAAAACTACGTTGCCTGTAATTTGTTTTAGAAAATTATTTTCAGGAATTATTTCATATCGTTGAACACAATGTCTCGAAACATCACCAATACAGCGAAGATAGCTTTAACGTTTATCGAAAAATACTGTGTAAAAATCTTACCAGTGCTATCTAACGCTACCGTTAGTCCATTAGTAGTTGACGATATAAAATTAAGATCTATGAGTAAAAAAAAAATAGCATGATATAATTATTATGAGTATACGGAATATACCTGTATGTATTTAATAAATTTATTATGACTTTAATTAATTATCAAAGTAAGACAAACGATAGCACTATATTGGCAAACAGTAATCCAATGAATAGATATTTGTGCATTATCATGTACCGTAATTGCCCAAGTAATTTCCGAAGGGGACATATTCATAGAAAGTAACGTTCCACCTGTAAAGTATTACGCATTTTAAAGAGTATGCTACATGATTAGAGGTACTAATAAAAAGTTACCATTAATGCTAACTTACTTTAAGATTCTTGATACCGTGTCATACATAGTCGCTAAGTATTCTTTATGATAAGATTATAAGTAACGTTTTAGTAAAGAAAAATACAACACGGTGACTTAATTATAGTAGCCTATAGTATATGCAACGTACTCGATACTCCAATATAAACAGGTTTCGCATATTTATCAATCACTGGACATATTGGTTGATATAGGGATAGCTCTTGTATCAATTTTCCCGTATTCTTATCAATGACATACCATAAATCAACTTTTTTTCCTTTATTCATTAATTATAAAATAACGCATGATAATTTCAGTATATCATACGAAAAATATAATAGGAAAGTACTGTATACTAACTGGTGTACTGTCTTACCAGTATATAAAATGCCGTCTTTACTTTGGCTTGGAGATACCTGTACTAACTCTGGTATAGTAAATGGCATTTTCTAAAGAATGTTTTTACAAAAACGTCAATTATTAACACATAGCATAGACTTGGAAGTCGATAAGAAAATCAACACAGAATAAAAATTATAGCATCATATTAAATTTATTTACAAGTCATTATTACCTTTATCTCTTCTTCAATACTATTAGAGATACGATACAAGCTGCCATCCTTCGGGTCCGGGATAAACGTTGGTCTGAGGCGTACAGTATTTCATGACAATAAAGGCACAAAAATTTTAATTTAGTAACCAGTATATTACTACGACATCAAGGTTATCATCTATCTGTTAGTACAGTATATAAGATATTCAATAAAGTATTAGTGATAATATTTTTCATTTATTTCCCATTAGAGATAAGCAATTATCATAGATATTTTGTATATAAAATGCTGCAGTACCCTTTGAAAGTATCGGATGGAACCTTGACGATATGATCTGAAGAAAAAGATCGTTTTAAGAGTACACTTTAGCATATCTACATAGTACAACATCTATAATACAGTGGAGCCTTACATATCACAACATCAATAGCTACAGCACACTTTCGTTATCACAAATAATAACTGATCGATTAATAACGCTGATGCAATCATCCCTCAAACTGTCCTGGTTCTGTTAAAGTTCTACATCATACTGTTTATAGTACCGCAGAGCATAAATGTTACTACATCTCTGAGCTAAGGCAAGTAGAGAAAATTTTTCAATCTTTATTGTATAGCATAAAGGACCTTAATTAAAATGAAGTTAATTCTCGCTATCCATATGAGAACACTTGACTAAAATTGCTGTTTACATGAGGTATCTCAGAAATGTCCTAACTTGTTTCAATTAATTCTTCAAGTAGCAGAATTGCTCAATTGATTGGATACAAGAGGCTTACCAATATCGTGATGGGAATTTAAACTGAACCAAGAAATCGCTGTTTACGTAACGTATCTCAGAAATGTCCTAACTTATTTCAATTTCTAAAGTAGCAGAATTGCTCAATTGATTGGATACAAGAGGCTTACCAATATCGTGATGGGAATTTAAACTGAACCAAGAAATTACTGTTTACATAACGTATCTCAGAAATGTCCTAACCTATTTTAATTCCTAAAGTAGTAGAATTGCTCAATTGATTGGATACAAGAGGCTTACCAATATTGTGATGGGAATTTAAACTAAACCAAGTGTTATGAATATGTACAGTAAGTTACGAACATAGGGCTTATTAAAATGTCGTTAAACTACCAGAAAATAAAAATATTCTTCCGTTTTACTAAATTTAATAAAGTGGAAAATGTAAGAATTTTCTACTATAATTGCTGTATGCTAATACTGGGATAATGCTACTAATTTTAACATAGTATCATTTTCGTAATGCGGCTTAGTAACAATAGTTAATTAGCTACTATATTGTATTTGCCTATCCTGAAGATTAATAACAGAATGCAACACAAAAATGTGGCAAAACTGACTATTTATAACTTCACCGTTTCTGTACTATTCTGTTATTCACTGTAAATTAATATAATATCAGCAATAAAACGTTACAAATTTGAAACATTCTTCATCATTCGATATGTCATACCATGAATATAGCATATATATATATAGTATATAAAATAGATATGGATAAGAATGTAAAATATAGCACTATCTTACGTAGTGTATTACGAAAGGAATATGAATGGAAAATTAGCCCTATGGGTTCTGATGTGGCAGCAACGTAGTGCGTGTAGATTATATTAACTTAACCGAATATTGTGTATTTTGATATTCTATTCTGAGTAATACTTGAGTAAAAAAGATGTGATTTTTAAAATTAGACAAGTAGTACAGTGCCAACAGTACCGTAGTATATAACAGAACTACATCATGTTGTGCATTTTATCATTTTGGGCTGTTTAATATAGTTTAAACAAGACTTTGAAAATACTGGTCGATGAAATCGTACCTTGTTTACGCGTCCAAATTCGTTTTCCAGTCCTCCGAACTCCATGCAATGTACCATCCATGGATAGAAATATCAGTACAGTGTCATCTTCTATTTGTGTATGCAGTATATCGGCCTATGAAGAGCGAAGCATGTTATACAGAATTAAGAAGAGAAAAGACAATCTTTCAAATGCTGAATATAGAATGTAGTTAAGCTTGAGTAGTAATGAATTTTGACAAGGCCAACATTAACGATGGTGGAAAGAATGGAAGTTATTGGTATATCCATTATTCATTGATTGGGTTAGTGTAATGATGGCTAATACTAAGACTTGTAGCATTTTACTGTTTTAAGATATAAAAAGAGAATAAAAACAAAGCAATCGTTGCAAGACAGCACCGATAATGGAAAGGGACTAAAGTAATTTGGTGAGTGTAACAACGGCTGTTACTACTACGACTAAAAGCAAGGCTTGAAAGGTAAAAAAGGTTCAAAAAATCTTTCAAATACTGTACTGTACAGTAATGAATTGGGGGGAAGAGAAGGCATTCTTGCCAATGGCTGAAGGAATTGAAGTTTGAATCTTGCATTTGCCAAGTGTAATCATGATTATCACTGTTGTACTTTGCATTAAGCTTTCAACGTAGTTCTAGCAATAAGTCAAGATTTTGGCATCAACTCTTCTTGAAGACCTATCTTTAACTCGTGGTCAAGAGTGTTTGAGGATACAGTAATGAGAAGATTTTACTTGTGTGTTGAAAATGATTGCTAACAACAATAATGACTGATATACCGTAATGAGCTAGTTAAATAAAGAGGATGGTAATTACAGTTTTCTATCATAATAACATTTGTATCAAGACTTGGAGTAAGAGAATCGTTGTACAACTATGATCCGTTAGCCAATACCCGAATAACCATCATCCAATGAGCGCTACAACATGTATTTATGATATGGAGAATTAGAGAGAGAGAAGTAAACTGGACTGATTATTCTACTATTGCTAGTTGTTGAATGAATAATGAAGCTATAGCAGGCAGAATTGAGACTGCAATTGCTGACTGAGTTGGTTGCTCTTCTACGCCGATGTTGGCCATGGCGATTGGAAAACAGCCTAATTACCTTGTTTGCATGGCAGTTTTGGTAAAAGGTTAACACTAACACAAGCCAAACCAAGCACTTGAGCATTTTGGACAGAGAAAGTTCAAGAAAATGAGGGTAGAAAAATGAAAAAAAATTGTTCAGCAATTGCTTGTCAACATCGTTGGCCAATCGGTTGGATAGAGAAAGTAGCTTGACATAGAGCGTCAAGAAGTTAATTGAATCGCACTTGTGCCGTCGCTTCAGATACGTTGTAGTGGATTACCAAGGTTAAATTTGTTTCCTCTTTTCCTTTTCGACATGCACAATGGAGTCGATTAAGAAGACATGAGTGGAAAGGAATAATCTTGAAGAAGTTGTTGTTGTTGTCACAGCCACTGCAAGGGGTAGTTATAATGGCAGTCTCCGTGTCGCTGATTTTATCCAAAGTGGTGATGGAGAGCAAGCAGGATCAGCTACCATTGAGGTAACACGTCAACACACACCGTACAGTACTGCAGCGCAAGACTGTAAACAGTATATGTATACCGTAGTGTTGTACAGTACAGTAGTGGGCACAGTAGTTGAGATTGTTCTTTTCCAGTGACTGCACCGTAGGGCTTGCAAGGCCAGAGATGTTGATGACGAAGGCAATAAAACCTGTATGGATGTATCCACAGTGAGATATCAAAAGAAGCACCGCAATGGCTAAAAATACGACCGTCTAGTAGATGGCATCATAAACAGCCATCGGACAAAAATATATTTCTTTGTTGGTGATTTGACAGCAACTGATCCATATACAGCGCTGTATGGCATACGGTAGAGTTCAGTGTGTACTATATCAACCTTGTCAAGTACTGCCCAGTACTTTGTATGGTATACTGTACAGTACATTGTATTGTGCCTTGTACTGTCTGGACACATTTTTTTATACAAAGCCAAATAAAATGCGTCCAGAGTAGCTCTTTTTAAGAGTGCCTGATGACTGATCCACAGCAGGCGGAAAGCTTTGGATCAGCCTAGTGTACTTTTGATTGAGGTTTTGCTCTCCCATTCTCAGTGAAGAATATCTCGAAAAAGCTGTATAACATATAGTACAGTACGCTGTAGAGGACTGTTGTACAGTACAGTGGAAGGTCCTTCTCTATCTGTATTCGGTGTTGCTTTCGTAGCGAACAACATTAGCCAAAAACGGCCTACTGTACAGTACTGTACAGTGATGGTACTGTTATTATAGATGGTCCTTGTACATGCGCATACTTTCCAAAAAGGTATCACAGACTGAAGTGCAGTACAGTAAAATGGAAGGTTCCTCTCATGTTAATCTTGGTAATGGCAAAATTTCAACAAGTTTGTAGAGTGAAGAAAATAGAGAAATAGACACTGCTGTCATTGACTGTTCTGTCTACACACTCGACAGTCATCAACACCATATCTGTTATTATCGATCCAATTGGATTTTTCTTATGAACGTTTTGCTTTTGCTTCCGTTTCCCAGTGAAGAATAGCAAAAGGTCAAAAGCTGATCACTGGAACCATGGCAAGGTACTGACTACAATTGTATAGGACTGTATATCAAGCTCAAAGACCCATACGTACGGTGGCTGACTCCTGAGGAGGGCGTACCGCTTTTACTCTTCTGACGAGTGTTCATTTACTGTACCATTAAAGAGCGCGTTTACACATCGACTGCTTTATTTTACGTCGTATAGTATTCTACTATGACTACGAAATCTGTAGATAGACCTGACTGTCTAGTACAGTACAGTACTATACAGTACAGTAGAGCTGAACTACGAGCAGTGGAGCACAGTGCCAACATTACAGTGTACAGTACCAGAAAATGCCTAGTACTGTACTGTATAAGCTACTTTCTACTGTACTCGATACTGCTAGAGGCTATTGTACTGTATGGCTCCGTACAGTAGTTTCGTCTCTATACTGGTAGTCAAGTATTGAATGTATCCTTCATTGAGACACGCACCCAGTGAAAACGATGACAAACCACTTCAAAATACTAGGAGCTTCAACCTTGCTCAACGCTTGACAGTGTACTGTACAGTACTGCATACTGTACTGTAAGTTACTTTCTACGGTACTGTACAGTACAGTATGTAGCTGGCTGCTGGCCATGGTAAAATAGTCAAATCAATCCAATCAAAATACTGTACAGACTGCAATCACCTACTGTATAAAGAAGGCTGTTGTATGCTCCGTACAGTATAGCAGTTTCCTTTGTACAGTATAGCCCTACTCAACTATGGAATGCATCAGTCAGTGAGAAAGCAACACGTACCAAGTGAAAACGACGACAAACCACTTCAAATTACTTGGAGCGTCAACCTTGTACAACGCTTGACAGTGGGCTGTCAGTGGCTAGTCTACAGTGTACAGTACAGTAAGTTACTTTCCACGGTACTGTACTGTACAGTGTACACTGTGTACTGTACCGTAGCTGTCCACGGTAAAATAGTAAAATCCAATCCAATCAAAATACAGACTGCAATCACTTCTACAGAAGGCTGTTGTATGCTCCGTACAGTACAGCAGTTTCCTGTGTACAGTATAGCCCTACTCAACTATGGAATGCATCAGTCAGTGAGAAAGCAACACGTACCAAGTGAAAACGACGACAAACCACTTCAAATTAATTGGAGCGTCAACCTTGTACAACGCTTGACAGTGGGCTGTCAGTGGCTAGTCTACAGTGTACAGTACAGTAAGTTACTTTCCACGGTACAGTACTGTACACTGTGTACAGTACTGTACCGTAGCTGTCCACGGTAAAATAGTAAAATCCAATCCAATCAAAATACAGACTGCAATCACTTCTACAGAAGGCTGTTGTATGCTCCGTACAGTACAGCAGTTTCCTGTGTACAGTATAGCCCTACTCAACTATGGAATGCATCAGTCAGTGAGAAAGCAACACGTACCAAGTGAAAACGACGACAAACCGCTTCAAATTACTTGGAGCGTCAAGCTTCTCCAACACTTGACTCGCACAACGCCTACACTAAGATTCGTCGCCAATGGTTCGAGGAAACAGAGGGGAGAAAAAAAAAAAAATGCCCAAAGAAGGCGCAGTTGGACTGCCTCACAATCCAACAGTCATCAAGATTTCTCCTAATAGTAATGATTCTCATGCTGAAAGTATGCCTTAAAAGCTTAATTTTACAGAAATGCTATTGCCGCTCACTTATTGACTCTTTTTATTCGAGTGACTAGCGTGACTGGATGTTGGAGAGTAATTGAGTTTATATATATATATACACATCACTTTTAAATACGATCACACACACTTTGTTAGACGGTTTAATATAGGGATGCAATACAGTTACACAATGGCTAGGCAGCAAGATGATCACCAATATTGTATAGGCCAGTGATCGATCTCGTCCACAGTTTTAATGGCGAATACAACATGGAGGGACATTTTCTTGTTACCGAAATCACACGCTATGACTACCACTACAGTAATCTCCTTTCGAACGCTCCATTGGATAAATGAAAGCTTCAACTAGCGATCCCATAATCTACTTTCTAACCCCTCCATTCGATAAATCAAAGCTTGAGCGAACGATCCAATCGTTTTCATCTTGGACAGCGGTAGTTTGGGGATCATGATAGAATACGATAAAAATCTCAATATTTAGATACTTGAAATACATGGAGGATAATCTCCACTTGAATGTCGATACCACCAACAAGAATGATACTATCCCATCCATATCCCTAATATAGCAATGGAAAGGAGTTCATTTCTCGATCATAGTGCTATTGCATTCACTGAATAAGCCATGCTTCCAATAGCGTTTCATACAAATACAAAACAATCTTTAACGTAGTAGTACACAACATGTTAGAACACACGATGAGAGTAGTTGATCGAAGACCGGATGTCAAAATTGTTATCACTATAACACCTTTGATTGCTTGCGACTGATCTTTCTTTCCATCATTACTAACCTAAAATCATATCACGTAGGTCAATTTACCTCCCTGCAGTTCAAGAAGTACGAGATGCTTTTCTAAATGATGGCTTTATACCTACAATACACAATAACCTGTAGCTTAAAAGACAGATCATTGCTATAGTACTACAGCTAATAGATGTGACAATTTTAAACGAAGATACAGCATCTTGTTTAGATAACCTAATATTCTGGCAATTTGGACATCACCGTGATTGATATCTTGACCGTAATAACTACTGCCATCTTGAAAACGATCGTCAGTGAATGATCAATAATCTTGCCTCCTTCTTCTATTCATATAGGAAATATCGCAGAAATACAGGCATGCTTACAAATGATACGGATTGAACGAATGAGGGTAAGTCAATTATTCACAGAAATTTTTCTGAATTTTTTCCTCCCTTCTTCCGAACTTGAATGAAGCTCTCTACCTTACTGATTAAGTTGTAAAATGTCAAGCAATGATATAAAGAGTTTGCGTATAAACGACTCTTCCTACTCTAACCTATATTTAAAAGAAGCAATGGATTGTGAATCCAACGTGATAAAATAATTCGCTGGAGCATCGTTGTCATCAAAACAACGTACTGTAATGACCGGGTATATTTCAATGCTTCATTTCATATCCATCAATGCAGTTTTAACATATTATTAATCAAGATTTGGATAGCAATGTTGTTATTGTTATCATAATACTTGCCCTTCCTGCCATACTTTATTCTAATTTGTCCAAATCACACACGACTTTCTTGACGCCTTCCATAGAAAAGTAAGTCGATGAAAAGGAACTTTTTTTATCTAGTCTCGCAGCCAGGCTACTTTACCTAAATGCCTAATGATCAAACACATCCCAACTTAATCACTTCCTGCCACGGTCCATCAGCTCATTTAATCAGTTGTTATAGATAGCAAAGATAAAAAAGCGTGGAAGCCAAAATCCACTATGCACTTATTTGTTGTCATCGTTTGGACATACTCCCTTCTTAATTAGAGTAAATAAACAAATGATTCAATATCTAGACTTGTATGTTAATTCGTCATTTTTTGGGATCGGTATTTTCATTCCCCTGGAATCGACACAATACTCACTTGACTGGCGATCATCTTCACTTCCAACTTACTCAAACTATTGCTTTGCTTGTTGGAGAAGCAAAATTGTAATGCTGCTAATAATAATACCAATAGCGAAAATGGTGGTACTTCTTCTACTCAAAACTTGGGCTTGCCTGATGAATACGCTAAATTTTTTTCAAGTAAGCTGGCACTTGTAGTTGGTCATTTGGTATACTTGTAAACAAATTACCAGGCATTTTTTTCCTGCTTCATCGATATAAAAACAAATTAGTGATTATTAATTATACTGTATATTTTATTCTTGCTTCCTCTGATATCTTAAAAATATCTTATCAGTTGAATAGGATACCATCTATTAATAAATAGAATTAGCAAGACTTACACATTATCGAAGAAGAGTATCTTTTGCAAACAGTTCATTTATCTATCCAGCTTAACGCCTAATAAACTACTGTAGTGAACACGTACAATTGTACAGTTTACACCATCGAGGAATGGCATCATTTTCATGCTGTTGTTCGTCCTGTACAGTAACTCTATAACTACTACTGTAAAATCTAAATCCAATTCTCAACGGCATTTGCAACTTGATATAGTCATTGTGAATTCGCTTAAACAATTACTAATAGAGTTTCTATCACAATTTTTAGCATTGACTTACGTAATTTCACGACTTAGACCAAAATTGATTTTATTTTACTCCTTGGTATGATAAAGCTAAGAAGGAATAGTACCATTATAAAAAAATCATTTCATGTTTTTTCTTCATTAACTGAAGGAGACTGCGATGGGACCGGTTCGCCAATTTGTCAGGATCCCAAGGTAACTTCTAAATTCAGCCGTAACGACAAATATTAATTTCAATTCAATTCTTTCAAATGGATGCCATATCAGTACTTCGCATGGTATCGACAGTAGTGCGTGTAAATAAATATCCGACATCATACAATCCTCCAATTAATTGATTCACCTTCTTTAGTCATTTATCATCAAATTAACTTCCATCACCCACCACCATATACTGTATTTATTATTCTTAATTAGTGCTAAAACCTGACCAAGATATGATTAACCTTATCTTGATATAATATATGATTATACAGCATATAAACCTTTGTCATTTTTGTACTATTTTTATAGGGAATCTTGGAACTGTTAGGAGGTATGACCGTTTACAACAATATTAACTTTCAAAATGAATAAATTCTTTAGCAAAAATATCGTGTTATCAAAATACTTAATCAGCAAATGATCACGATTACTTGCGAGTTTCTTACTGTTTATAACACTTGATTAAATCAGCAATGAAAGATATTTCACAACATTTATCTGTTACAGCCACAAGCAGCAAAAGCTTTTCACACTATGAAGATATCAAGGATATAGACAAAATTGAGATGTAAGAGTTGAAATTTTTAACTTTTTCACACCATCATAATTATAACCTGTGAAATCAACATCAAACCCTAACAGCCTCAAAAAAGGGCATAATAGCACTAAATCTCTGCGGGATAGGGAGGTAAAGTCAGCTGGAAGAAAATGTTTACATGTTGAGCTGGTACTTAAGCTAATTATTATATATTGTATTATATTCCTAACGAACAGTATCAAAGAAAGACCACAAAAAAGGAAAGAATGGATGCAATTACTGTAAGATTTACGTTTTATCTCAACACGATCCTTTGAAAGTCTTGAAGATAATGTAAATATCATCTATTTCAATGCTATTGATTAGGATGCTAAACAACAGGCAGAACGACAACTTAATATTAGAAGTGATACAGTGAAAAAAGTAAGAGATATTATGTAGAGTTTAGCCTTACAGCTCATCAGGCATAGAATATTTAGTTACCTTACGATAGGCTACAGCTCCTTGGTTGTCGACTTTGTTAAACTTTGCAATTATAGAGCTATATGTATTGTCAATAGATATGATATCATCAAAAGATATGTTTTAGTATTGACTTCAATGCCTGTTATAAGTATATCCTCGTATAATAAACTTTTAAATCATAGCAAGTCACCAAGAAAGCTAAACCTGTTGTCCCTATTGCAAAAGTAAGAAAGATATTTGTAATTGAACATTTTATATTATATTTTTTTAATGCTTGTAAACAGTTTGGATTAAATGATGACAAAGGATTAATCCTATTTCCTTACGTTTATTACATCCAAACTAGCCTAAACCGAAAACTAAGAAACAACTTAAAGCTGAACAAAAAAGGCGTGAAAAGGTAAAAATCTATGACTGTTAATTTAGATAGGTTATGGACTTGCTAACGATATCTATTATTCTATATTTATACTTAGGAAATGGCTGAAATAGCCAATAAATTAGAGGAAAAACAAAAAATCGATGAAGAAAAGGCTAAAGTAAAAAAGCAGGTAATGATTTTTATCAATAATATACATTTTAAATCTATCAATCAATGCAAATTTTGATTACGCTTGCTCCAATTTGCATCTACGGCTATCAAATAGCGAGAAGAAGAAAAGCAAAAATTATTAATGGAACAAGAAAAGTTGCAAAAGAAAAAATCTACGACAGCAAAACGATCAGAAATAGAAGAAAAGTCAAACATGTAACTGTCAAACCATGTGTTTTTGTCCGCATTTAAAATAAGGACATTAATAACTAGATATTATTTTAGGTTGATAAATGGCATTCTTTATGCCAATAGAAGTAACATGTACTTTCTTAACTTTTATTAGGGAAGATGCAGAAGATACAACTATCAGGTTTCCGTCAATATTTAATTGCATGCTGCTGTGTACATTGTTTTACATGCACTCAATTTGTCCTCTCGATGTGCATATGCTTACGTTATTCCTTTTAATAACAGTGAAAATAAAGCAGCAGCAGTATTAACTTTGGAACAAAATAGTAAAAGAAATACTAAATCAAATGATTACACTAAACCAAATAACGAAAGTAATACTGATAAGGAACCATGCAAAGAAGTATGCATCAGTCATTTTATTTTTACTTAATTAGTTAATAAAAAATCGACTAAAACTTCTTTCAATTCTCTAGGAGGTTGATCAGTTACTAGCTAACGGAAATGGTATGTCAAGTTTTACGATATCATATTTACCTGAAAAACTTGTGTTATCTATATTATATTTACGATTGTTGAATTTTACAGATATAAATGAAGATGAAAATAAACCTTCGGTAAAACAATGGCTAATATAAAATACCCATTTACATGTTTATTTATTAAGCCTATTTATATTTCTTTCTTAGACATCACATTTATATAAAGATCCGCGAAATAAAAAAATCCCCTCTCAACGATATCAAGCAAATAATTCCACCCAAACAAGTAAGAATCTCATAAATGTCTTTAATTAGATATTACGTATTACTATATATAGCATTACATACTGTAAATTTGAGTAACTTGATTTTTTTTAGTGCTCATAATTGAGCAATAACGTTGTATAATTTTCTTTGCCTTAGCTACGACGAAAAAGAAGACAAATTACAGAAATAATTATGATAACACAGCTTATAGAAATAATGAAGGCCGTAACGAAAGGTACTACTACAACGATGAAACAGCTAATACGAATTGGAATGATGAAAGACAAGATAAAACTAAAAATTATAATACTAGCAATCTAAGAGATAAAGGGCATAACACGGTTATGACCTCAAAGAATAATAATGACCTTAGAGGAAGAAGGGTGACACAGGGCTTTAACAATTACTGTGGTAGCGAAGACATAAGCGTTAATAAAGTAAAAGGTGACAGGAAGAGCAATCCTCAGTTAACACATTCGATAAGAAGTGGGGATAATTACCCTTCACCTACTGAAAATTATAACGATCGGGTTGGAAGTAGTGATAAAAATACGAAAACTATCTATAGTAACCATCCTGTGAATCCGTATGTGAAAGGGCATCCAGAAAGAACCACAAAAGTTGAATGTGATAACAATGAAACTGATGTTGACGGATGGATGGTGGCTTCCTCAAAGAAAAAAGTGAGGCAACTATAAACTGTGTTGAGGATTTGGCTATTCTTTCCTAATATTTAATATTACGTTATTTTTAGGGCTATAAAACTTCTCAGCCAAGTCAATTAGCTAATGTTGATAGTCAACAGTTGAAAACATTAATTGATATGGGATTCAAGGTAGAATATCATTTTATTACTATTTTTTACAAAAAAAATTTAAATTTATTACAAAATCACTCGCAAGCAGCTACATTATACATATGATCCCAACAAAATTGGTGTTTTGATGTTGATTAAGATTTAATCTTTATATTTGTAGAGGGAGAATGCTAATGAGGCTTTAAAATTAAATCATATGGATGTAGAAGCATCAGTAGGTAAATGAGAATACTCCTAATGACAATATTAAGTGATCCTATGTAGCTAACAAAATTTTACGTAGTAATTAATCTACTGCTTAATAATTTTTAGCCTATCTGCTATCAAGAAACTATAAGGATGATAAGGAAACAGCCAGTAGCACACGTGAAGATCTTTCCTCATCTCCCACAGCCTTTGCTACGGAGATGCAGACAGAAGTAAATAATAAAGGACATGAGCCTGTCAACGTAATATCAACAGATGACGAATCGGGAATGATTACTGAGCACCAAGAAAGCAGTGATGCAGCAGAAAATAGTAAATACGTTGGTGTTGATCCTTTAGAAGAATTAAGTAGATCTTCTGTTGATAGTTCAGCAAACGACTATGCAAATATATCGAACACGTCATCGCCTCAAATTGCGACGATCGTATCTAAACAACCTTTGAGACAGGTGCCAGTACAACAACCACAAGGACTTGTTCCTCCAGAAATATTAGCTTTATCACAAGGAGTACTGCAATTACAAAATATGCGACAGATTATATTACAACAGATCACCCAGCAGCAATCTGGAAAGGCAACATTAACTCAACAATCACAATTACATAATTTAGTTATTGAAATACAAAGACGGCAATATACAATTATGCAATGGCAAATATCAAATCAAATACCATCGCCAATAATTCCACAAGAAAATCAGACAGGAAGTTTATTGCCTAATACAACTATGGATATGCATTTACATGAACCAGTAACGCGAGATGTATCATTAAATAACTACGCACCTAATACTAATTCTACCACTAGAAGAGATATTAGTATTAATAGTTCTGACAACGAACAATCGCAGCAATTCTATTCAAATTCAAAAACCGAATCTCGAAATTTTAGCCATGGTGTTGACGATTATCAAAACGTTCAAAAACTAAAAGATAATACTTCATCAACCTATCTCTCAAGTCATGATCCAAATTCTCAGGATACCAACGTATTTAACTTACCGAATATAAATAATTTATCAGGCTCAAGACCAAACCATAGCAACACAATGAATAGACGAGAAGAAAAAAACGCGTTATATTCACCATTAAATAGTAATGCAAATAATAATAGTAATAATAATAATAATAATAATTATAATAATACAATACGTAGTCCAGCTATGGAAACTCAAATAGGAGGCTCTTCTCATCCAGAGAAATTGCCAACAAAATCGACTCGAACGTTGGATGTAAATGATATTCCAGATAATAATATTATGGACTCGTCAGAGGGATGGTATAAAGACTTATCGAACAATGTAAACTGGACACAAACGCCACCTTTCGATGATGACAATACCAATGCAACAACAGCAACGGCCCAAAAAATGGCATCCATATTGGCTAAAGGCGAAATCCGCCCATTTGAACCTGGTACTCCTTGGAAGCCTATTAATGAAGTTACGGAAGAATATTTTAACGCTGATATTCATACAATTAATGAAAGAACTTCAAATAATAATCTGGAATATTCTTTGAGTGACCAACGAATGCCTATGCAAGGTATTCAAAATGATATTAAAACTTCAACAATTGATAATTTGCAGCCAGGGTTGCATTCATGGATTGAAAATACGCGAACTACTGACAGTGACAACAACAACAACAAAATTGCTTCATTACCACCTGGTTTATCATCTGCCGCAAATCCGTTATCTTCCCATATGAGTTCAAATCAAATTGCTGCAACTACAAATACTTCTGTAAAAAGCAAGGCCCAAGAATGGTCGAGTTTTCCAGCTGTGTCTAATCTAATGTTTTCTCATAACTTGAATAACTTAAGTTCTAATGAGAAAGATTTAGAAAATATATGGTCAAATGCTGAAGAATCGATGTTCCCCAATGATTCTAATGTTAAATTCGGTATTACTAATAATGATAATAAAAGTAAAACACAATCAGGTTGGCCATCAAGTATCACGCAAGAGTCTAGTTTTACTAAAGAATCTGTAGTTAATATTGAAAATAATAATCTCTCAAGTTGGCCGTTAGATGCTTCGCAACCATCTAATTTCTCTAGTGATTTAAATATTAAACCTAACAAAAGTAGTAGCAATAGCATCAAAAGCCAATCTGGTTGGCCTTTAGAAAATGAAAATCTATCATCAGAATTCATTTCCAAACCGAATGTTATGCCATCGTTATCGATTCTTATAAAGGGATTTAGTTCACAGGTAAGCTGCTATCTTTGTAAATTTGTAATATAATATATTATGGCTATCAAAATGTTAAGTTTGCTATACGATCATACTGTATAACTAATAATACACAAATAATCATCATGTACAGGTTGATGAGAACTTACTCCAAGCGCTCTGCTTACAACATGGTAGAATCACCGAATTCGTATTTGACCCTCGAAAGCGGGCAGTATTCGTTAGCTACAGTAGCGTAGACGAGGCTGTAAGAGCTCAATCCAGATTGAACAATTGTAAGATTATGGATTCAACATTGGAAGCATCATTTCCACTAACTAAGATTCCAGCATCAAATGAACCAATAACGCCAACAGAAAGTGGGCATTCATTACAATGGAACCACTCATCAAGTGCGAATAATAATCCTCCTGAATTAAGTAGCTCTACGAATTCAACTATGGCTATAAATAGCAATTATCGTGTTCTAAATCCTAACGGTAGCAGTCTTTTTCCCAATACAAGAAAGGAGGCGTGGTCGCATACGGATAGTAAGCCAGTTAGGACAGTTGATGACACAAAGATATTTACTCCAAGCTCATTCTTGCAAGGCAGCCCATTTTATGATCAGCAACAATATTAAAATTCGAAATCAGTCATCAATTAATAATTTTATTTGAAAGACTTTTCTAATAAACCAGCTATTTTCATTTTAATTGTGAGGATTTGTAAATTTTGTCTTTAAATACAGCCGCATCAAACTGATTAATAGCGTATTTTTAAAATTTGACCCATTAAACTGTAGTATACTGTGTAAAATATCAGCTATCATAGTACGTAACCCACATTATGTAACTGCATTGTATAGCAGTTTCTATGTCGTGTAGAATCACTGGACAACTTAAAATATTTCAGAATTGATGCATTTGAGTGCAACTCATTAGCTTTTTTTCAGATAAATTCATCCCTACTGGGAATATCAATTTACATTTAGTGATTTTTAATTCTACAGTATATACTTTGCTTTATCCCAAATTTAGTTATAAGATGGATGGTGAGACTGGCAACAATTTATATGGCAATGCAATTTGGGAAGTCATCATAGCTTTAAATTTGTAACAAAAGTAGAAAGTAACTTCTCCTGATCTTATATACCTTCACCTAACTTAGTGAATATAATTCACTTTATATTTCTAAATTCTTCATAGTAAGTCTTCTTTAGCAAACAATAGTTATCGATGGTCATTTCTAGTCAACTATGTCCTATTATCTGTATATCGACCAATAATGAAAGACAATTGCAAATGTAAAATATCACAAGAAAAGACTAACTATCTCAAACGTCGGGAATTAATCTATTAATTATAATTATAAAGTATCATGCAATCCGTTAATGGATGTTTCTTATTCACGTGGCCTGTACTGCTAGATAATTTTCCTTCGTAATTTATGACAAACGGGGCAAACAGTAGTTACCTAATTTTATAAAACCATTTTATGTTGCAATGGCAAATGACGAATACCAAATAGCGACACTAGTCTAGACTTGATCATGTATTAAGTACTCAAGTCAAACAGTCTTAGCTTAACTTGTTAATTGTAGCCTGTACCTAACTATTCAATGATCTACTAACCTAACAATAGATAATTTAATGCTCAATAGATGCACTAAGTATTCCATAATCATAGTACCTTTGATAACATACACCATTATATTTAGTGCCTAGAAATGATTGACCTGTCATTAAATGTTAATTCATACATTGAAACTTTAACGATAGACAAATATAATACGAGAAAGCCGAAATTTTTTAGATTCTGATCGGCCAATTCTAACAGAAATATATTGATTACAGTAATAACAGAACATCAACGTGGAGTATAAACGAACCACCCTTGAAACAACACCGGTTACTTTTATTCAATGCTACCACAAAGGAGTTATAAAACTAATCAGCACACCAAACGTCAGAGAAAAAATTGCATTATGTTAATTTTGCATAGCAGCAATGAATATACTGTACATAAGTATGCTTTAATGAACACTTATAAGTGTTATAATAAAATAGTCGATACGTACAGATATGAAAATTAATTCTAAAATAGACATACGCGATATCAAGCGTGAAGATAATCAACAACAAATTTTTGTGTGAAACCCTGTCACATCTAGTGATCATAATTACAATTATTATAAATTCTTTCTTATACATTGTGCAGTAACTCTATCCTAGTAGGCAGATGATAACTCCATAAGACAGTTCTGCATCTTGGAATTAATACAGCACTAGCTGCAGGTAATCAAACTTGTGATTAATAAATATCTTCTAAGGTGTATCAGATAACATTGATATAATTGTCTCTATGTCAAAATAAAAATTATCTCTGGATGAATTTAGCATGCATAATTTAAATAGGAAATCATCCATATTATACTTTAATAGTATAAGACCTGATGATTTTGTAGTCAAGTTGAGTTCTTGACAAAACACTCTAGTGATCAAGTACTTATATTCAAATCGATGATACGGCTAACTAAAAAGAGCGTTATAACACTATTTTCAGCTACTCTTTAAGCTAATTCATTATTATCTTCATAAATGTCAATAGAATATTTGCATATAATTGAAATTTTTCAACGAAATGGTAAGTTAATAAAATCGATACTGAATTATTTTTCTTTGCTTATGTATAGGAGCAAAACTATGGGCTAACAATCACTACGCATCGGCTAAATACTATTTTAGGCATTGGTGCTTATAAATGTGAATTTACCCAAATAGGACAATCTTCTTATGGATAGATAGTATAACAAGACAGATCATCATTATAAAATAAATTTTCGTTTATGTCAATGATAATCATATACGACTATACCAGATCCCTATGAAAAAGTTATAAAAATTGTGCTACAATCTGAGTAGTCGTAATGTGCTATATCGCCGTATTACCCCATAAATTTGAAAGCGTTTAATTCTTGGAATTGTGAGTTAAGATATTGCTATTTCTGTCATTGTATTGCCCATCAATGCAATCTTATAATCTATCATGTGAGGTAAAACGATAGTTTCCTATAAAGACATGATATCATAACAATAATTAATGTTAGACACGATACAAAATCGTTATTAGCGTAAATATTTATCGTCGTTGCTTTAAACTAACCTTAATTTCATGGCGCAATTTTTTCTCGATCCAATCTGTAATATTTGTCAATCTAACTTTACGTTCACCAAGTTTCGGTCTAACTGACATCAATACAGTCGGATTGCCACGAAAACCGTACCTACAACAAGGTCAAATTTATTATTATCCATCGTTTAGCTTTATATCATTTTCCATAAAATTTTTAATATCTATTTCATATTACTGTACAATTTAAAATATAAACTTGTATTGAACAACATACCGGTTATATAATAATGCATAGAGAGAGAGAGTGAGAGAGATTAAAGTAATGAAGTAATTTAATATGCAAGTATTCTACTAATACTTTTACAATCTGATCTTGCATATACTTTTCAATTTTACTTCAACAAAACTAATGACTACGTCGAACTTTAAATCAATTTTACATACCATAAACGATCCGATGGTGGAGGAGGGATATTAAGGGCTAAAATGCCAGTTACTGATTGGATCTCGACAGCAAGAATTATTGGAATATTGGATACCCTTTCGGCAGCTTTCTGAGCTAGTCTTGAATTTGTTGCTTTTTGAACTATCTTGGATTTTCCTACTTTTTTAATAAAGCGAGACCACCGACTATTTCCGTTGTGTTGTGAACTACCAATACTTGAGGAGCTAGATTGTTTCTCTAGAGTTGGATCATCCGCTTCATCATCAGACGATTCAGAATCAGATTTATCTAGCCCTTGCAGTGTAAAAATTAAATCATTTTTGGATGGATCAGTTTCTTTCTTAGGATCGGTTACCTCCATTTCACCATCTGGTTTTTGCCGTGTTATATTAAGACTAGTTTCTAGAGCTATAGTAAATGATCCATGATAGGAAACATCTAAATCGATCCATAATCCCCTTTCGTCCAGCGTAGGAGAAGAAGCACCACGAATAGCTGGTAATGAGCCACCAAGATCTAAATCAGTCACTATTAATTCTTTAATATAATTAGGTCGATTTAATTTGCTAATACGGCGCTGGATTATATTCACCATTTTATCCGACCAATACTTTTCACGCCAAAAATCAAAGAACGCCCTTCCAAGTAACGCATTTAACCACGATACTACTGACGTTTCTACCGGATTCTTACCAGCTGCGGGTTGCTGTTGCTTACTTTTAGGCTTGTTATCCACTTGTAAAATTAATTTGGCCATATAACGCGAATAATAAATTGCTTGCATCTCGGCGAAAGTTTTTGATCGGTTGGGTTGCACATTAGGATGGCTTGGGGGATATACTTTTGGTTCTTTATCGATTGGTAGTGTCTCTTCCTTTTTACTTTCTGTACCATATTGCAGTCGATAAAACCAATATTCCTTATCATGGCTCGTGGTTGCAAATAAATAGAAAGACCTATCCTTTTCGCTGTCGATATTTGGTGAAGGATCAACAGTAGGTAGTTGGACTTTACCACTAGCCGGTTGATATTCTAAAGGACTTTTATCAACAGCCGCAGTCGGTGCTCCTGAAAAGCTTTTCCCCTCAGCTAAAGTTATACAAATTGGGTATTTTTTACTCCATAATTTATTTTTACTTAATGTTTTTGGTATTAATTGTATCTTTGCATTGGTTATATCTAGTAATTTTTGATTCACAAAAGAGACATTCCACTTTTCAGGTTTAAAAGGTATTGTTAGATCATCACTTTGTGGCTTTGATAATCTTAGTACACTACCATCTAAACGAGCATAAATACAACGTAAATCAGTCTTGTAATGTTGATCTTGATCATATTTTCGTTTTCCGTACATCCATCCCTAAAGTTGAAAAAAAAATACAGTAATTTATGTCGTCAGATAAGGCTCGTACTATTCCATGCGATGAAGTTAAAATGAACTTTTCACTTTAATAATTTATTAATATTTTCTCCTTTGAAATCATGTCGTCATTGCATATGGATGACTTAACACTATCATGATTGCTTGTCTTTTTAAAGCGAAATACTAAGCATTAAAATTTTTTTTACGATATTAGAATATTAATACAACAACGAAAATTATGATTTCACGCGTATGGTATTTAACTCACGTTAAGCAATCAAATCTACTATCGACTAGATTTAGTTTTGCTAATTCTACTAGAAATGATTCATTTTGGATGTATTTTGAAAAATAAATTAAACGTATTACGGTACCCATTAATACTTTAATAGAACTACTGACACTGTAATTATTTCCGAAATAAGTATAGTCTATCCAGTCATATGAAAATTAATATTCAATAACGGATTATGATTGTTAATCATTCGATTGCAACTTTGTAAATTTTTTTTTTTTTTCAATTTCTCCCTTCCTATTCTCTACATAAGTCGGTATATCGATAGATGTATGCGTATAGCCAGTCAGGCGTAGACGATGAAATATACAGAAAAAAAAGAAAAATTAACTTACCTTAACTGTGGTTAACTGTTGTAATCGTGAAATGTAACTGTAATGAAATGGTGGTGGTCGCGGTGGAGGCCGACTTGTATCTTCAGGTGAAAATGATGGTAATGATAACCAGACAAAAAAGGATAGTAAAAAGTACATGACAAAAGCTCCTGTTAATAATCCGTGCCAAAAGGGTGATATTGGCAAAGCATAAATGCTATAGATACAAAATGATATTGCAAAGATCACTGTCGCCGATATATTGGAATGGTCGGTATTTGATATTGCCTTTGAACGTGATTTATCAAGTAAAGTTGGTTTTTTGAATTGACCACCAAGGGATGGTGGTAAATTGGCTAGAAAGCCTGCATGGCTGGATGTAGGTAACTCAGCTTTATTGATCGAAGAAGTAGGATCATTTTTTTGTAAATGGAAAGGCATATCTTTGCTATTGGAATCCATTGTAGGTAAAGAATCTTTCATTTCTTTTTGCGATTCCAATAAAGACGATAATGATACACCAACAGGGCCACTACTACGTCGTGTCGGTGGTGGCGATATACCCGATTGGCTTGATGTAGTCGTGGATAATTGACTAGTTTTATAGTTACGAAGTCGATCGGGCGATTTTTGATATCTTAAATGATCATGATGTTGATCTTCGTTGACTCTATTTAAATTGCTACCTTCTGAAGCGGATAATGCTTTGGTTAAAGGTGGATGAATTGCTCTTGCGGTCGTTTTACGCGAATTCTTTTCAGCTTCTTGGTGGAAATACGATTCGACAAAATTTAATTGATTGGTTTTATTCTCCACTTGATTATTATTAGGATGATTGTTGGTATTGGCTGGCGAATGATCCACATTTGCAGTTGTAGTAGTATGAGTGTTAGTAATAGTGGTAGTGGTAGTCGTTGTTCCATTAGAATCATCAATTGCTTTTAGCGGTGGCGATTGTTGTGATGGCTCATCGCAATTTAATGGACGCTGCTGCTGCTGCTGGCGATTACTATTGTCATGGACTATATCGTCTGCTGACTTTGTAAAATGTAAAACAGGTACATAATTATTACTTTGTTCACGCTTTAAATAGCGAAAAAAAGGTTCTCGTTCATCTTTTCGACCAGTAGTTGTCGTCTGTTGATGATGATCATTAGCGCTAGTATTGGTCAATCCTTGCGATGTTGAAATTATTTTACTGGGTAAATCAGGATAACTGATTGATGATGATTGTTGTTGCATGGGATGACTGGTTAACTTGTTATCGATTTGATCTTCTCCTACAATCGTTTTCAATTCTCCTTTGATTTGTGTTGATGTGGGCAATTGAAAAATTAATTCATCCTCTTCGGATTCAGAAAATGAAGCCAACGGTGTTGCTTCAATAGAAATAGCATCACGTTTAACCGATGATGTATCATGATTGGATAGTGATTTAGGTCGATTGCGTTTCTGTTGATCGCTTGTGGAAGACATTACTTTGTCGCTTTGTTGTTGTTGTTGAGGAAGAGAGGTATCGGAGAATAGATTTGGATGACTTTTCTCCAATTGATTTTGATTCTCTTGGTTGATTCCATCCAATTTATAATGATCGATGATTGTTTTCTTCTCGTCTGTGTTAAGATCGCTTTTCTCCAAGGATAAATGGCGATTAGATGAAGGTGATCGAAAAGCCGGTGGTGGAGGACGCGGTGGTTTGGCACTATTTTGAAGTGACATTTTCTCCCCTTGGTGTATTGTTGTACAGGAAGATTAACGTTTGAAAGGAATTTTTTTGTTGTTGTCTGATCCTTTCCCTTCTTTCTTTCTCTCTTCCTCTCTCTCTCCAATTTTAAAATGATACTCTCTACACCTAATCCAAGCAGCAGTGATAATCGTCTCTATTTCTTAAGTAAAAGGAGCAATGAGCAGTCGTCCACCAAACAAGGCCTGACAAAATATTGTTTTTCTTTCCGTCAATGGACTCTGTCCTCCAATCTTATTATGTCACAACCATCTTGAAAGCAGGAAATTCACTCCCATCATACCCTAGCCCTACTCATATGGCGTTCTTCATCTTGCTCACTAGGAAAGCGATTATAACAGCGTTGAATTGCAAAGGAACAAGAAGCAATTTGCTATTTGCACAGCCAATCTGGCAGATTACTAGGTTAAAAGTGTTGTGTGGATTAGTTAAAAGGTGGTGGCCAGCTTGCCAACCAATGCCTTCAATATGGCCCAATCGAGTGAACTTACTCAGTCAGTACTGATTATATCAGTCTAAAGCTGTAAGGATAGAATACGATTGTCGAAATGACTGAGAGGATGGGATAGCTTGGCTCAACGCCAGCCATCCAATTCAACCTATTTGACTCGTGTCGTAGGTGGGTTATGAGACAGTGAACTCTCCTACGATAAGACTATCAACGGTATCCAATACCAGTCCACAACCCATAGTAGAATATACTTTCAACGCGTCACAACACGATCCAGTATGAGCTCGCGTCGCTTGTAGTCAAAATGGCGAAGCTAGACAAGCTGCAGACAAATCTCATATAAACTCTCTACACGATGTCGTTTAAATTGCTGGTGTATGGGCCGTAGAGAAAATAGGAAAAGAAGCCATCTAGACTTTTACCACATGGGTCTATTGGCCACGCTAACAAAGCTAAAATGGCAGCATATGGACATCGCGCAAATCCGATAGCAACGGCTGGATGAATCATCGTTGAAAGCAAGCGCTTTATCGACTATGGCAAGCAAGACAACCGACGGAGATCCACATGTTTTCCAGTTGTTTTTCGTCCATTAACCTTTCAAAATAAGCCTACTGCTATACCATACAGTTCCTTGAGCTCAGTGACATATTCTGTCCTAGTGGATAGCTTGGTTGATGAGTTTGCAGCACCTCATCTTAGATCCTCTTTTAGGAAGGCCAGCCAATAGACGAATCGACTACATCGTCTTCTACCATGACAGGAGCAACAGCGACTACCTCCTGACAGAAAACTGCTCATTTTTACAGCAAAGACGACTACCTAAACTATCGCTCATGTCAGATTATCCTGGAAGAATTTGCAACAATCAATCGTTACCACAAGAAAATGCTCCATAGATATACAGAATATGGCATCAATACAGCATTTTCAAAATGTTGTACACGAGCACCAGCCCTGAATCAGGGCCTACCTCCTGCATAAAACGGCTCGCTTTTACAGCAAAGACTGCTCCATAAACTATCACTTACTCATGTCAGATTAGAAGATTGCCCAGGAATAATTTACAACAATCGTTACGAGAAGAAAAATCCTGCATAGATATACAAAATATTCCATCGATACTGTACGCTGCCCAGTATACAGAATATTGCATTAGTGTAATGCATTTTCATGAAAATGCATTATTCTAGCACTAGCCCTGAATCAGGGGCTACCTCCTCACGGAAAACTGCTCACTTTTACAGCAAAGACTGCTACATAAACTATCGCTCATGTCAGATTATAAGATTGTCCAGCAACAATCAATCGTTGCGAGAACAAATTGCTGCATAGATATACAGAATATTGCATTAATACAGTATTTTCAAAATGTATCACAGTAGCACCAGCCTTGAATCAGGGAATACAGAGAGCAAAGACTGCTAACTAAACTATTGCTCATGTCAGATTATAAGATTATCCTGAAAGAATTTGCAACAATCAATCGTTGCGAGAACAAATTGCTCCATATATATACAGAATATTGCATTAATACAGCATTTTCAAAATGCATCACAGTAGCACCAGCCCTGAATCAGGGAATACAGAGAGCAAAGACTGCTAACTAAACTATTGCTCATGTCAGATTATAAGATTATCCTGAAAGAATTTGCAACAATCAATTGTTGCGAGAACAAAATGCTGTATAGATATACAGAATATTGCATTAATACAGCATTTTATGCATCACAGTAGCACCAACCCTGAATCAGGGAATACAGAGAGCAAAGACTGCTAACTAAACTATTGCTCATGTCAGATTATAAGATTGTCCAGCAACAATCAATCGTTGCGAGAACAAAATGCTGCATAGATATACAAAATATTGCATTAATACAGCATTTTCAAAATGCATCACAGTAGCACCAACCCTGAATCAGGGACTACCTCCTCACAGAAAACTACTTGTTTTTACAGCAAAGACTGCTACCTAAACTATCGCTCATGTCAGGTTATAAGGTTATCCAGGAAGGATTTGCAACAATCCATCGTTACGAGAGGAAAATGCTCCATAGTAGAAGGAAGAGTTCATTCTGTAGACTTGCAACACAACAGCTTATGCAGAATCGATTTGGACTTGCATGATTGAACTTTCACACAAACATTTTTTGCCATGACAAAGAATCAAGCTAGCCCTACCAGATAGCATAGGTAGTGGCCCTAACTATTGAAAAATAGTATTAGAATAAATGGATACTATTTTTCATCCATGATTGCAAGGAATACTAGAGACACCATCGACAATTCTACCTAGAGCAGTCCATGTATAATATCTACTACGTTGCAAAACGAAGTGGATGGCATCCATAGTAAATAGACTCGTACTACCCAAAGTGTACTTTGTGTCACTTACTTTTCTATGGAGAACTGCAATACAAAACCATCGGAAAGTTCAGGATTTCAGCTTAAAGTCAGTAGCTGATGACAGCCTCTCTAGCCCATAGTAATCCAATACTCAATCCAATCTGTACAGTAGTGTATGAATTGATCATGCTCCACCGAGTTAAATCGCTCAACTCGATCCGCCATTACCATGTCCAATCTTGGCCTGTTAAAAGATCGAATTGTGTATGGCAAAGATAGTGTAACCTATCAGAATTTACGCCAAATTAAAACTCTGTAAGTAGATGGTAGAATTTCCCCTTCAAAATCTCTTCCATACTGTACAAATGATGACTGAGTCCAGCCTAAATTGATGAAAGTGAGGCAAGAGGAACGAACGGTCTGCGTTCAAGGCTAACCACCTTGCAAGCTAAACTTTTCATTCAAGTTGTCATCCATTCTTGTTCTAGACTACCATAGGCATCACCATACTAATGTACCTATCCAAACCAACATCAACATAAGCATATATACTTCATCTTATTCCATCCATCATCGTTCTAGTTGTCCAGCTGCTTTGGATTGATTCATATCGTTGTACACAGTATGCTGTACAGCTAAAAATAGGGACACGATCAAGTTACTTGTATGTGTTTCGTGTACATATTAAAATGAAGGTGCAAGACTATCCACAAAGTATCCCTGATAACTCTGTGATAACGAGAGATGAACAAATTTTAACCATCCACTTTTAAATGCACATCAATTTGTTTTATACTCTTGTAAAATGCTTCTTGCTTGTGCTGTGGAGTGCAACTGTACGCCTACAAATGTTTCCAACCATGGCTATCCACTCGTGAATTCGGTCTGCTGTCCAACATCCATTCGTCCACCTGCCCCAATCAAATGATGATAGTTTAAAAGTATACCTGGAGAGCCCTTTCAGCAAAGGATATTCATTCTTTCTGCCCGCTACTGCTATTGCTAATCCTCCATCCATAAATGCTTACTGCTATCTCGGCCATGTGTCCTAACTACACTTTATTCGTACTGTTGATCATTGACTAGTCAATGCTCCAATATCCTACCGATGCTGTACTGCTAGTTATAAAGTATACCTGTAAAGCGTTTTCAGCAAAGGATATCAATTCTTTCTGCCCGCTACTGCTATTGCTAATCCTCCATCTGTAAATGCTTGCTGCTATCTCGGCCATGTATCCTAAGTACACCTCATGAGTACTGCTAATCGTTTACTCGTCAAGGTTCCTGTATCTTACGATGCAGCACTACTAGTTCTAATCGTCCACCTACAGTATCAATCCTTTCTGCTACTGCTTAGCTAGAATGACCATGTAAACGCTTCTTCTACCCTTACTGTGAATCGGTCAATGCTCCCCTATCTGTGATACGAGTCTTCAAAATAATAAACAAGAAATACAATTTCTTGCAAACTTCACTTTATCACCTAAATTAGCTTCATCTAACTACTACCAAAGACTAACTACAGTCCAAGCTGCAATCAGACTAACTCAATTTACGACAGCAAAATTCATCATTTCTATTACACGAACTATCACTTACAGATTAATTCTTTATTCTTACAATCAAATATCCAATTCATCTATTTTTCGTACAATCCTATCATTTTAATCTCAAGCTAATTTAGGGGGCTACACTACACTGTCCTATATTGCTCAATGTACACCTATTTTATACAATCCTTCCTACTATTGCCATCCATTGCATCAATTTATCATTGTAAAAATTCCATTCTCGCCTGACATGGATTATACACGTAGACTGATCGTGCTTGATGTTTTTCTTAGTGCACGTATTGCTTGCGCCGATGAAGATATAAAATTACGCAATTGTATCAAAAATTCCTGGTTCGGTCGATGCTCGGAGGAAAGCGAAGAATTTCAAACTTGCTACCAATCCTACATGGTAAGTTGTTTAATGAAAAGTGTTGATAGTAAAATTGAGATAGATGCGCTACCACAATATTGATGAATATCATGTATTGAATTGCAATGATATTCGATATCTCGACAATGTGCAGAGCAGTTATACTACTGGATACCCCTCAAGGTACCCACTGCCTGTATTTCAATTACTACATAGCAGTGAACAATCTGTATTGCATATCTATATTTTTACTAGGAAAAGCTGAAATTAGTTTTGGAGAAGAACGAAAAGTTAAAAATCCAAGATATACAATAAATGACGTACGCTCAAATCATCATCAATCCTTTTTTTAACCTCTGCGCCCAGAAATATCCAAACGCTACAAGATCATGCCAGAGATTCTGTAAGATACTCATCCATTTTAAATCACTCTGTCAATATTGTATTATTTAAATTCAAGATACACTTCAATACATAACCTATATAAACTGTAGCTAAAAAAATTGATGATTGGAACTCAAAAAGAGAATACCAAATAACTCTTTTAATTTCAACTTTATAGTCTTGTTAAGCAGTTAGTATTAACCGAATGACCGCCCCTGTAATGGTAGCAATTTGTTACCTACGGCTACATCTGTTACTATTTAATACTCTATTGGATTACATGTAAATGATAAAGAAAGGCATCTAGATTACTAATGAATAAACTAAGCACCCTACAAGTGTTTTCGCAAAATCAACTTTAATAATCATGATATTCTTTCAATTATCTATTTGGTAATACTTTAACGATACAGATATTGAATATAAATCATTTTTTAATGGGTCAATGCTCTGTAATGTTACCCTTTAGTTATACTATTATGCCTAATTTATCGGCTAATTAGTTATACACTTTGTCAATTAAACTTGGACATAATAAGACATTAAAAGACAAGTTACTGACATTGGCTATATTGCATAAATCAAAGTAGAACTACACACCAAGATAATTGTTGATATAGAACAACAAGTCGTTCACACCATACATGAATGGCAACGGCTTTAATATAAATATCTACCTACAGTTATAGTACTGTATGGTCAATCGTAGTCTAAAAAATTGATCAAATGAATGCATGGTAAAGATGAATCAAGCTAATAAGAAAATAATCATCGACAATTACTTAGTTACGAATAACTTTTTTCAGTGTAATATAATACAATTACGGGTACTTTAATTATCAATAGTGAAGCGATAACACCCCAATATATGCTCGTAGCTTTTATATGTGCACTCTCCAGAATTGCAATCAATATCACATATCCATTTTACACAATCTAAAAACAGATATCGTACTTAAAGCTGATCAATATCATGGTTAACTGTGATTAATTTCGATAGATGTTGAAGAAATGAAGCAGCTCTCGCACTCGAAAGCGTTAATTTTTATGAACATGTTAGTATCACAACGGTCAATTAATGAACAATACTTTTTAATATTAGCTGGCTATGCTGAAATATGGAAATACGCCTATGTACATAATTAGGATACTCATATACAGTAATTTACACGTATCCGTCATCTTGTGATACTAAACTAACATCTTCTAGGACATTTTCGTTCTCGTCGTATACATCGTCATCTTCCTCGTCCATTTCTGTATCTTCTGCAGCATTTTGTAAAAAGTCAAGTAGGAATCGTTTATCCGTTCGTTCCTAAACAAATTTCAAAATTAAATTCGTATACCTTCTATACCAGCTGATGAATGCATATAATCCTATCTGCTTAAAATACTTTAACGTCATTATCACTGCCAGATCGATGGCTTACAAAAGCTAATGGCAAATTATATCATCTGGCATTGGCAGTATTATGTTATTATCAATATTATTACCGTTTCCAATTGCCTATTTAGAACTCGAATCATTCCTTTACGAGCTCTTGCAGTCGTTCGGAAATAGTAGATAAACAACCTAAACATGACAAAATATCCAATTTGAAAATGATATTCAATGGTAATTTCGTTCATTAAAAAAGACGGTACTTAAAATATTTTTCAGTACTTTTAACAGCTTAATTAACATAATAAAATCATAGACTATCTAGGAGGATTTAATTTCATTTTGGGTATATTCTTATTCCGTGTCGATAACTTACGCTAGCAACGCTATTATACCAAGTATTAGCCATGTCGAGGTCAAATAAGAAAGTATCTCTTTACTTGCAGGTGGTGCTTTAGCAACAAGCTCAGATACTATTGTATACATACGGACTTTTCCTCTATAAAAATACAAACGCTATTTAGCTAATTACTTCATAATATTACTATCTATCATGATTACAGTATTATAAATTAAAATCGCCATATATAGCACTATTTTAAAGTAGCTGCAATCACTGATTACTCCAGCTGCAGCCCTGCAATATTGTACAAATTAATGGACTGAATCAATTCTCGATATCTACAGTATACGTGTATATCTTCTTTACATCTTGCTCAGTGCTCAATATTACTATTATACAGTACTAAACGAAGTTCTATATACAAGCATGAGTAAGTATGTACCTGAATGGCCCACATTCTATCGATGGTCGAACCCTAACGCAGTAAATTAATAACTTTAATCGCAAAGCGGTAGAAAAATATTCCCAAAATACTGCATAACTAGCTCAACTTACATGATTACGCACACCACGATAAATGACAATGAAATCATGTACGTTACAAAAAGTAGAAAACTGAATAAGACATTATTCTTGGCTGTTCGGTAAGGTCTAATTGATGGGCGGCAGTTATTGATTAAGCTTATCTATAATAGCAAATTTTAATTCAATCAACCAGTAAAATGATAACATCAGCAAAAAAAGCTTATTACGAAGTTAAAACAGTTTGCAAAAATTTCTGATTATGTTGTGGTTATGCTATGACAAAAGTTATCATGCTTGAAACAATAATATCGTAAATAATTATAATTGATGTTATTCTTTAAAATTTAAAAGATCCATAAATAATCCAATTAATTAATATCATACCTTTCTGATGTAAAATAGTAAGATTAATTTAACCACAGCATACACAGCTAACATAGGAGCGTAAAATGTTCCAATCCTATAGAACGCAATAAATGTATCATATAAATATAGAGAGCTGGTATAAATTTTTGCAAGAAATACTCACCAACACAACGCCTGAGAGTAAACTAATTCAAGAACATTATAAGCAACGTTAAACTCTGGTTTGCCAAGAATTTGGCAACATGGTAGATATTGACCTATAATTCTAATTAAAAAATTGCATGTAAAATATTAATTCTGGATAAAAACAAAGAAAATTATAATAATTCACCAAAAATTAGCTTTAAAATCGTTTATTCTACAGGTTATATTCAATTACGTTTAATCAAAATGTTGACGGTTCAAATTTAATTTAAATTTTATCCATATACGTGTATACTAGTTGGTAGGATGATAAAAGTGTTGTATTAAATTGTACTGACTAAACTAATTTATCTAAAATTCGCATATACTGTAGTATTCTACAAGCTACATTCGATTATATTCATCCAAGTGTTCAGAGTTTAAATTTTAATCTAACTTTGAAGTTTATAAGCATAAAATTAGTATAAAACTAGTACGGTATTAAATTCTGTTAATTAGAGTAATTTGACTAAAATTTATCAGAAATTGCTTATCCAAAAGGTTATGTTCCTTCACGCTCTAATTTAATTTTAGATTATATCCATACAAGATTGCTAGTGGGATGATAATTATTGTACTAAATTACATTGATGATACATTTTGTCAGTAATGATCAATATGTAGAGTTATTTTCTACCATTCAATTAAATTGATCCTATAATATATCCTAATTCATATTTATATATATGTTCTTTTCTACCGTATAAATGAGATTGTAAAGGAACTACCGGAACATACAATTGCATAAATTAATATTTTTAATTAACCTAGTATTTACCTTCTTAAGAATTCTTTGAAGAAAGGATTTAGCATTAAAAAGACGAAATCGATTAATATTAATCTGTAGAATTCCTGGCCTAATACAGTCTCCCAACACTACATAAAGAGAGAATCAGAAATAATTTAGTTTCACATATTGTAACGGCTTCTCTATTTAGAAGTAATATCCATCTTACCGTTCCTCTGCAACTTGCACTTTCAAATTGTTTAAAATCGCAAGTTAATCTTCGCATTAATGTTACAATCATCACGACTAAATTCGTTCCAGTCAGTAACACCGTTCTACAAGTACATGAAAAGCTGATTAATTCACAAATCAATATAATTAAAGCATCTTTTGAGCTATGAATTGCAAGATATTTAAAAATGTCATATAATACAATATCTTCCAGTAGTTCAATTATATGTATTATAGACCTCTTAAGCGTACCTTATGACCGTTGCAACTAATTCATGCCTTGGCTTACTATATTTTTCAAAATATGCAATAACAGTAAAGCCAAAAGGTATCACATTATTTAATAACGATATCGTGGCTGGAACTGCTAGTTGAACTAGCGCGGTAATTTCTTTTCCGTTAACAGATTGTAAAATTTGCTGATATGGGAGAAAAATTCAACCTTAACTTGGTATAATATCGTTAATCTATACGGTAGTTAATAACATCATCTTCTGAAGTTCAATATAATTACATTATATCCGATATTAGCAACATAGTAAACCAAGTATCCAGATCCTGCTACTAGTAATAAAGCTACTAGATTGCTTATGATTCGAAGTCCAAACTTTTTAACTAGGTTTCGGACGGAACTCTTTGAGCCTTGACGCTTGACATCAGCTAAAACTTCCTATCATTAATAGTCCATAAAAAGTTTAATTTTGTTTAATTTGAGATAGCGATAGTCCTATATATCAATGGCTATTACTACAGAAAAGATAACCTTTAGTATTAATATGGAATTACAGTGTAATGGCTATTCAGCTACTACGATGTGTATAATACATAATCTCCAAAATAATACACAATATATGTAAATTATTTTAAGATGACAATACTCAAAATTTAGCTAATAATTATACTGTACTCGTAATCCATCAGTTCATTTACCTGTAACTCGGTAAAAATGCTTTTATGCTTCAGTATAGCGGTTGAAGGATCTATCACTCCATAATGCCAAGAGCTAAATAGTTTACTTGAGAAGCGTCGGAATCGGCCAGAACCTTCTTGATAAGTTTGAGTATATGCCTTAGAAAGCCTATATAAGACGCATAATAATGTCAGTAAAATTAGTTAGCGATAAAACCTGCATATTATTTGAGGAGTTTCCTTACGATAGCAAGAGGATGATGATGCCAAGTATGAAACAGCCTCCAAATGTAAATAAATAGGCAATAGGCATATCGTAATCAGGTCCAATAGCCGAAGGAATGCTATTGTTTGTATAGTAGCCATAATATAATTCAGTATTTGTAAACCAGCCCTGTAAAGAAATTAAGAAGAAAAATTAATGCTAATACAGAACTTTCAGAAATATAAAACATTTTACTTTACCAGCACAGTCTCTACAGTATTTACTATTTTAAATTACAGCTAACTTGTAAGTGAATCCTAAAATGAAAGCTTCTACATATCGAGTGACAAAAGCAGCAAGAAACGATAAATAAAATAGCACGATGGTATTTATTTATAACTTACACTTCCTGTAATAAAATCGATAGCTTCAAAAACAGTGCCACTGGAGCTTTGTTGATAAGCCAATTGGGGTATAAAGACGAATGAAAACGGTAGAACAAATAGGGGAATATTCAGGAATACTAGCCAACGTAAAAATATAAAATAGGAAACTACACCAGTACCAAAATATCCTGTATGTTGAAGGTAGTAAATTTAATTATAATGAATTACGGTTAATCCAGAATGTAATTTTGCAATTTGTTTATAAAAATAAAACTCGTGAGAGTCAATAAAATTGATATTACTTTTGATTTATAATTGTATATGTAGCTATAGACAATGTAGTATTGTAGTATTAATCAATTTTACCTTCAATCTCTTTCATATGAGAATTCCATAAGCTTAATTGTAGGTCTTGAAAAAAATGTTTTAAATGGCTCCATTGCTGTAAGCAATCGCAAGAATAAGATGTTGATAATGGAGTTATATCGGACATTTTTTTCATTAATTGTAAGAAAAATAGAGGTAATAACAATTCTACATTGTTCAGCTTTCCTCTCAACACTTGCTAGATAATAAATCAATTCTATTAAAATGCAGGTATAAGCTTCTCGTTATATTGCATACAAGATACTATATGAAATTTGAATAATTCTGTAGTTGTATACTACCAGTAGTTCTTCCTATCGGTAGATATTACTTTAAAGGACAAGTATAATTCTGCAGTAATTGTTCTGTAGGTAGACATCAATTTAAAACTAACATACGGTTTAAATGTAGCTTATATGTAATAATATACAAATTTTATTCCATCTACAAATATTACTACAAATATATACAGTTGGACACCAATTTTTTATTATCGTCAGATACTGGTACCATTTTAAAGCTCTGTAGGGTTGTATATATAGGCTGTGCATAGTTTTATAACAATTTCATTCTATCTGCAAGTATTGCTGCAAATATGTATAGGAACACACTAATTTCTACTATTGACCGGGATTATATCATAAAACGTATATTACTATAAATACAGTTCATATACAAATCTCTATTGATTTTAGCTATTTGTAGATATCATTTTATAAAATACACTCTTATAAATGTAATTTATGTATTCATTGGATTCATTCTATTTTATCTGCGGATATAGATGTAGTTTTATACTAATTATTACAATCTATAGACACTCCATTTCAAAGCCTATCCTGCAACAGAAAAGCGTATGTATGCTTTTCTGTTCATTTTTATCACCACAGCTATTATTTTACAACATATACTCCTGTAAGTATAGCCTATAGAGAGTAGTACGGAAATTTGATCCCTTTGACAGATACCATTTTAAAATTTTACACTGGTAGAAAAGCAGCGCATAAAACGGCTCACAATTCTACGCAAATTTACTATATCTACTACGAAATCACTTTTAAAACTTTATAGGCAATAAAATCTACTTACGGTCATAAACCAGTATTTCCATCTTTTTAATATTCCTGGCTTTTCAAAGTTCTGCTTTTCTCTAAATTTAATTCTAGTACCGGTAAATTGAACATTTTAGCAACTTGATACGTGCGATATAAAGTATTCATGACTAAGGTCAAAATGTTGTTGCGATCGACAGACCTTTCAGCTTTTTTACTGCGCAAATTCGTCGGTAAAGATCGAATTTCTTTATTGACTTTTCGAGAATTTTTAGAATGGAGAGTAGAAGGAAATTGAGCAATAAAATCGGAAGCAGCATGATCACGAATATCTTCTGAAGGCCGTGAATGCCGACGACTTAAAGTCTGAGCTTGGATCGATCTACGCCGCCATTGATCTAAACTATCCCGTGTAGTGGTTCCCATTTTACGACTTGGCATCATATCCACGATTCGATTTCGCTTCGCTTCGGATTTTTTACGCCTAAAATCATATTTTCAAGACAAGTTAGTACTGGCAATCTGTTTCCTGACTTAGTTAATTCTATTCATATTATGTACTAGGATATATTAGCAATAGTTTACACTCAATTTGGCTCCATTCACTGTAAGATTAAAGAATTGAAAATTTATGATGGATTACTATCCATTTTGCATACCATTTAGCCCTTCCTTCAGGCCAATCTTCATAGATGGAGCTTTGCCGATAGTCAGCTAGCTGTCCATAAATTGAATCAGGATCATGACTATTTCGTTGATTGGGGTAGCCATTCGTAGTCTCTGTTGCGTAATCAGCTACATCTTCTAATTCCAATGATTCGATGTCATTAACGCTGGCTACAGGAGTGGTTAAATCTATATACAGTTAAAAAATAGTAACATATGAACACGGTAAGATAATGCTTGTTGAGCTACTAGTCAGCCAATAGAGCAATCCTAACACAATAAATCCAGCTGGTAGAATAAGTTTAAACAGATTTTATAAACATAAGGATGGATAAATTGGCTTTAAAAATGTCATTTGAACATGGTGAGACAATGTTTGAGCTCTTAATCAGCGAATAGCGTAATCCTAACGTAATGGAGACAGCTGGTAAAATAAGTTTGCTAAACAGATTTTATAAGCACAGAGATGGATAAATCTGCTTTAAAAATATTATTTTGAAACATGGGAAGACCATGTTTGAGCTCGTTGTCAACGAATGGTATAATGCTAGCATATTAAATCCAGCTGGTCAAATAAGTTTAAACAAACTTTATAAGGCAGAGGTTGATAAATCTGCTTTAAAAAGATGATTTGAACACAGTAGGACAATGCTTGAGCACCTACTTTGCAAATAATATAGTCCTAACATACTAAATCGAGCTGGTAAAATAAGTTTAAAACAGACTTCATAAGCACAAGGATGGATCTGTCTGCTTAAAAGCTATATAAATTGCTTTAATGAAAAAAGCTCCTGATATTCTACCCTTCATTTCAAGAACGTAAAATCTCTTCCTTACCAGTACATAGATTAAAGAAAATTATTACTACTATCGAACAGAAGAAATTGCTTACATATGCAGATACGAGTAGTTTTGTCTATATTGTTAGAGAGAAAAATCTATAGTCATTGCCATCAGAAATATTTACAATTTTCTGCCTTTGTAGGCGAATTAGACGCAGTATAAAATAGAAAGCTCTCTAAAAAAAGTACGCGATCATTCTTCCTTAATAGCATACGCGTAACTATGAAGAGAATTATCAAATTAGCTGATCAAAATCAATATTCGGTGCCGGTGAAAACAATTTTGTAAATGCTATTTCTTAAAAAGCTAAAAAAAGAATTCATAGACTAGCTTTTATTGAATAATCGTAAAAAAAAATACTACTATCATGGAACTCAGTTATAAAGGAAATGACCACTATCTTACTATTGTAATCAAAACGAGGTTAGAATTGAGAAGGAAATTTTTAAAAACCCTTTAACGGTACTACCGTCAAAATAGTCTCAATAATGGCTGCAGCAATCTTACATGTAATGGTGTCTATTCAATTACTTTCTATTCTGTCTTGAAACCATAATGATTTAATCGTTGTCAAATAGTATGCTCGAAATCTCTTAAAATTTCTGCACCATTCCTAATCAAACAATCCAAGTCTGTTGAAATTTAAAAAAGAAAAGAGTAACCCAAAAACAAATAACCTGCACTGACAAAGAGGACATGAATTCCGCTTCGTTAATGTATTTGATTAACTAGTTTCCATCATGGTCATGAATTGTTCAATAGACTGATGAAACTTTTCGTGCTGTTGTTTATTATTCTGCCAAGATATTGTAACAATTTTTAATAGTCTTTCACGGAAACTCATTAATAGAAAGATATTACAAGCAAAATCCTAAAAATGAGCAAATGCAAACATCGTTGTAGACCACATCAATGCGTTAACTTCAAGAATCTAATGGAGAGACATGAGATAAGTTCTATTCCTGATTTGATTCGGCTTAATTTATTCCGATAGTTAGAACTCGATATCTCACACATTCTCCTCAATCGATCTAGCTATAACGTTATAGTTGATGGTTATGATTAAATAAGATATATGGAACCTCATAGAATAAAAAAGTATAAGGTGTCGATGAAGTTAAAATAATATTCATTAGGTATACAGCATCAAGGTTAGAATTTATTGGACAGGCGTGAAAAAAATTTCATCCTTGATTTATTTCTTCTGCCTTAATTTATTCTGATAGTCAAGACTTGACCTATCATACATTCTCCTGAATCGACTTACCAATAATTTTACGTTCATGGTCATAATTTGAATAAAATATAATCAACTTCGTAGACTAATAATGTATAGAATCTACATGAAGGTACTTCAAGGTAGAATACTCTTTATTTAGTTTAGGACATAATGCTAGCTTTTGATATATCGTGATAGTCCTTGCACTAATAGTCGCCGTTTGAATATTAAGATTAGCAAGATTTTAGTTCAAAATCAAAGGACGGATTGATTTTATGAGCCTATTCCATGGTTTGGACAATTTTTTCAATTATTTTCCTACCCGATCGATTCTAGTCCTTAGCTTTCACTATAATTTACTTTATAGTAGTACTATACCTCTATAGTTAGTAGCTGAAACTTGAAGAATGAGGAGAGCAAGACTTTATCTTAAAACTACAGGATTGATTATTTCCGCGAGGCTATTCCATAGTTTGGATAATTCTTTCAATTATTTTTCTACCCAATCGATGCTAGTCCTCAGCTTTCGCTATAGTTTACTTTTAACTAGCAACTGCTACTTGAAGGTTAAGGAGTTTTATTGTTTCTTTCATGCCAGACCATACTTTCGACTAGCACTAACAACTGCTCCTTGAAGATGAAGGGTTTTACTGTTTCTCCTATGCTAGTCCATCGTTTGGACAGTTTTTCTTCTTTATCTACCCGATCGATTTTAATCCTCAACTTTCTCTTCAATTTACTTGTAGCTATAGTCGATGGACTAATAGCTACAACTCAATACGAAGATCCACCATAGCTTGGTTCTCTGTCTGTTGATTTTATTCATTTTACTACATCTACACTATTGCATCGTCTTGATAGCTTTGGAGAATCTGTTCAGAGGGTAAAATCGGAAATCTATGCTGACAGCCTTTCTGTATAAGCTACTCCTAGTGATAATCCATCTATCGACAACTGCAAATTGAACATGAAGATTAACAAGACTTTCATTTCAAGATTATTTGTTTTAGCACTGCTACTGTTGGGCAGCCTTGACAATAACAGTTTTCAGAGAATTAATCACTCCACTGTCTATACAGGAAGTCCAATTTTAATCTCTTTCTATAGCTGGCATAATTATCCATTTTTCCACATTTTTTCCATATTCAACTACAGTCATGATCCAATTATGGGTACAGCAAACTTAATCTGAGCAAAATTGACTGTTTGAGCTAGTCATTATGACATTACTTTGCTCTTTTTCAATATGAAAAACCATCTTCACTTCCAAATAAATTGCTTTACACGTCCACTCTACTAAATTTCCATTAAATGCTTTTTTAGTCGTTATTGCGCTCATGGTGATACAAATATCATTCATCTTGCTGCTATTAACTTTAAGAACAATTCTACCTAATATTGGTTGTAGGAATATCACTCCTCTTACTCTGATCGACTTGGAAGAACAATTCTATCCATTAGAACTAAGCAAGAAGTAGAATTTATAAAACTATTCTATCCACTCTCCACGAAATACCTTTTTCCAATATTATTATGGCCGCTTGGCCTTGGTAGTAGAAATATCATTCATCTTGTTCTCATTGACTTTGAAAAACAATTCTACCAAATGCAACCGATTAGGTCAATCAAATTTACACAACGGTAGCTACTCCATCGAATCTCCATGAAAAATGCCTCATTTAATAATTATCATGGCCTTTTGGCCAAGGGTAGTAGAAATATTACTCATCTTGCCCTCATTTACTTTTTAAAATAATTGTACCTAATAGAACTTTCTAAAAAAATCGCGTTTGTATTGCTACTCTATTAAATCTCCATTAAATGCCTTTTTAAATTGTGACCATGGTCTTGGTAGTCGAAAAAATTATTCATTGTCATTAGAACTTGTAGATTGAAATCAGATTATTATTGATGTCATCTAAAACAAATTAATTTTTGGAGTTGCTATATAGTAGTCAAAATAATTCAATTTGGTCTGATTATGACTCAGTTGGGCAATAATTCATCTAGATAAAATGGAATTAATTCTATCCGTAGGGATTTTAAACTGTGTGGATGATTGACTAACATATACTCCAGTCTATACGATAGAGAAATAATTTCCCTGATGAAGAAAAAATAGACTCAGTCTAAGCTTAAGTATAACATGAATCTATAAAACAAGTTGATAAAATGGACGGAAAAATTCTACGAAACAAGTTTCAATTCTAGTAGAAAATAAAATTATCCCATGGCAGAGCAAGAATATCCGTCGTAGGATAGAGGTTAGAGAGAAAAATTGCTTACCTCGTTGTTTATTAGTAGGTCGATGAAATAAAGCACCAGACATAATTTCTAACTTGAGTCACGGCTTGTAGATTAAATTTGTAGGCTAGATGAATAGGATGATTAGGCCAAGACTCTGTTGAATTCTTAATTTACTACTATAGAATAAATGGGATCTTGTAGTTAATCACCTACTACTGTTTCTATCGATGGCGCGATACTAATCTGGATTAAGGTTGAAAATGATCAATTTGTAAACTAGTCAAAATGGCAATCGTAGAAGCAAAGGATAGCAAAGAGCCAACTGAAATGGAAAGCCTATAGTGCCAATAAATATAATCGATGGATAGGATAAATGATGATGATAATGATACAGTTATTGAAATCGACTAATTTCTCTAATACTTGTCAACTAGACACTTTATATCAATCCAATTCACTCATTCTATTAGTCTAATTACTAGACAAGTAGTATTCTTCTGCGACTAAAACCTCAACGCTTGTAAATAGGATTTTCAACAGCATTCAATCTCATAGCAGATACAAGTACAATGCTAATTAACCTTTAAAAAATAACTCCCTTCAAACAATGTAAAGTATTGTTGGAGTTCATCCATTATTTATGAGGTAATAATAAAATCCATATAGAAAAACAACAACATCATAGCAGAGTATAAATAGTGCCAGCATCACCAGTCCTTTCTTGTATTAATGATATTACTAGATTGAAATTTCTCTTACTCGAAGAGGTTCTAGTGAGCTAGGAGATGGAGCAATTGAAAGTAAAACTTTATTAAGAATAACCGTAAATTAATACTTGTCTATAGATGATTTTATCCTATCTTACGTTAGTAATAGCATTTAATCCAAGAATTGCAATGGAGGATACAAAATTTATAAAAATACAATCATTGAAATCAAAATTCATTGAGTACCGGTAATCTATCTCAACCGGAAGGAGTACGCTTGTATCAAACTTTAAATAGAGAATTACATCCATGGATAGCATCAATCAACAGACTAACAGATGGCATATTAAATTAAATCTCTATTACCAACCAATCTACGGAGTCATTTGTCTAGTTTAAACATAATTTGATATCACTTTATCGAAAAGTAATAAATATCGTTTTGTGTACTCGCATAAAATCGCATCCTTCGAAGGCATTAACTCGTTTACAACAGGCCTGATAGAGATAGAAGATGAAGTAGGATAGTTTCTATTAAAGTAATATAATTTGCTTAGGTTTTATATAAGGAATGATGTCATTTTATCTAATGAGTAGTTAGAGTCATTGCATATAAAATGAATAGCATCGATTCATTAGAATAGGCCTGGCAGAGGTGGAGAATGAGATAGCCTCCACTAAAACTGTGGCTTAGCCTTAGTAGAATATTACAGGCAGAGCACTAGTTCATATTCTGTATAACTGATTTTTATTCAGTCTTGTTCGGGAACTAGAATAGATCTTGAAGGACTAAATAATAGCAAAATTAAATCAAATGCCCTTTACTAACGAGCCTAAACGTTAATTTAGGTAACTTTCAATATAAAATAATATCACTATATCTAAAAAGCAATTAGTATTATTCCATATACTGGTGTAAAATTTGGATATCACTGATTCATTTAGCATAGGCCTGACAGAGATGGAAGACGAAATAAATTCCATTAAAACTATTGCCTAGCTTTGGAGAGATACTACAGAAAGCGCACTAGTTCTTATTTTGTATAGAGTAACTATATCACTCAATCTTTTTCAGGAACTAGAATAGATCTAAAAAGATACTAAACTAAATCAAAGCTCGTTTACTAACGAGCTTTAAGTACAAAACGACACCATTTTCCCTGAAGAGCAGATAATATCGTAGTACAAGCATATACCCGTATGAAAATCACGCCGTTTTGATAGCATTAATTCACTCAGAATAGGTCTGGTAGAAATGGAAGATTAGGTAGTTTCCATCAAAACTATTAGATGGCCTTAATGAAATACCACCGATAGCATAGTACTCTATAATCGATATCACCCAATCTTATCTAGTAACTAGAATACATCTTGAAGGACTAAAAGATGGTAAATTAAATCAAAGCTCGTTTACTAACGAGCCTAAAGAGTAGTTTATATAGTTTGAATATAAAATAATATCGCCTTAGCTGCAGAGTAATTAATATAGATGATATAGATAAAGCATACTTTTTAATGATATCGATTTATTTAGGACAAGCCCAGTAGAGATAGAGTAAATTCAATTTAACTATTATCGAGCCTTGTCTAAATACTGCAGATAGTACCGTAGCTTATATTCTGTGTGACTGATATCAATCAATCTTATCCTATAATTCTATATCGTAGATCTTAAAAAGACTAACAGATGCTAATTAAATGAAAGCTCGTTACTAGCAAGCCAGAATAGAAATAATCTGAATAGAGATTTGTATAGTTTTAATTAAATAGGTAGATGATATCACTTTCTGGTATCGAGCGATTAAAAGAAATTTCAGTTAATATTTCATTTACATTGATGTTACATAATCCTATTAAGCGATTAGAAACATTATATGTATAACCAGGAAATCTAGCGTATTGAAATCCTTGGATGAACACAATCAAATATAAACTAGAATTGCAATATAATAAATAGTCTATAAATATCCTAAAAGAACTAATGCTACTCAAAGATGGCTAATGTTCACGTTCAATTAATGGTCAGATTCTAGTATACTTAAATGAGCTTACTCAATTATGGTTAGCGATTACAATATAAAGATAGGAAACAATTTAATCTAGACTCTTTAATATAAAAATTAACATCTACATAGTAATTAGTAAGATAATGTATATGTAATTGATATCTGAAACAGGTCCTATGGAGCTCGAAAATAGTTGACTATTATGAATTGTCATGTCTAAACGGCAATTAGTATCATCATATTTGCAAATGATGCCATTTTGGTGATATTTAGTTATTAGGACCCATCATACAAAATTAGAGAAATATTCCAACTTTTTCAACTTGGAGGATATTTGGATAGTAATAGATTATTTGAGTACATTATTCCATTCAATCTTCTGATATGGTACCTGGTGCATAAGCCATTTAAGTTTATAAGTCTTTTTGCACTCTCTATTGCTCAGTCAATGTTACTAAAAGTCCAATTCTTTATTATGCTTCTACTGTATGTTTCAACTGCCTATGAACTCCATTTTGCAAATATGATGACATACTTCATAAATGTCCGTAATTCCTAGGTCATCTAGGATACTAAAAGTTATAGTGTCCAACATCCAGTGCAAATGGACATTTCTACCTGATTAACTATTTTAATAAATCAAGGTTTTAATGTTTCATTTTTTCATATCGTTTAAAGTATTTTTACTTTCTGCAGTTTTTCTATTACTTTATGACTTGCAATTTCTACCAACCTATATAAAATAGTTATGCTGTATATATATATACCTGTAACAAAAATTCGCTTATGTTCATATTCATCATATTTCTTTGTCATCGCTAGGAGATACAGGTAGCTATTTATTACGCATTTAAAAACCCTTGATACTAATACAAAGTTTAGTACTTCAGCTGATCATAGATAAATTATCACATTCAGATAGATGTTTTAAGTTTTACCTGCAGATATGCCCCATGATTGCAATTTATAGATCTATTTATTTTCTACTTAACAATCCGTTATGACACTCTACAGTTTTAGACATTTCTATATTTACTTATTATTTCTCTTTATCATTGCCGTAAATGCATGGTATCATCTTTCCTAGAAATATCGATACATTATAGAATAAAACTATAACATTAAAGTAAAAATTATACCGGCAATTTTTATGACATCATCTATTTATAAAGTTATAGTTATTAATATCACAGTATTTTCTAATTTGTTCATTACACAAGGTCATGAATATTGGCACTATCTTTAGTAATCATTACTGTCTTGCCCAGAAAAGATCGAAAGGAATCTCATTACTACTCTAATGATTGATTTTGTCCTACTTTACCATTCATAACAATTGATTTCATCTTTTATGCTATCCAAATAGCCATTTTGGGCTTGGCATAGGAAATCAATTGGACAATAGATTAACGTGAAAATATCGCCATAGCTACTCACTATACGTTGACTATGACGTCAGGATTTTATTAATTATGATTATTTATATAAGGAAGGTAAATAATTTTTCAGAACAATCACTATTACCTTATCAAAGTGTTGTTATTGAGGGCCCCTAGGTGGTCACTTTGTAGTATTAATGGGTAGTATATTGACTGTGGATATTTTTAAACCCAAACTATGAAGAATTACGTCTTTTAAAAAGAAGATAGCTGATTATAGAAAATAGTCTATCTATTTCCATGACAAAAGCTGCTACCATTTTATACGGTATCTTACTTGTATAGAGAGACAGCAGAAACACCAGTGATTGTGCATGACGTAAAATCCATATTCTTTTGCATGTAATCTTGTCTAGTCCTAGACTTATCCTCTAATTCTGTATAGACGACCGCGTCGTTCATCGCAGTATTTTGTCACATAATTAGACTGTAATAGAGTCTATTGATAATTATTAATAGGATAAGTTGCGATCGAGAATTTTTTAATTCTTGACTAGGAAACAAAGCTGTACTGTAGCCTTCGCGTATTTATCAAACTAATCAATCAATTAATTATTCTACACAGTTCTATCAGAAAATCAAATTGTAAGCAGAAGAAAATTATACATTTCAATCGGTCTTACTTTTTATATTGAAATTGATTTCCAGTTAATATTATCATCAATTCGGATTTTGAAAAATAAAGTAAAGAAAGAAGCATTGGTCCATTTCTGACAACAGGTAAGGAAATGACTACTTGTTCAGTAGTTTTAGGCATCGAAAAAGATGGATCTCTTCTACCCAATTCGATTTTGTTTTACTATTTTATAAAGTAATCTTGATCTTTAACATTAACGTTGACAGTTTAGTCTGGAAATTAGGATATTGCTTCTTCATCATAATAGACTCATTCGATGATCTAAAATTTATCCTTAACTTTTGAAAATCAGTTTATATCCTCCATTACAAGTAATTATTGAGAACTGAGTTGCGATAAGTTGTTGTTTTAGGGGGTTTAAATGTCTTCTGTTTGGCATAAAGCAGTAGCGTTGTTTTGATTCTCTCCTGTGGAATAGTATAGGAAATTCATGACAACATGGAATAGACCGGCAGTAGAAGTAGTAGTAATTGTCTTCCTAAATCGACATCTAGAAAGATTGTGTCAAAATAAATAAAGTAATCATTTAACATTCAAGGAACATTGATTTAGCGATCAGCCATAGGAAGGCTATACTTAAATAATTAATATCAGTGTCGGTCAATCGATATTTCCTAATAACATTTTTCAACATTAGCTTTTGCTGTAAACTTAACAAGTATTTTAACATAAAATTGGGCGACTATTGGACTATTTTTATCTCTAACGAAGAGAAGAAAGAGTCGATTAACGGTAAAATAATCTTTATTTCAGATTTCTATCATTTATCATGACTTCACGAGTTTATCCACGCCAAACGTCGATCGAAATGAAGCCACGAAATGGCCCACCTGAATACAATCGAGGTAAGATTTGCTTTATTTGACTAATCATTATAAATTGATTATTGAAAAATTAATTTTTTCCTTACTTCGATGACAAATAGAGATATAGTTAACATAACAAGAGGATAGCATTAAGTTAATAGCCAACTCTTACTGAAATACATAGGATTATCACACTCTTTAGAATTGAAATATTAGTGTTTCTATTTCCTATGTCTACAAACACCCACCAAAGTTAAAAGCATCCACGATCTTGTCTTAACTACAATCTATTACAGTTGTAGAATGTAACTGTAGACAACATGGTGTTAAAAAACTATCAGAACTAAGAAATAGCTTGTTAAGTTCAATGATTATGCAATGGAGACCCTATTGATTAGCAATATTCATATGCTGTCGGTACTCATTTTTCATCAAGTTGCAACGAGAATAACATTATCCGACTATAAGTCGCTTTATAAAGAGGCTTTTATCCGTCAAGATCCCTTTGTCAAGTGATCATAAATTGATATATTAACTATACTTAGATAATGCTTACCTAAAGATAGCCTTCTCCATAACTATTACTTCGCCCAGTGTTAATAAATTAATATTCAAACTTCCTAGATACTGCTTTCCTAAAGAGCTGCTGTCTTCATCAATCTTACTTCGTTAAGTGTTAGTAAATTGAAATTTGAACAACGTACACTTAATAACGTATACTTATTAGACATTACTTTCTTGTTAAAAATCGTTTTCTCCTACAATATCACTTTTTTAGGTGTTAATAAGTTGCAAACTTAACTATACTTAGACACTACTTTCCTAAAGAGCTGCTGTCTTCGTCAAGTGTCAGTAAATTGATATATGAGAACGTATACTTACTAGACACAACTTTCTTAAGAAACCACTTTTCTCGTTAATGCGCTTACTCAGTGTTAATAAATTAATAACTAAACTATGCTTAGACATTACTTTCCTAGAGAGCTGCTGTCTTCTTCAATATTATTACAGTACCAGCAAATTGATATTTTAACAACATATACTTAATGCATTATGCTTATTACACATTACTTTCTTATTAAAATTGGGATACGTATCTAAGCAGCCTTCGCTACCACTTTGGATACATTTAAATAGTATTATTTTTGCTTAAAACCTCAGTGCGTTGTAGATATTCAATCAATGTAGATAAAATTTTACGATCCTTGGTACAATATTCAAGTTCAACTCTATTGCAATAATCTCTAAACTCTTCAAGTTTATATTGTGATATTGAACTCATTTTTGATAAAATACTCAGGGCTCTTTTGATATGAGTATCCCTCAGTTTTCATCTTGATATTTTAATAGTGAACTTTACAGATATTTCATCCAATTCGTTCTTGACAGAACACTTAATCGTATTTGAATATGAGTTTTCTTCGTTTTATATTCCATTTTGCGACTTAATATTTAAATGGTTAACTTAAGAGACATCTTATCTAACTCCTATTTGACGGAGTACTTTGAGAATAATTCGAACATGAATATCTCTCTGTTTTTATCTCTATATTTTGATCATAAATTTAACGGATATTTGCATCGAAATCATCCCTAAGAGAATAGCACAATCTACTTTAATATTTCGACGGCTAGTTGAACGGATATCAACTACAATTCGTAGCCTTCAATAGACTCTTCCAGCTTTACTGCATATCACTACTACCATCCAAGAATTAACCAAGTTTAAGAGTGAACTCTGCTGAGCAGAATATCCAAGTTCTTATTTTCTATATTCCATTTCATTCATATCAATCCTGAATTCTTTCTATTAGAAATATCGCGATCAGAATTGCCTGGCTCACCCATGCATGATGAAACTAAACCGAATAAGCCTATCTTAAGGCATACTGATACTCGCACTGGTCTGCAGAGACGTAAAAGTTCTCTCTTAACTCAAATGTTACCAAGTCGACAAGCTGTCCAATCAGTTCCTGGTGCTAACTTAACACGTAAAACAATCGAAACGGAAAGGCGCCGTTCACTAGCGGCTCGATCATTAAGTCGTTTCCGATTGCAATCTGTGCCTGACGAAGCAGAAGAAGAAGAAGAAGATCAAAGCAATTATCACGAAAATCGCGTGAAATCAGGATTAGTTCGGCAATATGCATCCAGCATAAAGAAAAAACGTGAAGAGTATCAGTAAGTAATCACATCTAATAACATTAGCAACGCTATGGCATAGCTACTTTGAATAAAGGGATACATTTCCCTTTCCAATACAAGGTTGTAAACTAATTACAAAGAATGAACAGATAATTTTTTTTATTTACCTGGGTTAAAATAGGAGACTTCAAAGTGAAATGGCGTCAAAAAGGCCTCATCATATTCATAAAAAATATGGCGCAGTCAAAGATTTGGTAGGTTAAATAGCTTATTGCTAACTTAGAGTTTTCTAAGAATTCGATAGAATGATTCTGACTAAGTACAATTTTTAGCTCAATTTTAAACGATTCGTCCATTCGATAATGTCTTACTGAGTTCGCTACAGCGACTAGTTAAGTCTTAAAGAATTGGTATCTATTTTAGTGTAGTTTAAAGTGATGGATTAATCGATGTTTACCTTAAATTAAAACGAATCGGAATCCTTGCTAATCGATCTATTCACTTCTAGCTGGATCCAACCATGTCCAATACCCTCTACCGATTATTTTCATAATTATTAATTATATTTTCAATAATCAGCTACAAATAATAGTAAAGACCCTATACAGCTATCAACTATTATTCGCCCATAATGGAGATATTAACCTCCAATATGATTTAATCAATCCGATTTGCAAACTATTTCCTATCCCGTTACGATATCCTTTCACTAATTAATTATATAATATAGTATGCTCTTATGAAATTGATATTTATTATACTATAATTTAGCTTTATGAATTCACTTTGACCCTCATTTTATTAACCTTTGGAAGGAATAATCTAAATGATGATCGCGAAACTAGCCCCAAATTAGTGACTAATTTACTAAATGACATTAACATCCATTTGTAAGCCAATTTCTTTCTATCCATTTATAATTTACCATTATGAATTAATTGCGGTAGCCAAATCTGTCAGATTAATAAAGCTTACAGGAAATAAATTGAAATTATAATTGCTAAAATAGCCTCAAATTAGCGGTTAATTTACTAAACGTTATCTAAATCTATCTGTAGGCTAATTTTTTCTAACTGCTTATGATATAAAGTTGTGAACTAATTATAGTAGTCAAATCTGATCAAACAGTAAACCCTTTATTACTGTAATTTGAATTTGGATTTATTTATAATCTACTTTTCTTAACCTCCATAAATTAATATAAATCAAATGGATAAACGCTGCAATTTAATTTGATCGTTTCCTTCCATGAATGACATAAATATCGTCAATTAGGCACAAACCTTGCTATAAATTTTATAATAATTCGACTGTAAATTAGAAAAAATCGATGCCATATTACTTTGTCAATCATTATCTAGAATACATAAAAGCTTTACTGTCTATGAGCTACAATATTCGCATACAAATTAGTTCCTATTTTATTTCACATTTTCACCTATGAGAATATGAATACGCATTAAACGATGAAACAGAAAAAAAAAGTTAGATTTTAAATTCTCACGTACATCTTTTTCCCAATGTATAGAAGTGGAAATTATTCAAGCAAAGATTGAAGGAAAACTTTACTTTTACACTGTGGAAATCGCATTTGAAAGAAATTGAAGGTATTGATAGATTATTTTAGTAATTAATCATGGTGACTATTACACTAAATAACTACATGAAATTTATCACTATAAATTGTAGTTTTATTCATTTATACCGGTATCCTATAGCTAGAATATTTAGCTAGAAAATCACGTAGAATAAGTGTGCAAATAATTTTTCATAATGTTATCAATTTTTATTCGTAAGTGAATTCAGTTGAAGGTAGAATCAGCTTTAACTTGAAGCCTGCTATTTAAATCTAATATGCAAATTATCAAGTAAACTAATATTAAGTGTTATAAGTGTAGCTAAAGGCTCTTACCTCCTTTCATCTCTTTCCTAGGTCAATTTGGCAATGGCGTATTATCCTACTTCATCTTCCTCAAATGGTTATTCTTCCTTGATCTTTTACTCGGATTGCTTTGGTTTGGTTTTATTTGCATACCCGAATTTCTATTAAATGATAACGTGATTGTTAGCGCCGATTATGTCACCTTTAATGTATCTCAAAGCATTGCAGCGACAGCATCAGGTGCTGGCATCTATTGCAGTTCGGACTATATCACAAATACCACTGCTAATACCAACCTATTTATTGTTATTATTAGCGGTAAAGTAAGTGCCTCCTTTCAATTATTTAGAATTATATCGATACAATTTATCTTCTAGTTAATCTTGTTACTAATGATGCTAAATTTATACTCATTTAATATTATTAGGGACAAATGGAATGTAGCCAACTCTTTTATGGCAATTATACTGCTGATGTTGTTCATACATCTGGGGTAGCATCGTATTTCAACGTTCCATTCGCCTACTTTATTATTACTTTAATCCATTTCGTCTTGAGTTTGATCCTTGTTGCACGCAAGTAAGTTATTGGACAAATATTGATATGGTAGAATTTACTTATGATTCATTATTTAAATTTAAATTTAGATTATGTCCTTATTTAATTAAACTCTACCATTTTGAATGTGATTCTGTACCATCAATATGAAGATTATTATTATTATTGCACTTGAAATATCGTATTTGTAAACTCAAATAATTTGTAATCCAGCTCTCTATTTAGATATACAGAGTTATACTTTCTTGTTCTTGAAAATACCATAGTTGTTAACTATAAATCATTGCTAATCCAGCGCTCTTTTTTAAATATGAAGGATAATACTTGCAGTTAGAATAATATAGCTATAGACTGCAAATCAATTCTAATCTAGCTCTCTTTTAAATAAAGAGAGCAATCAATTTTTGCACTTGGAATATCATCACTGTAAACTATCGTTATTACTAACCCAGTTCTCGCACTTTAGATTTAGACAGTAATACTTTCTTAAAATTTTAAAACGGAGCACATTTATAAACTATAAATCATTCCTGATTCATGCTCTTTCTTTAACTCCTATTAGCGCTTCAGAAACTTACAGAAAGAGTTACATAGAAGGTGGTGATACTATCCATCAGTACTGTAATAAAATTTTTGGCGGATGGGATTATTGCGTTTGTGAAGAAAAGGCGGCAGAATTAAAGAAGAAAAGTATTGCACACGATATTAAGGTATGTACAATGGATAAAGTACTATGCAGCAACCAATACTGCAAAATTTCCATCTCTAGCGAGATCATAAGTAACAATCATTGCTTTATCCTCAGGTTGATTTAGCTGAAGAAATTCGAGCCATTAAAGCTAAGCAGCGAAGTAATGGAGAGAAACTTGTCATTTATTCCAAGCGTCTGGTATTAAATATCGTCATTCTTGGCTTGTTGTGTGCAGCAGGTGTTGCAATTTACTATGCAGCTAATGAGACGATCCAGGTTTGTCAAATAGAATATATGACTTGATGGGTTAGCGTAGTAAAGTAGGAGGTAGTTACTAAAGGATTATTGTTATAGAGAGAGAGAGAGAGAGTACAGTACCGATAAAACCTGACAGCAATCAATTTGGATAGAAGATTTTGACTGTTGAACTAATTTGCTAAATTCTATTTCTTGGTTACAGAGTCAAACGACCAACGCCAGTTCCGGTTTCTTACAATTATTAAGGAATTATGCAGCATCGCTAACACTTTCTGCATTAAATATTATCCTGCCTTGGTTCTTTACCTTACTTATTCAATATGAAAATTATAGCCCAAACTTTGAAATTCAGCTTACTCTAGTCAGGTATTAGATAATGACCATAATATCCTAAATTCTCTAATAAACGTCAAGCTCTAACGTATGGACAAGATTGCTTATATCATGTCTCCTTCCAAAGCAAGTCATGTTTATCCTATCCTTAATGCTATTTCCTCCATATTTTTAATAGAACTGTCTTTCTCAAGTTGGCTTCGGTAGTCGTTTTGTTAGCATCATTGTTCGCAGTTACTCGTACAGCAGCCTCATCAGGTGGATCAGACACTTTACTGGTTAGTATCTGCAAGTAATTAATAGTATGATTAAGAAATCTTATCAGGAGTGAATATAGACAGTAATAGCGTCCAATTTTTAACAACCATTAACTAAGAATAAAACGACAACGTTTTTCCAGTGTTTTAGCAGAAAGAAATATCTCTTTCCATATGCAAAGTCATGATTTCAGTAAATGTGCTTTTAATTAGATTGTGTAAATCATGTCCAGTTAATGGTTATAAATTGTTTTTGCTAGTGCTGGGAAACTTATGTTGGCCAGGAATTATTCAAGCTCGTCATTATGAACTTTTTAGTGGTTGTCTTTGCAACTATCCTAGTCGAATTTCCTCAAAAGTAAGTTGATTTTTTATTCTTGACTGGCGATTAAATAATGTGCATTGCTAGTAAGCTAGTTTTTTAATATTCTCATTTTCACTATTTTGCTAAATGTAATTAATCAAAATATATTTCATTATATAGGCTTGTAGCAGATAAGGTTAATTTCGAAAACTGCTGCCTTCAAATAAAAAGACCTGAATTTCAAATCCCTAAAAATGTACTAGATTTAGTATATGCACAAGTACTCTGCTGGTAAGATACGAATAATATTTCGGCTGAAAAAATGAACGATTAATCTTACAGTTACCCTGTTCTGTCCTCTATTCTACAACATAGGCTTGGTGCTTTCTACTGTCCCATGGTTCCCTTAATGGTTGTTGCTTCATTAATTATTATATTTTATGTTAAAAAGGTAAACAAAAATGGAATATGGAATATGAAATTAAAATATTCCTTCAGATTTCCGACGAGAGCGGAGCTTCTTGGATATCAGTTGCATATATTTTGCAGTGCTGATTTTGTTTTCTTTCCTTAATCCTATTGCAGATTAGTCTTGTGTATAATAATCAGCCATCGCAGCGCCCATATCGTGCATCAAAATCCAATTCATTCTTCATGTTACTTTTAATCATCTCCTTCTTCTTGGCGGCCTTTCCAGTTGGCTATGGTTGGACTAGGTTAGTAGCTAAGATAATACTGAATTGTACTTGATCATGCTTTAATTAATATAAAATTTTCCTTTGATTTTGTACTGTAGCAGAGAGCTTATAATATTCTCTCTAATAAGACAAATAGATCCATGTTATAAAATAGCTAAGCTGTCTTTAATTATCTTGCCTCTAGTTTAACTCCTTCCAAGCAATGTGGACCATATAGGTAAGATTTTCTTTTGAATCATACTATAGCCGTATTGTAAATTGCATTTTCAAGTAATGAAATATAAAAATGATATATATTCCTTTGTTCCTTGAAATCTTGTGTATAGGAGCCAAACAACTGTGATTACCGCTATTACTACCATTATGAGCAACAATTTACCTTCAGGACTTTGGAACTTTATTAACTTCATCTTCTCAGCTGGATTTGTCATCCCATTAATTCTAGTGATGTTGTAAGTAATAAACTAAATTGTATTATCTTTCCATATGTAAGCAAATCCACTAAAGTTACCGTATCATCGAATCAATAGCTTAAAATTATTTCCAACTCTATAGCAAAACCAACCTTAAGATTCAGTTCGAAAATCGCCTTTCTAATATATATGTAACATTTTATTTTTTTCTTATAGCTTGGGCATATACTATTTCCGGTCGTTAGCTAGAGCTCGTAGTCTTAAAATTCAATTATTGAAAGAGCAGCTAGTCATGGTAAGGATAATATAGATATTAGAATTAATTGTGGAATTTTTAAGCCTAGGCGGAAAATAACTATGATCATGCATAACCTTTAGTTTTGAAAATATATAAAATGAATAAATTGTATGGTATCATAACTAATCAATGATGAAATATAAATAATAGGAAGGAAAAGATAAATCTTTCTTGCTAGAACAAATCAGTAAAGCAGAAGGTTTAGATGAAATTGAAGAAGAAGGTGAAGATAATTATAAAAATGTTAAAATGGAGGAAGATCGAGTTTAGTTTTTGTTCTGGCTCGTTGAATTAAGCTATATATAGATATATAAGACTGTAATAGCTTGCTTAATCTAATTATAATTGAGTTTGTTGAGGTTGATTACGTTAGGAAGAGTTACGACTTTGACTGCTTTGACAGCACTGCTTCTGGAGTGCAGCTGCTTAATTTTTCCAACTGCTGTATTTTCTAACATTAAAATTTCTTTCTAAGAGAAGGCCAAATCTATAATGAATTCTACTTTTAAGAGTATAACAAGGCAATTAAAATATTGCTGCGATACATTTGTCATCAAAGTTAGATTAGCCTGTTAATTATACCTGTATTGATTTTATATATAGTCGATAAATAATTTACATTTATCCTCATCTTGCTGACCTGTTGTGATTGGGTTACTCGTGTTTTATGGCCAGACTAAAATTTTTCTTACCGTAATATCGTTTTCTTACTTTTTATTATATATCCCTTAACAGTAGCAGCAGTATAACTGCCATTCGGGTTATTTGGACGTCATAACGCTTTAATGCCCGTGATTTAATTTAATCAATGTAAGAATAAAATGTTAATTTTAAAGTCTATTTCAGGAGTGTCGATCTTAAATGTAGGAATATATTCGAGAAAAACGATAGAGAGATCATCAAGATTTTAGGCAGTTAAACATATATTTGCGAATAATTATTCTCAAGCCATTGATTATTACAATATCTTTTGCGTAAAATACTAAATGAACCGCATGTGCAAGAGTCAATCTTAAAATTTCCTTATAATATTAAATACGTAGCCGAGTTTACAGCTCTTACCAACTGCAGTAAATAACTGTCTAGTAAATCTACGGATATTTTCACAAGAAGTCAGGGTAGATTAGCGTATTCGAATGAGTTGGATTTCTTAAAATAGACTGCCCCCGTGAATCTATAATATACGGCCACCCTAATGAAACACGGACCCCTATTCCTTTTCAAAAATTTCGCTTTCTATTAGACAATTATTAGCACAGAAAGTCCTTTAGTTTTAGTTATAATACTTTATAGTTAATAAAAGAGTATAAATTGACTGTATTGGAGCACACTCATAGGTGTTAAAGAGAGCGGATACTTTTCATAATAAGTGATGACTGATGAGCATATTAGGATAGATTTGGCTTTCAAATTATGCTAAAAAGGAATGGTTGATTGCGTATAGGCATGAATTCGATTTTTAAATGAAGTTGTTTTGTATTACAAAACATCACAATATCAAATAGGTTACAAGTCATATCTTAATTTTCTTTTGAGATTCTGATATTCCATAGTATATGAAAATTGATAGATTAATTTAAATTGCGCGGTTGATTTACAGATACCAATAACTTTTATCATGACAAGCAATGCTGAATTAGTCTATAGTAGAAACTAGATGATATTCTTAAATATTTGTATTTGTACATGAATAACATTTTGGAAACAAGAGCTTTCCGTAATAAATGGCAACAAATCAGTGTCTAGTAGATGGAGATTCGATCTTCAAGTTATGTTGCGCATATTGAAGAATGTCGCAATATTAAATAGGTCATGATAAAATAAATAGATTTGCTTGTCAGGTTATACTATTCCATGGTATATGAATAACCGATAGATTCCGTGAGTTGGATTAGATTACAGAATTGACTTACAGACTGCAATAACCCTCTTTATGAGCGGTATAAAATTAGTATATAGGGGTATATTAAACTGCTAAAAAAAATACTATTTGTAACAAAGAATATCATTCGTAAATAAGGATAAATGATTTGATGATATGATGTAACGGTAATTCTTTATTTTACCTACAAATCAAAATTGATATATCATACCGTTGGTTTGTTGATCTTTTGTTGTTAAGAGTTTTAAATCATCATTATCTAGTCTCTTTAATGTTATACCAAACCTGATGGTTGATACATATCTGGATAAAATTGAAATTTGCAATACTTAGTAATTAGATCAGTATTATTTTGTTGCCCTATCTTTTACACAATATTCGTATCTCATAATATCGGCGCATAAATTAGGTTAATAAAGCAGAACAGTCTATACAGTAGATTACCTCATACTATAGACCCATAAATTGACCGGGTAGATAGGAATACGATACGGCAATTTTATAAAATTGAGAGACTAAATCAGTATTACTTAGTCGTTCTACTTCTTGTGTGACTTCATATACTAGAACTGCATAGAATTGAGCAAAGAGTTTATTTTCTATAGTCATTTCTAACCTATCATTTCATATTCTAGTGGTACTAATTAGATAATCGGGTCGGCATTATTTATAGTTAGCTTCTATATTTCCTACTCCATCTGTCATGATAGAAACATACTGTATATAAAATGTTCAATTAGACCTAAATTATTTAACCAGTCTGTTTTCTGTATAATTTGTTAGGATAGTTTGATGTCTAAATTGGCCTTTTGTAAAGTCGATTGACCTTGTTGATCAATGGATGCTAAATTTGGAATTCATTAATTAATAATGAAAGCTATACTGTAGTCTTATGGAATAGAATAAAAAGAGAAAACAAATTGTATTCTCTTCTATTGGTTGAATACAGTATGAACCTTTACAATATTTCTCAATTTTTAAGATATAAAAAAATTTTCAACACATACAATCTCTATTGGGTATCTACCTTTATAAGATAGGATATCATTGGGTACAGTTTAAAGATATAAGCTACTGGAACCAATTGACGGTACGTTGTTCTGGAGAGAGAAATGTAATTAATAACCTTTTGATATTGATTACCCGGTATTGGCTAAGAACATTCTATCAAGGTTTTCGGAATACGAGTGATCTGAAGTATTTTAAAACATTATTCTAATTGTAGGGCTATACTAATTGAAAAGGATACAGCCATTACAGCCTACCTAGGATTGTTATTTGACATCGTAGCCGTTGACGGTATGCTGTCGTTCTGATTGATTAAAGGAGAAATAAATTTATTATTATAAAAGATAGACTAGTCTAGAATTTCATTAGCCAAAAATTAAACTCTTACTCTGTCTTTCAATAACTTAGAACTGTTTCTAAAGTTTCTCATGTAATTGATTACAGTATTTATCTTGATCCATTTCGAAACTTGATCAATTTTTATTAAATTCGATGAGCAAAGATATCGAAATTTTGCTTTCCTTATCATTATCGTTGAACGTGTTTCAATCTGGGAAAATTATTATTGAGTTTCAATCTTGACCTATCAATCATGGCATTAATTTAATGTTGGGATTTCATACATCTCACGTAGATTAGAATGTCTAAATAGCCCCATAAATGATCACTGTTGACGATTATCACGTACGTCGAGTTGTACTTATAGAAGATGATGGGGAGTTCGAGGTATCCTGATTTAGGCTGTTTTTTATTTTAAATCTTGACTAAACACATGATCATAGAGACATAAAAATGAACTAAAATAGTATGATTCAATCATCATCATTACCATGCTCTCTGTCCTTAATACCTAAATGATCCCCTAAGTGATCAATCTTGATGAGTATAATCACATATACGTGTAAATGTATGTCTTAAATTGAACCACTTAGATTCCGGCGTATTTTTCTTATTTCTTACTGTTAAGATATTTGAGAATAGGATAAAAGCAATATAGAATATACTAGAATAGCATAGTTTAATCATCACAGGCCATGATGTTTATACCTGATGGCTGAATGATCTTGCAAATGATCATGTAGGTAAGTATAAATAATCAAATATACCGGTACGTATAAGCATTGATATATATTTTAAATTCATTGAATTTAAATTGAACCAACTTGATTCGGCATGCTTTTCTTGTTTCTTATTTTGACTTGAAAACAAAATAAAAAATAGTAGCATAGAACAGCGGCTAGAATAGCTTCGTTTAATCATCAAAGAATATAATATTTATACTTGACGGCTAAAATGATCCATAATGATCTTACTGCGCTCTTGCATCGTTCATTCCATCAGTCAGTAGCTGTAATCATTGAAGAATTCTACTATTCTTGAATGGAACGACCATCAAATGATTAGACTATTGATAGAAGAAATAATGATTCAATATTGATTGAAACTCTCTTGGTATTAGTGGCATTACTGTTATGTTCTTCAATAATAAGTTCACTCCGTGAGTAAGATTGATAACCGCATTTTATTATTAGTTGATCGGTATTTATAGCTACACGAGGTTACACCTCGATACGATTACAGTTTATACTTCGCACTACAATTAGTAACTTATCAGTCCGCCTTTTACAATGTTCTCTCACCTACTGTATTACAAGTACTACCATACAATCATCATATACGTACATAAATAGTGTTTCCTTTATTTATGCCTTTATGGTTAAGATATCGTATTTAATCTATTACTAACTATATATACAACAATTACTTTTCCTATCAGCGGGAAGGAGTTAAACTACGCTATAGAAACTTATCTATCTTGATAAGAAACCTTAATTGAAGCCAATTTTTGTGGGCCTATCTTCATTGAACGGTCCGTTCCTAACCTAGTTTTAAATGAAATACTAGATGATTTTTTGCCTTGTATCTACGTAGCAAGGACTTTTTATAAAGTGGAAAAAGAAACTAACTTAATTTTTCTACTTTATTGGATTGTTAGCTATCTACTGGGTAATAGATGACTAAGATCACGAAAATATCGTCAGTTCTCTACTTACCATTAAAATATGTAGATTGTAATTGTGATCGATTATTTTGAAAATTATAAATTAATAAGTGTGGAATTTTCCTTCTCTCTCTAGCAGACTTGATTGAAAGGACATCTCCTACAAAATGAGCTCATCTGTTCATCCACGGCGATCAGGAAAACGACAAAAAAGCACAGAAAGTCATCAGGAAATGATTGATATTGGTACGCGACTAGACAAACAGATGATTGCTATTAAAATCACGATGTACCTTTATCGATCTAATGAATGATAGAATAATTTGTCGGTCAATATTCTCAGTCTATATCTTATTACAGCTTTATATATACAAGTATATAAATACTTTAACAGTGAAACCATAACTCACGTTTTGAACTAGTGATCAAGACCAAACAGTTATAATAGAATAAAGATAATAAGAATATTTTACAGTTTATATCATTCGAAATCTCCTTTAACATCAGTTTTTAATACTGAGGATGTCGATGATAATATCCATTTAATGGATAAAAGTATCGTTTACTATTTCTCAGCTTTGACAATATCTGGCGTTGCGATTGCCTCGACTTTGATTCATGAATATTAAAATCTTTCAATGTTGAACCATATAGAGACCCCGCGATCTTCAGTACCTGGCTCAGTAACTCATGATGATGATATTCTCCTCAGTAAACCGACATCAAGGCACACAAATCTCCATACTGGTCACCAAAGTTCCATTATGGCACGGATGCCAAGCCAACAAGCAATCCAATCTGCTCCAGGAGCCAATTTAACTCGAAAAGATTGTCATAGACGTTGGGTTCGATCTAGTCGATCAGGATTTCAATCCATACCTAACGATGAAAGGGAGGATCAAATTGAAGATGTTGAGGATGAGGATTATAGTCATGAACATCATGAACATAGAGCCAAATTAATTAAGCAATACGCTTCCAATATGAAGAGAAAACGTGAAGAATATCAGTAAGATTTCTAGTTTTCTTATAGAACAAAATTCAGATCGAATTAAAATATTCTCCTTACTCTAGATCAATTTCTGACATATACAATTATATATACAGTATCTCTCTCTCACCCTTTTTCGAGCTATTTTTAATTCAAGTATGTCACTATCAACTTGATTCAAACTTGCTAATGGGATCATCTATCGATATTTAAGGAAATTACAAAAAGCTACAGCATTGAAATATGGAAATCAAGGTCATCGTGATAGAAAGCAAAAAGGGGTAAATTCTATAGATATTGTAAATAGAGACTGTTACCTTGCTTGACTAACTTTATAAATAACTGGTGATAGAGCTGAAATGCCCTATAAGATTTCGGTAATAAGTTTGCTAGCTTTTAAGTAAATAGAAGTTAATTTTTCCCTCTCTTCCTATACAATGCAGATTTGGCAATCAGTAAAGCAAGGATTTCATGAAAACTTTAGCTTTAGCTTATGGAGATCACATTTAAAAGAAGTAGAAGGTAATATCGATCCTAGTTAGTCCATAACTGCTGCAATATGAATTATCATTTATATCAATATCTTTAGGCCAATTTGGCAATGGTGTTCTATCCTATTTCATCTTCCTACGATGGTTATTCTACCTTAATTTAATGCTAGGCTTAATGTGGTTTGGTTTTTTATGTGTGCCAGAAATTCTACTTGCCCATCGAAACGTGGTCTCTTTTGATTATGCTACCTTTAATATTTCTCAATCCATTGCTAACACCACAACAGGGGCTAGCATTTACTGTAGTCCAGATTATATCGCTAATACAACATCAACAACCCATTTGTTTATTGTTATTATTAGTGGCAAGGTAGTCTAGCATTTATGAACTGCCATTTTAATCTTCGTTCATGTTTCTTTTATCCGTTTCAATTTGCTTTTCTCCTCTATTTTAGGGACAAATGGAATGCAGCCAGCTCTTTTATGGCAATTATACCGCTGATGTTGTTCATACACCAAATATACCCATCTATTATAGTATGCCATTTGTATATTTTGTGGTAACCCTCGTCCATTTTATATTAAGTCTTGTCCTAGTTGCTAGAAGGTAAAATTTAGGTAGAAAATTCACCTTATATTAATAGATAAATTGCATAAGTTTGTTAGTCTACACGAATTCGATTAGAAGTAATAGGTAGATCTGTAGTTTAAATTATTTCTATCGATTTCTGCGTTGCTGAATTTTGGTAGGAAAAAATGATTACTAGATTTTACTTTCAACCTAATTTTATCCAGTGCCTCCAATGCCTATCAGAAAAGCTATATTGAAGGCGGTAGTAGTGTCCATCAATTCTGTAATAAGCTATTTGGTGGTTGGGATTATTGTATTTGTGAGCAGAAAGCGGCAGAACTGAAAATGAAAAGCATTGCACATGATATGAAGGTAATTTAGAAGTGATATTAATGTTCATTTCTCTGGTTTATTTACGGCAGACGGTGTTAATGATGATATTTTACGGCTTGTTATTTATCTATATTATTATTTACACGATAGTTACTCCGAGTGTAGCTTGTAAATTAGATCACTTTATTGTGTTACTTGTACTTATTTCCTTCCACTAAGAGCACTGCATGCTATCATGATACGCGAATTCTACTAGCTATATTAAAGGCCATAATCTAGGCTATGCTATATCACATAGTAAAAATCTTGCATAACCATATTTAGAGTAACAGAGCCTTTCCATATTAATATTAAATATTACATACTCATCTAATTACTTATTTTTACAATACTATACATATCATACAGTTTATAAATATAGTTCCTAACCATTAGATATTAATCTTAAATATTACTTTCTCATCTAATTTTACCTTACAATTATAGTTACTTATTTTTGACAATACTGTACATATTATGTACCAGGCAATGATTTCCTTTTAATCTACCGTCAAATATTAATACTATGCAATTAAAATTATGCAAGCTAAATTAATTAAAAAGAAAGCGGAGCTACCTAACTTTCTTTTGTGGCTTCCTATTTATTCTTCTTCAGGTTGATTTAGCTGAAGAAATTCGAGCAATAGAGTCAAAGTTGAGGAATAAAAAAGAGAAATGTACAATTTATCTCAAACGCATCCTTGTTAATCTCATCATCCTAGGCATATTAAGTGCAGCTGGTGCTGCTATTTACTATGCTGCTAAAGAGACCATCGATGTAAGCTATTTTCTCTCGTTGAATTCTAAAAATGGAAACCATAATTATCTACAACTAGTTAATCAATCTTTAATTTTCATTTTAAATTGTAATCTTTTAAAATTTTCAATCAATTTTTAATCATATTTTGCGATGTTTCTTCTCATCTCCAATAAAAATCCCTTCCTAATGCTTTTACTACTATTATAATTACGTTATTATTCTTCAAGAGCCAAACAACTTCTGCCAGCTCTGCATTTTTGCAGCTACTAAGAAATTACACTGCTTCGCTCACTATTTCTGGTTTAAATATTATTTTACCGCCTATCTTCAGTATTCTCATTTTATATGAGAACTACAGTCCGAACTTTGAAGTCCAGTTAACACTTCTCAGGTATATTCCCCTTTCGACTGTAATAGTAGAAAATTTGAAAGTTTTCGATCTTACATTATATATTTGTATACGACTTATCTCGATGATGATATAATCACTTTGAAATAGGACTGTATTCCTCAAGTTGGCATCGATCATCTTCCTACTGGCTTCATTATTTACAGTTACTCGCAACGCAGCATCAGGTGGATCAGATACTATTTTAGTAAGTAAAATGTTATTAGATTTCTAATTAATGATGCAAATTGAGTATGACAGGAATAGCTTGTGATATAATAAGGCTTAAGCTATCGTGAATTCAATTCACGCTCATCTCTAGTATTTGCTTACAATTTAAGTTAACGAATTATTCTCTAACATCGTTCTTCATTAGTGTTGGGAAACTTACGTTGGACAAGAATTATTTAAATTAGTCGTGGTTAATTTTTTTGTTGTTGTCTTTGCTACAATACTTGTAGAATTTCCTCAGAGGTATGCTTTGACACGTTTTTATCTAAGTACAGTAGATGTTTCGTTATTTGTAAGTATGAATAGTGTTATATATGTTTTGAACATGTTGGAAATTTCTTACAGATTTATAGCTGATAGGATCAGATCTCAAACGATATGTTGTATTCCAATCTATCCGCCCGAATTTCAAATTCCTAAAAATGTTTTGGATTTAGTCTACGCACAAGTATTGTGTTGGTAAGTAACATCATTAATAATATCGCATAAGGCGCTTGGTCTCTCCTTATCTATTTTCGATGAATTTAAAAAAAAGATTGATAAAAGTATTTAGTATTTTAAGATGTTCAATAAGACATCTTACATGATAGTAAAATCTACACTGCTACCTTCTGCCTTAACCTTATAGCTTTGTACTTGAAGATATAGAAAACAAACAATCTATAATATAATCTATTGCAATATGGCTGTGCTACTATATATTTTATAGGGTGCTGCTAAATTTTTAGCGGCTTACTTATAGAATTCTGCTAACGTCTATTCCATATCAATCTTATATTATGTTTTATAAATAGGCTAGGTGCATTTTATTGCCCTATGGTTCCTCTGATGATTGTTGTCTCCCTAGTGGTCATCTTTTACGTCAAAAAGGTTAAAAGATGTAGTTTCAATAAATTTTTTCAACACCATTTCGTAATTAAGAATTTTGCAAATTTTATATCATGATAAACTTCATCTATAATCAAGTTATAGGTCGCTACTACATGGTATTTAATCAATTATTCATTAAATTTATATGAGTAAAATTGAAGTAGAGTCTGATGTTAAATTACAAATTATATTATCATGATGGGCTTCATCAGTAATTATGTTAAAGATTGTAATTGCACAATTTATTGACTCGTTTCTTGGAGCAAATAGACATCGAATCAGAAATTGAGTCCGACATTAATTTATCAAATTTTATATCATCGAGAGAATAGATTTCTACTAAAAACAGAAAGAACCAAATATCATATCGTGTAGTGATACTAATACTATAATTTCTCACTTTTAGATCAGTTTAGTCTACAATAACCACCCGTCGCAACGTCCTTACCGTACATCAAAATCAAATTCATTTTTTATGTTGCTTTTGATTATTTCCTATTTCCTAGCTGCAATACCGGTTGGTTATGGCTGGGCCAAGTTAGTAAATTTATTATTATCGACTCTTCATTCTTCTTATGACTATTAAATGTTAAATAGTTGTATTCAATGGAGTTTTTGGGCTTTAATATGATTACTGTAACTTAGCTTACTGATAAATGATTTCTTTTATTAGTTTAACTCCATCAAAGCAGTGTGGACCTTACAGGTATATTGGATGGATTAGGATTAATAAAATATCAATGGTAACGCTAAATATGTCATCTAATTATATTAATAATTTCTTGTGTTTAATACAGGAGCCAGTCTACTGTTATTGATGCGATAACGATAATCGTAAAAAAGAACTTACCTACTATTGCTTGGGATATTCTCAGTTTTATATTCTCTGCCGGATTTATTATACCTTTGATCCTGATCATGAGGTAACGCGTGGTTATAATTCTTGTCATAATCAGCCATAGTCGCTCGATTGAAGAGTAAATTACACAGCTTACTTATATTGGTTATTTTTTACTATAAAATACTTTACATGATTAATTACCACAAGGAAGATTATTATCTCCAGCATCTTTACCTACTCCTGTACTTTTATGGGATATTGTGACATGAGATTTTATTATTTGGGATATAGTAGACTTGACGGTATACGAATTTAGTACCAAACTATTGCGTGCTTTTTGCTACTCTTCATTTCTATCCAAATCTCTTTCTTCATTCTCCTATTATTACAGAATAATTACAGCTTTTGTGGCTTTTACGCTACAATTACCTCCAATCGATATCATTATAACCATTTTAGCAGTTACTATAGCCAACTACTGAATAAGTACGGAAAAATAATCATTGGTTAAAATATTCTCTATGGTCTTTATAATTTTTTCTAAATCGGCTACGTGTATCGTATAGCTAACAGCTGTAGCTATTAGTATTGTAATATGATTTTAGGAATCAACCAGCTTTTGTAGCTTATCCGAATATAGAAGTAATTTTTTATAGGTTAAAATGGTCTGTCTATTCTTCATAATTTATCTAAATCAGTTGTATTTATGACATGGCTATCTAAGCATTTTTTCCAATCGAATATGCAATAATGTTATTTTTTTGCCAAACTGGAATATTTCTAGTACAAATTATTAAAATCTTTTTCTTAATTTGATGTCTACAAAGTAATTTTTATTATAGTTTTTAATACCTAGTATAACTTATTTGACTATACTAGTATTTTAAAATTATGTACTCATTTATATCTATCGTCAATATACATTTATTTTTCTCTATATATAGTCTTATACTTTATTACTTTCGATCCTTGGCGAAGGCTCGTATTATCAAAATTCAGTTACTGAAAGAACAACTAGTGATGGTGAGGATAGATTGATGGATATGCGTATAAATGTGCATCTAATTCAAATACATTTCACATTTTTCAATTTATGCTTAGCATGGACAATTTTAAGAAATCTTTTGTTTGCGTAATCTGATAAAAAATTGTAAAAAATGACTTTCTGAAAAATAGGAGGGAAGAGATAAATCATTTCTGTTGGAACAAATCGGTCAGACAGAAGAAAGATTACAAAGACTAATAGAGAATTGATCGTTGTTGTATAGGTGGTATTTGGGTATCCTACGATCTTTCTTCATCTGATGGCTATAATATAATTATAATTACTTAAATACAATAACAATATCAGCACAGAGATCATAAAATCAATAACACGTGTACCAGCGGCTATTTCATAGAATAATTATGCTTAAAGTCTATCAATATTTAAATAATTGACTAGGTATGACAGATTACGATACCGTATCTTTGTAAAAACTTCTTCTGCTTGTATATATATATATACATTCATTTATTAGCTGACTGTGGTCACTTTAAGCCTTCTTACCTTTTACAGTGTTTTACTATAGTACTATCGCAATGATTGGTGATATTTGGTTGTTATCTGCATCAATTTGAAACTAGCTCTTAGCTTAGCAACATTTATGACATACGTATACATTCTATATGTCCGACGAAAAAAAACTTTAACAGTGAATTATAGCAACAAATTGTAAATACGTGATGTGCAAACTTTACTTACGGTAATTTATTAAATTTTAATTTGAACATTTTTGATATTTATGTTTATCGTGATAGTGAATGTAATGCGGATTAAATCAAATTACGTACTCAATACATATCACCAAATAATGAGATTATCATTTATCATTTAGGCTTTACTTTTCATCTCTTACAATTCTTGAAATATTAAACTAAAGTTATCGTGATTATATTTCATGACTACTGTTTATCACTATAATATTGGTTATTTCGAATAAATTGTCAATAAAATAGGCTAAAGCCATGCGCTGAATAACTAAATAGGAGAATATTGCTTCAATGTTGGAAAGTTAATTTCGCAGAAGAAAGATCGCATCATTTCATCACATCGTAATATTAAACATGCAATAGGAGTAATCCTTAGCCTACGCTTACTTATGAAATGGTGAAAGTTATATATTGAATGATCCTATTAGTTAATTAAATGGAGAAATGAGAATATTAAGGCAGTAAAAACTTAGGGGTCAATTTCCTTTATTTTCACCAGATCAGTCAACCAATATTAGTTAATCTACTTATTATTAAGTCAATCAAGGCAAAGGCGAACATTATTACCGCAAAAATTAATAAGCACTTACATTGACAAATCGATCAAATATATAGTGTTAATTAAATAATTATTACAGCGTGTATGCAAATACGCGACCATTATACTTAAAAAGATCATATTTCATGCTTAAAAACATTCAGCCAGTTGCTTTGGAAGATCATATCTACATGCTAGCACAGTATGTAATACCATAACGTTTATAGCTGAAAGACTACGTAGAAATTTTTGTGTAAGCACGTACGAACACTTTTCGTTGAAATGCCTATACTTATACAGAAAACTGTTGATTATAATCAATATCATACTAGTGCACCGTGCGACATGATCTCAGGTTATTCTAGAAAGCCGGAATGCATAATACATAAAATTTTAAGTCTGAAATCTACGAAATTTTCCTATCATTCTTCTCTATTTCAAACTAACATTAATAAAACATAGATGCATATTATGCGACGTCAAACTTAAAGAACCCATTAACAAGAATTTCTAATAAATTACAGGCTCAGAAAGGATACCAATTTTAGTGAATGCCAAATAATTTAAGTGTTTATCACCCACATGACACTATCATCATTTGATACTCATATATTATAATTACATACCATTGATAGATGCCATGATGTGAAACGCTTGAGTAATAATTTGAATTAATTATTATTATAATTGATATAATTACATCGGAACATACATTGTCGTACTAGGGCAGACTTTAAATTTTAAAATTAAGGTAATAATAAGTAAATTACGCATAAAATTAGTTCGTGCGAAAGTATTGTGCAGTTATTACAAGCAATCGAAACTTGCTAGATCATATTTTCTATTTTTTCACATATTTATAGCGGTATTTACTCATTGCCAGAAAATTCAGGATTAACGAAGCTAAAGCCTTCAAATTCGGATTGATCAACATTTTGTATAATAGTCTTATCTGTGGGAGTCAGAGCTATGCTTTCTTTCGTAAATTCTGGATCAAAATTATCAGCTGACTTATATGATTTCTGAAATATAATTGTTAAATAAAACGAAAATAATCAACAAGAAATACATTTCGTTTTTATCTCATGAAATAAATTTGATATAGCTATTAGTAGCATTGTAATTTTAAAAAGAGTAAAAGTAATATACCCACAATATGTTATAGTCTAACTTACACATTTTGGTTTGAATGGAGGTTGAATTTCCCTATTACTTAGCTTTTCCCAGTCAATCCGTCGGAAAAATTGATGTTCTTTAATATCTCTTTCGCCATTTGGTCCACAGCCAAGTCTTTTGGCAGGATTTTTTGTTAAAAACTAAAGAATTGATGTAAAGTTAATAAGTATAATAGCTGATAATAAAAATCGTACAGGATAAACTTAATCTCATGGGGAATAAATGCTTACTCCTTTAATTATTGATACAGCTTCTTTCGACAAACATCGAGGATATGAAATGCTATGTTCCATGATCGCATTGAATAATTCGTCTTCGTCTTCGCCATCAAAAGGAGGCTACATTTGATCATTACCGTTAATTAGAGAACTTCAAATAATAAGATTACTTCTGTGCTCGAACAATAAATAAGCTACTAACCTGACCAGCTAACATCTCGTACAATAAAACACCTAAAGCCCACCAATCAACTGATTTACCATAAGGTTGGTAAGCTACAATCTATTGTATGAAATATAATTTGTTATGTACACGTGAAAAATTTGCAAATGGTCACAATAAATCTAGTATTGATTGGATATCACTAAAAATAGATTTACCTCAGGAGCAATATAATCTGGAGTTCCACAGAAAGTTCTTGTGGTCTTGCCAGGAGTCATCCCTTCCTTGCACATTCCAAAATCGGCAATTTTTATATGACCATCCGAATCGAGCATTACATTATCGAGTTTTAAATCCCTGTACGCGCAAATTTTACAATCACATAAATATGCTTATATCCAAAGTAGTCAATTTACAGTTTCAGAAAATAAAAATTTCATAAGATATAATATCGATATTACCTGTAAATAATTCCCTTAGAGTGTAAATACAGCAATCCTACAACTATTTCAGCCGCGTAAAACCTAAATAAACCGTCAAATTTTGAATTAATACTTTAATCCAATCTTTGGTATAATACATAGCTAATTTATATCGCACCAATATTATAATATATGGTGCTGGTTATTAGAAAATTTAGACTAGCATAAATTTTAAAATTTATAATACATTATATAACATAGTAACATACGCCGCTTGGGGTTCCTTAAATCTTCCGACTTGTTGAATGTGATACATTAAATCGCCTCCATTAACAAATTCCATAACAAACAAAAGACGATCCTAGAGAAAAATACTAACTTTAATCGAGGCAGATACACCGTAATGGTTAAATTGCATATACAAATATAAATAGAAATGACCTATAAGTATGATTTTATAAGTATGAAATAATACCTCAGTTTGAAAACAAGAATGTAAATACGTTAAAAATGGAGGTCGCCCTGACAATGCTAAAACTCGCTTTTCTACCATAACACATTCGACATCATCATCCTGAACAATAACATCTTTTTTTAATATTTTGATAGCATAAACTTCTTCGGTCCCTTTCTTTTGAGCTAGTAAAACCTAAAAATAATAATTGACGTTACATTTTACATAAATCAAGCTAAGTTAAAATATGTGCAAACGAACTTAGTTTTATACTATCGATATAAAATTATAAGGTGCATCGCAATACTGAAGTGCTGAGAACAATTTAAATATAGTAGGTAAAACAATAGGGGTAAGTTTTTATACCTTCCCAAAGCTTCCTTTGCCGAGAACTGATAGAAATTCAAAATCTTCCATTCGTGTTAACTGACTCGAATTGGGAAAATTAAGATGTTTAACCTGGGCAGGTTTCGGTCTCATTTCAAGTGACTGAAATAGCATAAAATATAGATAAGCATAAATATATGCAATGACTAATTTTTAGTTGCTAACGTACTGTTACTGTAGTCTATCACAATCAATCAATCAATATACTGTATATGCTGTATACTATGAGCAGTACGAGTAAAGTACTGTATTGTACTGTACATTACTGAAATAGAGCCGATAATATACGCATGATACGCCACTTATCTACCTTAAACTTCTCTTGTAGTGCTACAGCTGCATCATCAGCTATAGGGACATTATAGAATTCGCCTTCTCCTTGATCTAATAGTTTATACCAACCCTCAACAGGGCGTCTTATTAGCTCTGATACTCCAAATGATAAAGCGCCCATAAATTCATTTCCACCAAATTTGTCCCAATCCCAAACACTCACATTCAAGCGTCGTTCATGATCTTTCTCCGTTATATAACTGAAATAGCCATAGTAAAACGGTATGAATATTTTACATAAAAAACGGGTCATTTATATACAATAACGGTGTCCACAATTATTACACTATATCATATGTATCTGCCAATTACTTTAATGAGTAAATTTATCTACATGATCAGACTGGTAAAAAAATAATTCAATTTATCAAGGCTTTTAATCATGATATTCAAGGTAATATTCTATCGCGGTACATATATAATATTACTACTATCGAAAATAAATTTCATTGGTGCATATTTCTAAACTTACAAATCGAATTTCATATTAAAAATTGGATTCAAAGTCGCTTTGCATATTGGGGTTTTCCTTTTCGTACTCTTGTTAGGATCAGGGAGTAATTTAATCTTAACATATGGATCTGATAAGCCGTTAGGATCCATTGGTATGAGATTCTTACATTCGCGCACTATGATTAAGAAATACAAATTTGAGTTATTAGTAAGTAATAATTAATAAAATTTTATTACAATGAGTATGATTTTAATGAAGGTAACAAATGATTTTATATATTTGTTACAATGTAAGGAAAGAAAAATGTTATGAAAAATTATAATTTAAAAAATCGATTTATTTTATATTGCAGGTATGTGGACTAAGGTCTGTGGCCTAGAGACAAGCACTACTTGATTACGTCATGGTTGGGTAGTCCATCGATGGTAAAGTACAATAACATATATATATTTTTTTGGAGAAGTCCCTGCTATGCATAGTAATTCGTTTAACAAAAACTCTCTAACTTCCATAATATAGAAAAGCAATACTCATGCAATGAATGGTTTTCGTTATATAGACATAAAATCAAAAAGCATTCAAACAGGGGGTAAATTTACGGAGTATTATAACGCCATCATAAAACGTTAACGAGGCGTTATCTATATCCGTGACAAATTAGTTTTGTTACATGAGCTATACAATTAATTATGATTTCAGTTGTGATTTGGCATCATATTATTGTATTTTGTAATTGCTCCTACATGTAACTAATTACGATAACCTTTAGTTTGACCTCTATAAGTGTAATCACATTCTAATCTGATTTAGTCCAAACCACGTAGTAATTCATTAAATTATCTTCATAGGTTATACAATCATTCCACCGCTAAAGGAAATATCTACCTTACTTCAGTACTCAAGTAGTTGTCATTGATATTGCAGTAATTGTAAAGTATCATAACTATTACTAAAGGGTAAATTTAACGCTATATGAATATTAAAAATAAAACATCTCGACATCGCCATTTTTTCAAATCTAATCGTTTAACAAGTATAATCTGGAATGAATAAAGTTTAATCATTTCCGTCAATGGACGGTGATTAAAATTCTCTCTCAAAAGTAATGGCGAAGAAAATAATCTTATGATTCAAGGAGTCAACGGTAGTCGGATCGTGATGTCAAATTTTATGATTTTCCCGATAGTAGTAACTGTAGTATTATTTTAACCCAGGAAATGCTTTACCTAATATTTGATTGATTAGCGCTATCTACAGTAGAAAGCAGTTAAACGCATATATAAATGAATTATACAAGCATATCATTGCTTCAATCTGGAATGTAATTGTCAAATTTATTCTTCGTGACTTGATCTAACTTCAGAAGTGACATACGTACTGTATATACAGTTCAGCGATCTCTATGTACGATACAAATATACAGAACCTATTATGAAATATTTTTTAGCAGTAGTCCATGCATATTTCATTGTCTACGAATTATCAACAAGAGAAACTCACTAACAACATGATCAAATTTCAAATATTAATTAACTACTTGATGCTGCAATCTTATCTTTGTAGTTGACTTTACGAAACTGCAAATATGAAGTAGCATCAACAAAATCGTTAGGATTGAATTACAGTTGCTTCCGTGACATATTATTTCAATAACGTTATAAGTAAGCTTTAGAACTAATGTAAAATAATGCTGCCATTAAAAAATCGCAAATAGCGATAAAATCAAAATAAAAGATTCAATAAATAACTATAATTACTAACGAAATTGTAATACTGTAGTCTACTTTGTATAATTTCAATAATAACTCCAATAATTTACTAATTATAATTAGTAAATTCTTGTATTGAAATACTATAGATAGTAAGAAAGTTGACTAAATTTGAAAATTTTACAAAGATTTGGTGGTTAATTAATTTACGTAGCTTAAATCTGTCTTGATTTTTAGAAGTGTTTACAAAAAATGCTTTGTTATTGATTTATAATATGTTGGCACTAATATTATTAAATTGCAATACAATATCCTACTGCGATATCCGTAATCCAAGGTACGGATTGATTTATTGTTTTGATTCTGTCACTACCTCATTATATGCAATATCCGAGTAATTGAAAAAGAAAAACTCTAGCTAAATAATAGTGTCAATACAATGTATACTTCAATTTCGTGAAATAGATCACAATATGGTATGACAAATTGAAATCATTAAAATCTATTAAAAATAATGCATGACTGAATTACTCTACAATAGAGAGAGAGCGTATATTACTTTAATGGGAATTGTTACTTTTGATTTTGCATGGTAAAGTATAATTTTAATTTATAATTGTTAAAGGTCAACAGCGGGATAATACTGTATATTACGAAGATAGAAAAATTTTTGATATGTGGGTAGTGCAGTATATATACATAAGTATAAACTTTGAAAGTTCACTAAAAAATTATCACTCCATTCCTATTACTAAAGAACAAGATTGTTGTATTGGTTGCTTAATGGGCATGCTGATGATATTTACGCGTATTGTATAAAAAATATGCTAAATACCTAATTAACAAAAGACTAGCAAGTTCTGATATACGACGTATTATATAACAAATAGGGTTAAAATGATATATGTACACATGCAGTGAAAGTAGAAATATACATTATACATGTACGTAAGAACTATACTGTACTTGTTTCAAGTGGGTATACTTTTATGAAAATATTTCGTTTTTAATCATATGAATTGATAAAAGTGTACGATCTTCATGAAACTTAATAATATAGTAAGACGGCAATATTTTTACTCCAAGCGATATGCATATGCAATCTTGTGCAATAATCTAAGTTCACAAATGACGTATTAACATAACGAAAGAACCATTACGGTAAAAAGAATATTACGTTGTACAACTTATCAGAAATTGTCCTAACATACTGCAATTATTTTAGAATCTTTTACAGAACAGGATGTGCATTAAGGCCTCAATAAATAATATGCTACTAATAATAATAAATTTTAGAAACTGTGATCAATACTTGCAAAAAATTTCACCTATTATATTTATAATATAGTATACTGTATTATCAATTTTTTCTACCCGTTGACATTATCTAAAAATATCGGGACGTTATTAGTGCAATACTTTATACTATGTAAAGCTAATACCGCTTTTATCTGTTGTAACCTCCATTAGCAAAAATAACAACCTACCGCATAATAACATAAACGTGAATTTATAACGTGTGCATGCTGTAAATATAACGATTGGTAATAGATCATAGGATACGATTTGTGTTTATCTTTTTTAATATCTGAATATCTAACTAATAAGACATGGGTCGAATTCTTTGATCATCATAATTATCTTATAATATCCACACCGAAATAATGTAATAATAAATCGAAACGGTCAATAGTCAAGTATCCGATTAAATACAAAATTAAGCTATTTTATTACATAAATTTGTAATAGAAGGATGATAGGTAGATAATATTACTTGATAATAAAATAATGTTAACAAGAAACAGTAAACCTTAAATCTTTCCTATTTAACGTTAAAAGCAACGTACCTTCAACTAGTAACATTCCAGCGGTTGGACTAGTTTCCTGATAGCGAATTGATAGGTTAATTCGACCTCTTCTTTCTGTATGATCTGAGCCACACAAATTAGGTACAAATTTCTTGCATCTTTTATGGACATTGATATCACAACCTAATAGAAAATTTAATAAAAGTAGCTTATTTAAAACAAAGAGAAACATAGTGACTCGTACTAATGATATACGAAACAATGAAGAAGGAATTATTGTACTACATAGGAGAGATTAGTTAAAAAAAGAAAGATAAATGCATTACTGCATCTTTATGGCAATACCTATATATATATATATATATATATATCTCGTATACATATATTTTGTATACTCGTATATAATACATAATTAATTGTATGTTACTAAAATATCTGCATTGTATGGTATACGCTTAATAACGATTTAAACGTTAAAATATACGCTTAAATTGAATAGGGTTTATCAGTACTACAAAGTGACGGATAGCAATTTTAGTAACAAATAGTTTATATTGATAATAACACCAGTACGTAAAAAAATATGAGACATTGATAAATAATGTCCTGCTGACGAAAAAGTACACGTGACATTTCATAGTATTAATTTATAAGAAAAAAAGTCAATTGCGTAGTATCAATACATTTTATATTTTGTTACTAAACCGTAACCAAGCACTACGCTATCAGTATCTTAAACTGAATATAAGGTATTCATCTTAATCTTGATAACACGGTACAATTCACTTTAGCGAACAGTAAAATCGTGGTATCATGAACTGTAAACATACCAACAGACCAATTCAGTAATAGTTATATTTTAAACATTAGTATGTTTATATTTACATGTACACAAAATATATCGGTAAACGGTATCAATTTTAACTATTTCGTAAATTCGCAAAAAAATAGTGAGTGTACAAAATCAATTATATGCGTATCATATCATTTCCAGTTGATATCGTACTTTATGCTACAGTGAAATCACGTTAAAATTTTCAAAACGATTTGAGACGATTTCAAGTTGATGAGTGTCTAAATGATAGAAAGAAATCGATTAATTTTTAAACTTACTTTCACACTTTAGTCCCTGATGGAATAATCCATATAACAATGAACCACAGTGCTCACAAAAAGCTGGACTACCATAGGTCCATACTTTAAATTTATGCGGGGACGAGTGAGTCTGCTTTAATGGACATTAGCAAAAGCAACATTACTATAGTTGATAACAAAAGCTATTAAATGACATGTGACAGAGTAAATAACTGTAGAGATTAATAATATCAGTGCATCATCTCTATATTTCTATGACATTATGTTAATATTGTACGCTTACAACTTGCTCTTTAGACAATGTAAAACTTTAAAAACAATACAACTATTTAGCAAAAATTGCTATTTTAGCGAAGTAAAATTCGTTAACATTATAGCTTTATGTTATCGAAATTTACATGTTATACAATCAAAAAATTCTAGTCATTAAGAAAATTTTTGTTAAATAATAATCTAAGTAATTGTGTATTTAGTACAGTATGTCCTATATTTTCTATTTATAATTTACAGTTACTACTAAAGCTATCATGTCATCACGTGAGTATTTATTGCAATAGGAGACATACTTATTAATAATATCGCTACGATTTCAATTCATTTTAAAAGATACAAGTAAAGCATAATAGATTTTGCTGTAATGATCTAGCTATGTTTTCTACTCTACAGTTATAAAAATTTTCTATAATAAATTTATAAAATTTTGATGTTATTTATGTAAACTACGTTTATGACCATATCTGTATCTCTATACTGTATACGGTATACGATAATTTCACGCAATGCGGTCAAATTTCTATTAATTATTGCAATTCTCACGTTATTCAAGAATGATCAAGAAAGGCTCTCTATTTTCAATTGTAAATATAATGCTGATTGCGGATTATCAACTCGCAAATGCGCGTATAGTAAAGATTTTTTTAGCGATTTTATCGTAACCAGACTGGCATATTGTCTTTAATCCTTTCTATAGATTATTATGAACATTTGCTTGGTTGAAAATGCCCATATGGTCCTCAAATGATATTGAAAAATCAAATACTGTATTATTGTATAGCACATTTTCTATCCATTAACCAGTTATGATCAGTGTGTAAACAATAAATAGGGGAAAAATATATAGCTAGAAATGATGGTTTTAACTTACAGAGCTTGCTGATTCTGCTCCAGGACAACGGAAAGAAACATACTCATGGCATCTTTTATGTACAGCAAATCCACAATCTGTATCAAGATTAGATAGGAGAGAAAATAGTATCCTGGAATTAGTATTGCATTTTTTCATTGTTTATAGCTCATTGTAACACAAAGAGAGTTGCGTTACTTTCTAAGTAAGCGAGGAGGGTATTGTCTTATATTCTGCGGAATAGTGAGCTATGACTAATCATCGAGAATTTTTTACAAGTTTATTAATGTATCTTGATACGTATATTAAAACGTACTGTAGAAATGACGAAGAGTAAAACAAAACTAAAATGATAGGCAAAGAAAATAGCTTACTATCACTATTGTATACTTATTCAACATGAAAAAGCTAAACCAATAAATCGCATATAATATTCCTGAAGTCACGAGAATCACCGTAAGAGTCTGATTATATCAATTTTTTTTTTTAGCGATATCCTACTATCCTGTAGAATAAAGCGATTATCGTTATCTGTGGTACATAAATTATTTTTTAAATAAATCGACATTGAACGCTATCATGTCATATTATAAGTATATTAATTATTGATAACGCACTAGGTGTAAAGATATAAAAAAAAATAAGATGTATCGTTTATCTTCTATAAATAAGTATCGTAACTGTAGAATTAAAATTAAAGCATTTCTCTAACGTTAGTATAACGCCTAGTAGTAGAGTAGAAATAGATCAAATTGAATTCACATCAGAAATTGGTACAATTGGTAATCAGTTGTAAGAGGAGAATAATGATGCCGTATCAATTTCTAATTTAAAGCTGTGATCGCAATATCTAAACCTAAGTATGCTGATTCAATTGAATGCAATAGTGACATCGTGTAGAAATAACTGAAGTTAACTATTATGATTAGACAACTATTAAAATAATGCTCAAAGAACTTTGTGTTATTGTTAGGTTCAGTAAGGTAAGTTCAAGATGATCAATGACATATAGATGATCCAGGATGAAACCATAAATTTTAAGATCACTAGCAGTATGACACAAAAGCACTGTAGGGATGGATCAATGAGTTAACTTTTGTATTAATAGTGGGACAATAATCATTATTTTTAATAACTACTAAATAAAATGCGATTTGGGTATGTTGTACTGTGCGATCATCGATCCATAAATTAGAATTAGAATATGACAAGAAAGTTACTGATTGCATGATGTACGTCTATTTGCTACAAGCAGTTATGATGAAGTCTACGCTTACATGATAAAATTGGCAGTCTTATTACAGTTATATGTATCAGTTATGGCTAAAAAGACGCCATAGTCTACATTACAACGTCTACCGTAGTTGCATAGATTAATGCTTCGATCATCAATTAATAATGATAACTAACATTTGTACATATAGCGCTGGAAATAAACAATAAAAAGATCGTTTTCCAATTCTATTACTGTCTATCGATTGTTAGCAAGTACACGTACCCTGACATTGGAAACCTTGCTTGCTGACGATACCCCTAAATTAATTAAAGAAGAATCAAAGCATGAATAAGTTAGTCTTGTGTTGGATGTTGAATTTATACCATGATTTACTCATGAGTAGCAGACAAGGGTACTTGAAAGCATAATTTGTTATCTGTATAATGATTGCACAGTATAGTGTTCAATGACCACTAAGTTGGTTATAAGTCAAAATTGAGTAGTAGGAAAGTTATAAAAGATTAAAAAAGAATGCGATATTTATACCGATGTGTGGATATGTACAGTAGTGCCGTCAGTTCTATAAATCTTCTATTGTAAATCATACTAATTAAAATAATGAACAGTAGCTTTGTCATGATAAAATGGTTTTAACTAGCTATCACTTTTGGTAAGGGTGCAATATTACGCCGTGTTAGGATAGGAAAATGATTTTGCTTAGTATAGTACGATTCGATATTGATATTTTAGCTTGTACGTCGGCACTTTCTATTACGTTGATGCCATTTATCAATAGCGTATAATGTGAGTATAATCTATACAGTAATCATGTTCAATCATCCGGCATTAGAAAAATAAAGCGTTTCTAGCGAATAGCATTTCATGCATCGACTATCAACACTCCAGTGAAAGTTGACTTCAGGCATAGTAAATCTTTTGCAGTAGATAGTTTTTTTTTTTCAGTAAAGTTGCTATACTAGCCTACAACAGCTTGGATAAAGTTAAATACGACTCTCTATCAAGAGCACGATGTACTTGTCCAGAAGTGCCAAAATTGATCCATGACGACAGCGTCTATTTTATCTGGAGTTGACTGCCGTAGCGTTATTCTAGTTGGAGATATCAATTCTATTATCGATGGCTATGAATGACAAGAGTGTCTATCTACCACAGTTAAGAAGTCTGTACGCGTATATCTCTCTTTTTTTTCTACAAGAAAAGCGATCTGCAAGACTATGTATGGCGTCCATCCATGATATCGACTGGAAGAGTAGGATTTCAAATTCTGCGGTGTCGACTGGTCACTGCATGAAGTGTAACTTCCCCCCCCCCCAAAAAAATGATTCGGCCACTACTACTGCTGTACCTTCTGTTTTGAAGAGGTCGACAATCAACAACAATCCTGACTACTACACTCATATGTATATATGTCAATGTTACAAGATAGAATCATGTTAACAACATCATGCAGCTCCATCCATACACTATAGCTGTATGACATGTTTTACTGATATGCTATGTTATGGTGGCCATCTTATTTTTACAACGACATTCATTTCATTTGTTTAATTTTATCAACAGTATGTCGCTTGGTGGGCAGTATGTCTTTGGCTATACAATATACATGAACTAGCGTTGGTAAAGCATAATTTACAAGTAGAAAGTATTAAATAAGAGTAGACTTGAACTTACTTACCAAATAAAATCACGACAGTGAGCACAAAATGTTAATTGCTTGAAATAACGTGGTATAAATTTATGATCTTTGACTACGTGAACGTTCTTTTGGCGAACAGCACCTCGACGCAAGAACGGTTTGGCTGAACCGACTGTGGTGATTGTGGTCATTGTGCTGGAAGCGTTGGACGACACGGAGGAATTGGTACTCGTCATATTTTCACCCCTAGAATGTCAATGGATCTCGCCTCCAAAGTACAGAATTGATCAAAAGTTCACCCAAAGAGTTTTATTGGCGATTTTTGGAAAAAAAAGTTAACGTAATTATAAGAGTTTATCAAGTAGAAAAATGGCAGAAAGTTGCAATAATATTAATAATATTTTTATTATTATACTGCACTACAGTACATTCATTCTTATTATCCTTCTACTGTACTGTACTGACTGAATACAGTACAGTACTGCGGTCTACTGTATACTGTACAGTATACTGTACGATACAGTGCATGTTCAGTACAGTGACTTTCGTGACGTCAATACTGTAGTGTACAGTACAATACGCCAACGCACAGCACTGTACACTTGTACAGCCGATCATGCACTGACGCTAGTTAGTGGACGTTTGTAGTTCGTGTTGCATCATGCGGGACGATCTGGTACTACCATGTACAATACTATAGACTGTAAAATGTACAGTACTGGACGCCCATCTGGTACTACAATGTCGCCTACTGTGACGATAGCCAGCAGCCATACTAATCACCATTGGCCCGCCCTAGACAGAAATCGATTGTGAGTCATTTACTTTAAATGATTCCAGTACACGCCCGACCGACCTCCCGGACCGAACCTTTTCGTCCAGGTCTAGCCTGACATTATTGAGCAACATGGTAGTCCCCAAAATAGGTCTTCAGTCAGTGTAGTAGAGTCAATTGGAAATTTGACTACTGGAACTTTATGAGTCGTATACTAAATCATTGAATAAAAAAACATGACAGTATACACTTTCATTGCATAGACTACAGTAAAAATAAAATGGATTAATTAAATTAACATCATCCATTTTTCTCTTCAATTCATTCATTAGGGTGATACAGTCTCATACGTCTAGCAGCATCCTTTCGCCTCTTGACGAATTGACACAGCATAGTTACCCAATACTAATGTCAAGTTGCAAATAAGGAAGTAATCTGTTAGTACGCCACTGTTACAGACTATCTAAAAGCACCATTTCATCGATCTACAGTGTATTCTTGAACGAGCCAACTAACAACGGCTGTTAAGCCTACAGTATACAGCAATACTGCACTACGCTGTTCATACAGGTTACCTTGATCATCCTGTATGTACAAAATGATATATTTTGACTCCGCATATGACGATAGTATACTTCAATTGATAAAAAGATATCTCTATGTTTTGACTACGTTATCACCATTCGCTAATTGAGACTTAGTCAATCCCATCAAGGTGTACAAAAAACCTCTATGGTCATTCCACTATACTAAACTGGACATTATAGTACTGTATGTTATTCGTATTCAATTTGTTGATGGTTGCTTAGCAACTAAATCCAAGCACATCAGATTGGGCTAGCGCTCCGTGCGGTGTACGGCGTATACTTATCAGCTATCCCTCAATTGAATTTCTGTGACAAACTGTAGATAGAGTTTATTTGCGAAACATACTATAATTGATAACTCTACGCGCACTTCAAAGTTTCATCATGGAAGAATCTGGTGGACAAACTCGTCAATTACAACTGGCGTCAACAATTGGATTTTCAGGTACTTGCGCAGGCTATCACAAGCGTTGCAGAGTTGTAACTTAATATGATCACAGATGATTGAATATTGATTTCATTTACAACGCTAGATCAACTTACTAGCTAAAAACTTGTTCTAACGGATAGAATCATACTAAAACCATAGTAGTTTGTTTAAAAAGAATATTCAAGATAGATTTATTTTGTTAATTTTCTCTGAATTGACACTCTACGCACCAGGTTATACTAAACTAAAAAGAATCATTTTTTTTCATAAAATTTCATCTTACTAAATGATCTTCAATTATTGACACTCATCCAATGTTTAACACCAACTCTTACTGTATCTTAGTGTATGCTATACGATTAATAGTGTACAATGTGATAAATTTACAAAACTAGACGTAAACTAATGGAAACCTTGATAACTTAAGAAAAAATTGAAGAAAATACGCACTTTAATTGCCTATAGACTAATCGTTCAACGCATTAACAAAATATCTACAACTTGCTTAAATAGGAGATATTCACAAGGGCTTACTCGTTCATCCTGATCGCCAACACTTAGTTCATGCTATTGGCAGCACGATCGTGATTCAAGATTTGGCAGATGGTTCTCAAAAATTTCTCGTTGGTCATACTGGTGATGTTTCCTGCCTTACAGTATCTCGTAGTGGAAGATATATTGCATCTGGCCAAGTGGCGCCAATGGGATTCAAAGTATGGTGATCGTAAATTAGAAGATATATATATTCTTTCCGAATAATTGTTTACATGGAATTGCATATAATCTATACATTTGATTAAGGCATTCGTAAGCATGATCTTTAATAAATTTTTGTTGATCTCAGGCTGAAATAATTATATGGGATTTTGAAAAGAGAACATTAAAGTGCAGGCTAACGCTTCATAAAGTTAGAGTTTATGCTCTTGCCTTTTCACCCAACGACAAATTTCTTGTATCACTCGGAGGACAAGATGATGGAAGGTATACGCAATAACTTAGCCGTACTATTATGATCACATAACATATTTAATTTATTTTATTACAAGCTAAATTAATTCAAGGCTCTATATAAAGCTACAGGTTAAAGAATTCACTTTTATTCATTCTTTATGTTATAGTGTTGTAGTTTGGGATGTTGCTTCTGAACAAGCAATTTGTGGAAGCCCTGCAGCTCTGCAAAGTGCTGGCGTTACATATGCAATTGCATACGCCAACAACAATGATTATAAATTCGTTACTGGCGGAAAGTATGATAATATCAAGTTAATAGTGTAGATATAGTTAATATCTTTCAACCGCTTCGAAAATAATTTATTTAAATTCTATTATAGTCAAACCCTGCGCATATGGGAATTAGACTTACCCAACAGAAAGATCAGACCTACCGATTGTGGATTAGGGCAATTAAAACGTGTGGTGAAATGCATTGAGGTATGAACACAAATTAGCTAATCGATACCATAGCTGTAAAATATCACGTTTTCGCCATTAACACAATTATGTTATAAAACTTGTTTCAGATAAATGAAGATGATAGTGTATTTTACTGTGGTACAACAACTGGAGATATTTTGCAGGTTTTTAAACATTATGTTATCGCTAGTATGTTAACTATTTTAAATATAAATTTTTCATTGCTATGCTTTTAACGTACAACAACTATTGATATTATCCGAATACTGACTGTTAGAATAATATATCGTGCATTACTTTGACAGGTTAATATGAATACTCATCTAATGAAAGATTACGGTCCCCAAAAAGAACGTCTTAGCTTAGGAATTTTATCATTGAGTTTGCTAACTACTGGAGATATTCTCGCTGGTGCGGGCGATGGAACAGTCGCTTTAATAAGCGGTGCCGCTTTTGCTAAGAAAAAGTAAATTCAATTACTCCTAACTATTGAAAGCCTATAAATATTTAGAATATTTAACGGAAAATAGAGACTGGTAAAGCTACCTAAGTTGATTATTAACGATATTGCTTTCTTAGAAATTATATCAAGAATTCAGTCAAGGTTCAAGGACCGGTAACATCAATCAGCCTTAGAGGACAGGGTCATCAGGTTGATATAATATAATAAGATTTAATTTTAGCAATTTACTAGTCACGAAATAGAATGGCTTTTGCCTTGCACGAACGCGTCGTCATTGAAGTTCTGATTACGATTAGACCTGTAATTATTCATGGAAAATAACTATTTGATAATAATTCTTGATTTACTGTTTATCCAAATAGTTTTTTGTTGGAACAGAACGTTCCGAAATATATCGCTTCAATCTTGCGGATTTTTCCAATGAACTGATCACCACTTGCCATTACAGCGCAATCAATGATATAAACTTTCCTTTGTAAGTATTCGAATAATTGATTTAACAAAAGTGTAGATGAAAAAAAATTACGATATGCTAGATTATGACAGTCTGTAATTACCGAACTGAGATATTTCGAACACAGGGTATTATGATTAATCAACAGATGAATTCTCAAAAAACGTTAATTGTAGCCTGATTTCACTTCCATTTCTTTTAGTGGTTACTCTGATGTATTTGCCACATGCTCCAAGAACGATATTAGAGTTTGGAATGCAAATAATAATAGACTTCTTTTGCGTATTACGGTGCCAAACATTGTATGTGAGACAATCGACTTCACTCGTGACGGGAAAACTATCATTAGCGGTATCTATATATGCTACAGATACTTTCATTTAACTTTAGTCGAAATTTTTTAATCATAATCTATGTATAATTCAGGATGGAATGACGGTAAGATAAGGGCTTTTACGCCAGAAAGTGGAAAGGAAATTTATACCCTTCATGATGCTCACAACAAGGTAAAACACTTGTCGCTACTAGAATGTAAGGTTATGGGTTAAATAGATTATCAGTCTGTTTTCCGTAATGGACGGTAAAGTAACATGATGCTATTGAAATTGATACTTTAGGGTGTTACAGCCATAGCCTCAACAAGTGATTGTCAGAGAATTATTAGTGGTGGAGGTGAAGGTCAAGTACGCGTTTGGCAAATATCTGCTAAGAAGCAAACTTTACTGGAAGCCATGAAAGAACATAAAGGTTCAACTTTTATTTTCATTTATTCACAATTTGAGCACCAAACTGAGCATTCTGATACTGTAATACGTTGTTACACTTACGTATAACAGAGTAATACCTTAGAGTGAAATTTACAATTATTTTTACCGTTTCGTATGGCTTTGAGGTAAATCTTAAATATTACTGATTATTCTGTTTTACAATATATAGGAAGTGTTTCATGTATTAAGATACGAAAAAATGACCAAGAGGTAATAAAATAGCTTCTATCCTTGCTTCGGAATGATAAAATCTCTAAGTCTGATAAGTAAAGCATTTCTACGCTCCCATGTGGTAAATTTAATTTTTTTTTCTTTAACAATGATAGTGCGTTACAGCCAGCACCGATGGTACCTGTATAATTTGGGATTTACAGTAAGTTGATTGAGTTTGAATTATTTCGAGACATCTTCCCAGCAATTTAATCAGCGCTGGTAATATTTGTAGTAAAAATGCACAACAACTAACTTTTTACTGGTGTATCCTTCATTCATATAGACGATTTGTACGAAATCAGATTATATTTGCAAATACATTATTCAAGGGTGTTTGCTATCGTCCGGATGAATGTCAGATAATTACATGCGGAACCGATCGTAAGGTATTGTATATTGTACTGTATTACGCGTACTCTAAAGTTTGACCATTACAATTTCTAAAGGTTCATACGCAAAATAAATGTACTAAAGGTAGTTTGAGCGATGTAATTACTGTCGTAGCAAAATTGATCATACTTTTCTCTAATTTTACTTAATATCATAGATTGGGTATTGGGAAACTTACGATGGTACTCAGATACGTGAATTGGAAGGCTCCAAGAGTTCAATTAATGGCATGGATATTGCTCCAGATGGGCTTTTCGTTGTTACTGGTGGTGCCGACAAAGTGATAAGGGTAAGCCAACTTCAGTATCATTCCTTATTATATTTTCATATATTCCTCAGCCTTCTTTATGCAATTTATAGATGTGGAAATACAATGATGGAGAGGTGGAATATGTTGGATATGGGCATAGCAGCGATATTTCACGCCTCAGAATTTGCCCTAATCAAAAACATATCGTTAGTGTCAGTGTTGATGGCGCTGTAATGCGTTGGAAATATCCATCGACTTTTGCGTAGAAGCTCAATCAAAATGATTACACAAGCTTCACTGATATTGCGTTACAGTTTTTATCCAACTGTAATATCACTGTCCGTAATATTAATTTCCAACAAACGCATTTTACTTCAATATGCTATCAAAATAAACATAACTTTATGGCTCTCTTTTTAGAATAATGCGCTTTTGATTACTTCAATAAATGTAGTAATAGTTGCAATTACTGTATATTGCTACCACCTAACTTTGAATTTACTTAAAATTTATTGGTAACGTAATACGATACCGTGCAAGTATCTTAATAAAAACATAAGAAATTTACAGTGCAGTCTTTATAGCGCTGAAGTTGAGAGCTATCTTCAATTAGCAAAGATGCTTGAGCTGTGCTTGTCCGTCACACTTCTTGATTTGTATATCATTACATTTTATTGGTATTTATAACATGAAAACTGTTAATGCTATGATTGCTATCTTACAAATGATTTTACTAGTGTATTCTTAGTGATAGGTAAACTCCTCAATGGTAGTATATCCATGCAAAATTATTGTAGAATTATTAAGGCAACCAATTTGTTAATAAAAGTTTAACAGACTTTCATGCGAGGTATAAACAATTTTTTCCTTCTTGCTATTATAGCTTTTTTGTGCACATTTGATTAGTCTGGTGATGACATAACTGTATTAACTACATGCTCATAAATATCATATTAATAAAACAAGATTGGTATCTACAAGTATTACTTTAAAATAAATTTTTTTCCAAAGAAACTTACAATATTATCAACATCATCTTTTGAAATAAATTGTTAATATATACTCACACATCAACAACAGTTCAGTAACAAAACTAAGACGTCATCTTAATCATAAGGTCTTATAGAGGATCTGATATAGAAAGAAAATGACAGCATAGACACATCACAGTAAAATTAAAAATGTAGTTTATCATGTGGGTACGTCAATACATTGCACAATAATTTGATGTTAAAATAAAGTACTATATTTATTTAATGTAAACTGTCAGAACGATAAGTTATCTCTAGATAACAGCCACATTAATAATAGTGGCCATAAAGTTTGTAAGTAATAGTTACAGCCTCACAAATTTACAAAATGATAACCCTACTATAAGAAATTGTAGGTTTATTTGCCAGTAAGCTATGAGTTCCTTGTTCAGCCCCATGCTGGAGTCTTACAATAATATAATACTAGTTTACCATCAGCAGCAAAGCACTGTAACAGATAGGTAGGTTGAATGGTAAGTTACATCAATATTATAAATACAGAAATTATTGTGACGAACAAAAGTAACAGAAATGACTGTAGAGCAGTATGAAAAGAACTAACTTAACTTCATCATTTAAGGATTACAATTTTACAACAATTATGAAAGCATTTCTAGCTATAGAAGCACAACGAAGAGAGTATTCACATGATATACAAATATTCAACATCTGTTTACCTGATAGAGATTTCGTATACTTTGATCAGCAGAAGGTACAAAGGCTTGATTCACGTAAATAAACTACATGAAGCAATAAATCAAAGAAAATAAATTTACGTGAACTGCAGGCATACACCATAAATTAATTGTCGTAAATCGCTGATTGCATTTCGCTACATACGCGTATATAGTTGCACGGTTAATTATACAATGGTTGCATAATCGTAAAAGACTCTGATCACTGTAATCATTTTAAAAATTTTGCATATTATCATCCAAATAGTGATACTATCAAAAATAGCAAAATATATATTGTTATATTATATATACTGTACTACTATCCTATCACAGATTGCATAATTTATACTGAAATTGGCGATGACATATTGGTAAATATGAAATGACACAGTGGCGAATCAATCAGTAATTTTCTCTCGGTGCTATAAGTTTACTACAAAGCACATTGTCTATCATTTAAGGATTGCAGCTCGATATCTGGATAGATTAAATCATCTATGGTAACTAACCAATGATTCTGACGGCTGGCATTTCAGGTACCTTCGCAAGAAATCTATTACCCATACCACTTTCTTGTCCGGGTCTACAGACCATTTCTTTTTCTTTAGTATGGGTGCATCACCAGCACTTTTTAATAATAGATCAACTGGACACATCAACGGTAAAACAATTCTTATTAGTAATCGGGTCATATACAGCATATTCCACTGAATTTTTGCTTCATTTTATGTTTCATAAAACAGAATAGATAGAACTGATTTTACCTTTCTTTTTTTCTCCTGTTACACTAGTAGTTGATTCGACAGGAACTGCTGTTTCTTCATTGTCAGCCATTACTGCTCCAAATCTCTCAGCTGCTCAACACTAGTTACAGTGTACTTTGAAGTACAGTATAGTTTACAGTACAGTATACTGTAAAGTGCCATGGACTACTGTACTGTACTAGAAAAAATTCTGGTACTTGTACTATACAGTACGTAGTACGTACAGTATAGTACGAGTACTAGAATTTTTACGTACCATACTGGAGGGCCTTCTGGACAGTACTGTACAGTCTACTGTACAGTACAGTCCGTTTCCTACAATGTACAGTACAGTACTGTACTGTACCGTACAGTGTACAGTGACTGTACTGCAATACTATACTGTACGGACGGACACTTTGTACACCATATTGCAGTATTCAGGCATCACTATCATGGACATCTAGTGCATCTATTGCAGTAAATAATTTGATGACTGGCGTTGCTTTATCATAAACTGCTATATACATGTGCTGAAAGAACCCGAATTTTTATAAATAAAATTTTATAAAAATTTTTCCGGGAACTTTCTGAACAGTGGCAGTGATTGCATATCTCATGTGTTCTTACTTCCACGCTATCCCTATTTTCATTGAAATCTATTGTCAATGTAAAGCGAAATTGACGTTTGAGCATATATTAATCATCAAATTTGTATTAATCGTTAAAGTAATTTTACTTAACTTGCAGAATTCCAATTGAGCATAACAAGACTTTCGGGATATACTGATTAGTACCGGTTCCGGTACAAGTAAATTTTTTTATACTCGATATACTTCGCGTACTTGTTTCCTAAATAGAATATTTCAGTTCAATAGTATGAAGCTTTACATAGAGCTAAACAGAGTTTTAATAAATTATAAGACGAGCCTGGTATCTAACAATATCTTATGAAATTCGAAATTCAAGTATCCAATTAAAATAGGAATAAATCCACTTTACAGTATGTCCTAAATTTTGTAGTCAATTTCGCAATGGTTACATGTACCATTGCAAGTTGCGGTTAAGCGGCTCTAAACCATCGTAGATCATATGTCGTAAACTCGTAGATACCAGCAATATCGCTACTGTAGAGTTTGTGTATATATCCTGTTTCATGCCAAGGATTAATTAGAGCTGTTGCTATGCTGTAAATATGCTTGCGTGGATATGAGATATAACGCATTATTTAACGTATTTTGCTTTATCTTAGCTGCTGTACAGATTAATAGCGCAGTATTACTATCAGCGAAGCGGCAAGATGCGCTTAGATTTTAGATCTATATATAATCATACACTGTGTAATATATAGCGCCGTAATTATTGTTTGCACTATGGCAGCATCGTGTGATCTAGCTGCTGAGATAAACGATCTAGTTCTATTTCTTCATTTATCTATTGCTATTCTCTATGGTTGCAAGATTCGATTTCTCCTATTGCTACGAATTAAATTTGTGTTTTGCATCCTAGTCAATCCTTTAGAAGTTTCTCAGGCTCTTCAGATATTTCTGTATCTCATTTCTCCTATTTTTGTTGTCACTAATTAGTGCACAAGAACCTAAACTGTTAACCAAATAATAATTGTACCATTATCATCATGTATACCTCAAGTCTACCGAGTAATAAAGTATTGCACTCTTTCTATAGAGCTTAGCATTCAGTAATATCCAATTTTGTCTAGTAAAAACGCGCACTGTATATAAAGAATAACTATCCAAGAGACACGATAATAATTGGTTGGCGATGAGAGCTTTTAAGAGCAAATATGCCATAAAATGATAAGTATTTACCGACCAAATACAGTACTGTCGTAGTTGCACTGTTACTGATAGTAGGGTACAGACATAAATTATAATATGATTGATATTATAATTAGATTTTTGTGGTAGGAACAAAAAGAAACTAACAAGTACCACAGCGTATTATTTTATATTTTACATCTGATTACGCATTGTCTGCTACGTTACTTTATGAACAAGAGATTAATACAGATACGATTTATATTTCACTGCTTATCAAGACAGCAAATTATTATTCAGGCCACGGAATATTTGTTCTAATCACTATTAATAACTATGAATATGTTGTACTGACGATAGATTTAGGTAAAGAACAGTATATATCAATACATAAATTAAAAGCAAATGATATACGTGGATTGTACGTTTTAATTATATATGCTGAGATCCGTAAATTTTATTTATACTGTAACAGCGTACAGTATATTACTATAGATAATAGTATATCATTATTACGTGTACATTTTTATAATAATATAGTTATCATCATGCATTTTTTTATAAAATACCGAAATATATGCTACTGTGGTGGTTCTTGTGAAGAATACCTTCCAGTTTCCTAGTGATTCTTTCTTTAATGTTAACTTTGTATGATAAGAGTATCCTTTACGTTATACCTATGCAACACTGGTCCAAACTCTACTTCATGTTTCTTTATTGTGAACATACAGCTAAGGTGTCTTATCTAAGTTAGTTAAGAAAGTACAGTGATACATTCACTGTCCCTTTTGCCTTTCTCTTCAATTGTTATGACCAGTTACTTGCAGTACTAATCTACTGTTGGTGCTAGAGAATTGCTGAGGTACTGTAGTTATAAATCATGTCTAAGAATGCTGTTTAATTGACCTTATGTGTTTAATATCGCAATCAAAATTAAAGTCTCGCATATGCTTTCAATTTACAGTGACTGAAATAAGGACAAAGCTACTATACTAAATGTACATTGCACTCGTGTAGCAAATTTTCTTACCCAATGATAGCTCAATCGGATTGCTCTCAGGTCTCTTTTTGATCCGTTAATAATTTAATACTTGGTATATCTTTGAATTGTTGTATTATCTATTAATATATATAAGATTAATTACTGTTTAAGTAATTTTATTGAGCGTTGATACATGCATGTAACGATGGACATGTATGATTCGCTATATTGATTAATATGAGATTAATTGCTACTTAAATAATTTTATCGAACGCTCATATACTCGTATATGACGGTGGAATTCACTGTGATACTTGTCGGTACCAAGGTTGCATGAATAATAATTATAATGTTTGAGAGCATTAACTGTAAGTATTCTATTTTTTAAAATTATTTATGACCGAAATAAATGGGTATTTGAAATAGGAGTTTTATTTAAAAATTTGTATAATATATAATGTAGAATCAGTAAGTAAGATTCTTCTTTCTCAGCACAGTGCGTATACGCGTATACGTGCTTTAGTTATTTACTGACACCTATACATTCGTAGGAGGTCGCTTACAAAAATGGGCCATATTTGAATTTCTATTAAGTAGGATGGACTATTTTAGCAATGTAAATTAATGTAATTACTGAAGGTCTTTCTTTCTATAGTAGGTTCTTTACATCCGTAGACGTGATAATTTCTCGGAAGCTTTTAATGCTATTCAAGAGAAGGCGTTCTGTATTCTTTATTAAAAGTATCAAGACGGACAATGAGAATTCCAAGAAATGATAACGAATTCCTGATTATGATAGAGAAATTAAGTGCTAATAATTCTAATTAAACATTTTATATGCTACATTCTATATGTCGAATTATGGGGAATTTTGGATAATGAAGAGCATTTGATTTCCCGAATGAATGATCAATCTAATTCTTTATAAGTAGTAATAATACGAGTTTTGTTATAGAGTAAAGAGTAAAGACTTTAAATTCGTTACTTGTAGTTAATAAAGATTCTGTGTCTAAGCAATCGGTTATTACTGTATTCAGGCGAAAATACTGGAAATTCAAGTAATACAGTCTGTAAATATGCGAAAGTCATGCAATATGCAAATTCAAATACAGTTTACTATACTGTAGGAAAAGCAGCTTGTTCTATACTCATGCAATCATGCTGCATACTGCTACTTGACCTTCATATGTTAGTCAGTAAATGATAATGATGATTTACTGTTAACTGTAAATTAACGCTAGGTATTCATTACGCAATCGTTGTGCCGTATAAAACGTGTACACTATACTGCATAGCGAAGAGGTACTGTGGCGTAAAAGTGAAAAGCTTTCAAATTATTGTGCTTCTATTGTAGTAAATGATTTCATCCTGTACTGCCATACTCATATGGGATAAAGTTTTAGAATTTCCGTCGAGATTGTTGAATAAGAGAAGAAGAGAATTATTAGCCCCCCAAAGTTTCACTGACAGTTTACATTGTACTGTACTGTTGCATGCTGCCATTGCTGCTGTTGAATTTCGTATTCTCTAACATCTAAAACTGACTCGTTGCTACTGGAGCTAAGAGGAAATCACGTTTTTCTCCTACTTATCTAAATAGAGCTGTTCCATGCAAACTCGCACAGTAGTCTGACTTTATGCACGTTGATGCTCGATACTGAGATACCGACAGTTGATTTTGAAGCATCTGGCTCTGACATTTGAGAATTGTATCGCTTCTGGTAAGAATAGCAATACCACAGTATTGACTCTCTTACTGTTCTAAAAGCAATTGTCTATGAGCACTTTCATTAATCGTGCAGCTATTCATGTTGATAGTTTCCTAGGCTGTTTATCACGACACTGTACATAGGGAATGTGTGGACTGTACAGTATAATAAATGCAGCAGGTAGTACAAGAGGGGAACGAAATACTGTGCTATTGATTAGTCCCGGACTACAGTATTATACATACATTAGGTAAAACAGCCATTCATCCATTACATTTACATTTATTTGGTTATGACTAAAAACCTCCATTGTAATAACAATAATGCAGATGTTAAAGAAGAAAGTCCTATCCTTGGAAAGAGCATATTCCATTGCATATGGTAATATCAATAAGGTCATAGTTTGGTAGGGTTGCAGCACTATTTCAGGCATTGTCCAACTTTAAGGTTTGTCGAAAGCATTACGCAACAAGCATTTTCCGCAGTTACTCGTACAGTCATTCATGGACTATGTCCACTGTAGAGTACTGAAATGAGTATGATGGTCTAGTAAAATTAGTATTTTAGTAATTTATGGTAATCATCGAGACATGAAGCAATGTGTATTGAATGATGCTCAATG